GGGGCGAAATTTCAACCCGGGTCAAGCGCAATGCGTCATGTAAACGCGCCATTCACTTTGTGCACATGGCGGGTTGAAATCTGACCCGGGTCGAACTCAACCCGGGTTGAAACGCTTCATGTAAACACAGCCTTAATACTTGGAGTTGGACGCGAAGTTGCAGTGATTTGCGAAAGTAACTTTCTCTTTTCTCGGTACGCATTTGACTACAGGGAGTAGTAATTTTACAGCCCCCTGCTTGAGACTGACCTGGCTGCATATACGGTACGGTACTATAAGATTCAAATAACTTCGAGAAAAAGTCATTTCGCATTGCTAAACCTCACAAGTTTTCTTTTTCGAAATAGATTTTCGCGAAATATCACCACCACCAAAAGTTCGAATAATATTTATTCCCGTAGCTATGCAGAAGACGTTACTTCAGTAACGTCTGGCGCTAGCCAGGGTCCACAAAGCTTTAATTTGGTGTTTGTTTGTTTGTTTGTTTGTTTGTTTGTGTCACGGCTGGAGCTATCCCGTATCCGTCCCGTATCTGTCCCGTATCTGTGACTACAAAGGCTCTACAGGATTGTACATAAGCTGTCCACAATATTTGCGGGCTCCTGTATCTGTCCCGTACCGTACCAATACTCGTCGAATTATGTATACGACTCCCTGATGTAGAGGGAGATTCTGGAAAGAAATAGGGAGACGAGGAGGAAATTAAATTAGAATAGACGCCGAATAGGTGATAGGATGCGTCACCATAAACATACTTTGGAAGAGAGATCCCGTCGTCTCCAAAATAAGCGTGAACGAGCGATTCAGCGCCGGTCACAGGAAACGTCGGAAGAGAGATCCCGTCGACTCCAGAACGCCCGTGATCGGCAGAGTCCGCCGGTCCCAGGCAACATCAGGACAGACATTCCGTTGAGTCCAGAACGCCCGTGATCGGCAGAGTCTAAGCCGGTCCCAGGAAACGTCAGGACAGACATCCCGTCAAGTCCAGAACGCCCGTGATCGGCAGAGTCAGCGCCGGTCCCAGTAAACGTCAGGACAGACATCCCGTCGACGCGCAGAAAAACTAAATCTGCAGCCTCTTTTGCCGTCGGACAGGATATGTATTTTAGGAGACTGTAAAGTTATGTAATGTCCAAATTTCGACGTGAGCAGCAGGTCACTCGCGTTGATTTTTCGACGTGCGAGCCAAATAACGCGAGCTGAACTTTCGCGTCGCAGACATCCTGTCGACGCGCAGAAAAACTAAATTTTAATCTGCAGCCTCTTTTGCCGTCGGACAGGATACGTATTTTAGGAGACTGTAAAGTTATGTAATGTGCTCCACAGGCAACCATGCATTCGGCGTCGTCATTGGCTCAGCAGGTCAATGTACATGTATTACTACAAAAAGGCCAGAAAATCCGATTACTGTATTAAAATCAACTAATTTTCGATGGCGATTTAATTTCGCTGATTTCGCCGCTTGGTATCAACCGGCCAAAGTAAATCACAGGCCAAAGTTTGTCGTATAGGCAAATGATGCATGATTGAGCAATGGATGCATGTGAGAGCAAAAATACCGATCGATTTCAAATTTGACGTGAAATGTGGAAACGTTTTTGCAATACAGTGATGTGGCCAATACACGGAAAAAGACATTTCCATCAGTTCTTAAAACATGTACGATGAGCTAGGCAAAAAAGCATAAAAGCATAGCGTAGGGCCCTGAGCTTCCAAGCTCTCTCGTTCCCGTAGCTATGCAGAAGACGTTACTTCAGTAACGTCTGGCGCTAGCCAGGGTCCACACAGCTTTAATTCCCGTAGCTATGCAGAAGACGTTACTTCAGTAACGTCTGGCGCTAGCCAGGGTCCACACAGCTTTAATTTGGTGTTTGTTTGTTTGTTTGTTTGTTTGTTTGTTTGTTTGTTTGTGTCACGCCTTTTGCTATCCCGTATCTTTGTTTGTGCCATCGACATACCTGACGCTATCCCGTACCTGTCCCGTACCATTAAGAGTACGGTACCATCAAGAGAATGAGTATATATGCGAAGTGTATCGGGGGAATGCATTCAGTGCAGTAACATGTTGTGTGGATTTGTGTGCGAGGCCGAGATCCCACTAACAAGCTGGCTGGGCCGCCTGTCGACCAGCCTGTGAATCGCATGTAGGCCGATAGCATAATAATTTTACCGTATATACAGCCATGTAGATGTATAGCAGGGAGTCATATTATGTAAACGACTCCCTGCTGTATGGGGAGATTTTCTGGAAAGAAATACGAAGTAGGGAGACGAGTAAATGCAATCAGAATGGATGTTAGTTGCCGTCAGTATAATAAGAAGAAGACCGCCCGTGATGGGCAGAGTCAGCGCTGGTCCCAGGGAACGTCAGGACAGACATCCCGTCGACTCCAGAACGCCCGTGATCGGAAGAGTCAGCGTCGGTCCCATAGCTATGCAGAAGACGTTACTTCAGTAACTCATTGAAGCGTTTTTGCAGTACAATGATGTAGCTAGTCAAAGGAAAAAGCATTTCCATCAGTTCTAACAACATGCACGATGAGCTAGGCAACAAAGCATAGCGCAGGGCCCTGAGCTTCCAAGCTCTCTCGTTTGGTGTTTGTTTGTGTTTTTGTTTGTGTCACGCCTGGCGCTATCCGTATCTGACGGCAAAAAAGCATAGGATGTTATAAATTTTTCAATTCTCCATATCCTGGGATTCGAACCCGCACTATCGCCCTACATGCATTCCCCCATACACTTCGCATTCATACCCATTCTTCCAAGTTGCGTTACGTTATTATCTTGCGTTTGAAAGCCCTATTTGAATATTGCGGGAACCGGAAGCTGTATGTGGCCAGCTGTGTTTGATGGTACGGTACGGTACGGGAGACGGTGTCGTATTACCCTCGATCGTACCTGTCCCGTCCCTATCCCCTACCGTACCGTGCCATCAAAGACGGCTGGCCACAATGCATATAACTCAAATAGGGCTTTCAAATGCAAGATCACAATGTGAAACAACTTGGAAGAATTAGTATGTATGCGAAGTGCATCGGGGGATGAATGCAGGGCGCGCGATAGTGCGGGTTCGAATCCCAGGTTATGTCTAAAAAAAGGAATTTTTTAAAGAATTTATAACATCCCTATGCTTTTTTTTGTCTAGGTCATCAAGGCAAAAAAGCATAGCGTAGGGCCCTGAGCTTCCAAGCTCTCTCGTTTTCGCATTGCTAAACGTCCTTTTTAAAGGGCCCTATCGCCCTTTTTGAGCTTTTTTAGATGAAAAAGTGCTAAAATCTGTTTGCTCATGCATACGATCACAGTTTCCGAGTGCTCGATATCCATATACAGTATCGCGATGGGCCTTGGCACGCGTGCACGCCGCTTTTTCGGGGGGTAACACGCTGGTGAAGCTTGTACCAGGTGTACACAATATTACAATGCTGTAAACAGTGGGTTTTTTGAACTTTACTACATGGTGTGCCTTTCTAGGACCCATAAACAGGATAAATGGAAGAGTGCGTATTCACATCTCATCTTGGGTTCATATCTATTATAAAAAATGTACCATGGCTATGCTTCACTGAAAAAAGAGCTCTTTTTGCCTGTTTTCACTGAAAAAAGAGCACTTTTCAGCATATTTTGAGGGACGCGAAAAGCACTAAGTGCGAATTAAAAGAGCACCTTTGGGAAAGGGCTAATCATGGCTATGCTTCACTGAAAAAAGAGCACTTTTTCAGCATATTTTGAGGGACGCGAAAAGCACTAAGTGCGAATTAAAAAGAGCACCTTTGGGAAAGGGCTAATCATGGCTATGCTTCACTGAAAAAAGAGCACTTTTTGCCTGTTTTCACCAGGTATTGTACTACTCCCTGGTTTTCACTGAAAAAAGAGCACTTTTTCAGCATATTTTGAGGGACGCGAAAAGCACTACAAGTACAACAACAAACTGTAAGTGCGAAAAGCTCATACCAGTAGCACCTTTGGGAAAGGGCTAATGGTCGACTGTGTGATCGATCGTGAGTGCAGTGCATGCAGTGCAACTGAGTTTGCGGTGAGTACCGCCCTACCAATATGTGCCGGAGCAGGGCCATGCATGTTACTCAGTTCACATGGTTCACGAACCAGTCTGCTACCTTATAAGCTTAGTAGTAGCTACCGGTATGCCATTCATGCCATAGTCTGTAGTAGGAGCTAGAGTGGAGGGTGGAGGCTGAAAAAGCTACAATTGTAGCTGAGTTCATGTCTTCATGAACATTATTTTTTCTCTTTTCACTTTGCTTTCTTATTCATTATTGATCGTCACCTTTTTTTTCCTGCCACACATCTACGCCACGATTCAGTAATGCTACATACCAGTAGGCAGTAGTTGATAGATTCACCAGGCTGGTGCAGTGGCGTGACACATGAGGTGACCACAGGCACACTCACGCTGACCACAAATCCGTAACAAGTCCACCAAGGGTGCTGGAACCTCTTCCAAGCAGAATCTGCATGAGAAGAGAGAACCCTCCCGCGCTGTCGCAGACTCGCACAGTCTACGCCTTTCTTTGGTGGAACTTGTTTAGAACTTGGCCATTGGGGTTGAATTTTTAAAACGTTTCCTCAGTCATGACTTGAGCCAAGTTGAGGAGAAAGACGACACCCATGCCATGGCATGGTGTCAACACTTGGCTCGAGCTCCTGTCATAGCATAGGCCATAGTGTCAACTTCGTGATCGAACGGAATCGAAACACGTGGGGAACACAAGAAGGAACGTCTGCATGGAGTTTTTCTAGAACTACATGACATGATGACGCCTTGTCCTAGACAAAACAGTAGGTCTACGACATCGATAGTCGATAGACTCTGTCTACGAGTGGCAAGACGCTAGACCTAGCGCTCGCGCTAGCGCCTAGGCCTAGCCAGCTAACACCCGGTGTGCCAGTCATCACGTGCAACAATATGGCGGCTATGCGCGGAAGACTTTTTATTTTTTCGCACTGTAGCGATTTTGCATGCTGGTGTTGTTTTGATGAATCGGGATTTGGTTCCCTTCTTCTACATGCGCAGTAGCTCAGTCCTTTCCACGTGCGGTCACACTGTTGTTGGCCCCTTCCCAGTCTGTTTCTGTTCCATCTTTCCCACACGCTGGGCTGCACTTTGGCTCCTTGCACATTGTGCTTGAGTTACATCTTATTCAGTTGTTTTCGGCTACTTTAAGCGGAGGCAATGGGTGACGAGTGGGGTTCCGTAAGTCTTGCTTGTTTGTGGTGCTTGTTTGTCCCTTTTTTTTAATAGTTTTGTTCTGTATATTTCGGTCTTTATATCTCATTGGCTGTTTGAGGAATTGTAAACACTACTTCATCCATCACTGTCTGTACTTGTAGTAGTTATTGCTAGCTTGACTGGCATGGAAGTTTCTGCACTGCATTGGTGGCCTTTCTTTCTTTTCGTCCTTTTATAATATATTATATCAATTGCAGTTGTTGCTCATTGCCCAAAATTTGCATGCTAAGTTTTTCTCACAACTCGCAACAGTACTTCGCAAAGTCGCTCTTGAACGTTGTTGGTTCCACTAACTACATGCATCTATCATCACGGTCGTGATGATGTTATACATTCTACATGCCGTGTTGGACGTTCGACCATAAATTACATTCCCGAATACTGGAGTTCACATGTTTCCAATGCGAATGAAACGTGAAACTCATTTTCATCGCCAGCGTGCACTGTTTCTAGTCTACTGTTGTAGTTGCTTTGGATGTAGTACTGTAGTCTACTCTAACTTCACAAATTTTCGGTGTACTTTTATTTTCGGTACTTTCGGTGCATCTGCTTCATACCTAAAATTTCAATACACCGAACAAACACTAACACACATAATCCAATAGGGAACAGCTTCCCTGTACCGAAAATTTCTGTTCACCTAACCTGGCCTTTTGCCCTCATACCGAAAATATTGAGCACCGAAAATTTCTGAAATTAGAGTACTTGTTTTGTTCGTGCACGTGAGTTGAACGTCTTTTTCAAACACCAAAACCGGGCTTAGGTCTTCAACGCGACTGTACACACTCTGCATAATGTAAAAACCGGAAAATTTCGTTTGAGATTTATTTTGGGTAACTTCGGTACAGTAAGTACATGTACTCAGATGGCTAGCCAAGGAAAATATTAAATGGAAACAAGGAAAACGATTTGCCCCACGTTATGCGTTGTCAATCTGGTGCTACCTTGTGCACGTCTGTCTGTTCAAAAACTGGTTTAGTTGGAACTTGTGCCCCGCCGTTTTCCTTGTTTCCGTTTTTACCTAAAATAAAACGCGACCTAAAATTCAACAATGCAATGCCACACAGTGTGCAGAATGCATTTTTGAATCTGGAAAACTGGTTTACCGAAATTTTAGCTCTACTAAACCGTTGATTTTGGGAAATACCGAAAATATTACACAACCGGAAATTCCAGGTTTTACAATACTGTACAAGTAACATTTATCTCCTGGCCTTCCTCTGAAAAGAAAACCATTGATATATGACGTTTTTTGTCTACCAAGGAAGGCGTTTGAGCACTTGAGTACCACGAACAATGAAAATTCCCACCATTTAGAGAATTGCCCCAACACCGAGCACTGGTCTGTAGATTAAAATTACTCCCAAACAACATTCTGCGTTGAGACTGCCTGTTGGAACACTGCAAGACCAGTTTTATTAACGGTCATTTAAATGTAACGATTCAACGGATTTCTTGTAATTTTTTGAAGTTGTTTACTGCAAAATGATGTACACATATTTTGTATGTGCAATGTACATGTCTTTTCAACTGATCGTAACTCGGTCATTTCTGGATTATTTTCAAAGACTAAAATATGCAGGTCAAAGAGAAAACTCCGACCTGTCCATTGCAACAAAATAATATTAATAATAACCCGAAACGCTCCAATGTGCGGTTCCGAAGATGAATTACTTTTCTGTGTGTTGTGTGAACTGAACTCAATGTTTCTGCAATTCCTTATGTCCAGGGAGGCGGCGGCTTCGGTAGCAGCGGTAATGACAGTGGTTTTGGAGGAACCGATGGCGGTTTCGGAGGTGATGGTGGCTTCGGCGGCGGAGGACGTGGAAGAGGTCGCGGCCGTGGAGGTAGCCGTGGCGGTGGTCGAGGTGGCGACTCCAATGGATTCGGCGGTGGCGATGGTGGCTTCGGCGGTGGCAGTAGCTCAGGTGGATTTGGTGGTGGTGGCAGCAGCTCTGCTGGTGGTGACAATATTGTCCAGGTTCCGTCAGGTGATGTTCGCAAGATCATTGGTAAGTCCAATAAGTTAGCAGTAGCCTAGTCTTGCCAGGCCGCTACATGCTGCAGTGCTGCTCGATGAAATACGGGTGCTGTGAATCCTCAGACCTGTGAACACCAGGCTAGGCACGGTTGGAAAGCGGGGACTTGTTCCCAGGTTTTGGTTTTGTTGAGGAACGCTATACAGTAGAAGCTCCCTTGGCGGACACCTCCACATTCAGAGCCCATTAGAGGGGTTGCGCACAGCGGGTATTTGTGAGATTTGGACGTTTCGACCAAAAGGGAGCTTAGCGACAAAGCGCTATTTTCGTAGTGCGCACCGCACTGCAGCACAGTTACTATGCAGTGTGACTGCCAAGACCCGTTGTTCTCGGATTGAACCGGTTTTAGTAGTCATTTTCGTCCTTGTCTTTCTCCAACAAGAGCTACGAAACAGTATGTGCAACCTCTCTATTTCGCCCTCTTCACTCCCGAATGTTCTCCATCACGTGTTGTACTCTGGACGCCTCCCCGTTCAGCGCACAAGTGTCTTGTCCACTTTTGTTTGTAATACATGTAATGAGATATTCTACTGCAGATGACACGGTCTATGAGTATAACAGTCCTTGAACCTTTATGCGTCTGTGCAGTCCAATATTGACGACCGCATGCAGATGAATTTAACGATCTCAGTTATCCCGTCTGCACCAATTTTGGCTCGGCGAAAGCGGGCAAGACCTACTTCAGTACCTCTCGCTTGCATATATTACCAAGACTACATGAAAACCAGAGTGTGCAGCTTGGGGCCTTTTCTGCTATGGGTGTCTGTCACGGCGAAATTCCGTGATTACATCATATTTGGCCCAGATCTAGGCGGGAAATGGCGTAGTGCGTACAACTGAGCTGCAGTTGTGCAGAAAGAGACCTGCTTGAATCCTGCTTGTACGCACTACATCACTAAAATGATGTAATCACGGAATTTCGCCGTGACAGCAACTCATCCGAGCTGCACACTCTGGTTTTCATGTACTCTTGATATTACGGAGTGTGATGTCATGCTCCAGAGAGAAGCTATAAGTCTCTGAAGGAGGTCCTTTCACACCTTGTACGAAACAACTTTTACCATTATGTAACTTTGGCAATAGCACGGCGGGAACATGAAGATATGAGCACTTGCGTTCTTAGCCTTCATGTAGCACAAAGAAGAAGGAATTTCCCGTCCAAATTTAGCAGTTTTTTTTACGATCTGCTCCCTAATTTGAATGCTACGCAGCAGATCCGTATGTAATTTCTTTGCGTGTGCCACAACGCAGAGGTGTGCGTAGAAATCTGGACCCAAAACTCACGAAGCCCAGGACGCGGTGTGTCGCTGGGACTGGGAATTTATCCAATTATTTGTTGGACGGATAAGAGTTAATGGTGTATAGCCGGTGACATTCACCATTGTTGTATACTGTATAAGTAGAAAATTTCGTCGGTCAATAATTCCGTCCAACTCCAAAGAAAGGGAGTTCGTCCGGTTGTAAATTTCGTCCATGGATCATAAGAGTGTATTGAAAAGCTGGACAAATCAATATTAGTCGGGCGAAATTAAATTCCAGACGAATATTTCTGCTTGTACAGTACCTATGATCTGCTCTGCTAGGAAATCATCTCGAGTGTACTCCTGTTTGCTTCTTGCTTTTGTGCATGTTCATAGGCAAGGGCGGTAGTAAGATCAAGGAAATCCAGGATACTAGCGGTGCCCACGTGAATGTAAGTATCTAGAGAAAGTTCTTTTTTTGAAGTTTGACCATCGTTTGATTTCCACTCAAGTCGTGTGAGGACCCGGGCCGTTTTTGGAGGGAAAATTCTTTTGCATTATATAGGAGATTGTGATCCTATCCTGAGGTATTCTTTGTCCCCACAGGAAAGAATGTAAATTCCAAGCACTTTGTATAAACACACATAATCTAAACGAAACATTCGGCCCAAGACAATTAACATTTTGGCCAGTACAACAGCGTTGGTTCTCTTGAAGGTTGTCCATATCTCCGGAGCTGCTGAGAAGAAACACAATCCATGTGCTGCCCTTCAATAGCTTAGATAATGTCGACAGGTTTCATGATCACGCGCCAACAATTTACTTCCAGTACTTCTACGCACAAAAGCATGTGTGCTTAAATCCGAATAATTATACCGTTGAACTTCAAAGGATCAGTCGGGGAAGAGACCGGTATTTACGACACACAATAACTATTAGTATTTTGGCCAGTACAACGGCGTTGGTTCTCTTGAAGTGTGCCCATATCTCTTGAGCTTCTGAGAGGAAACACGACTCGTATTAAATCCGAATATGCCGGTAAACACGAGTATGGTATGGCGAGGAAGTGTTTTCTTTGAAATGTTATCTGCTGGTTTGCGCAGTGTTAAATGATTCATTGTTTTTGTAGCCTGTTTATAGTGTAGAGGACCGAGCCACCACTTCACTTGGTCTTCTGTGAGGAGTTGAAAACTGGCACATCCAGTGATGTTAGACTAATATCAGATTGAGCGGGAGAGTGATGTCGTTTGCTCTTGGTTGTTTGTGCTCCAGATCAAGAAAGACTCGGCTGGTGAAATGACGGATGTTGAGTTGGAAGGTGATGATGACCAGGTTGCTAAGGCGAAGGAACTCATCCAGGCCTGCATTGCTGGAGGTACGTATGTTTGTTTTCTCCAAGGGCCTGTTGGTTTTTGTATATGTATGTGCAGGCAGACTTCTCTCTCTCTCTCTCTCTCTCTCTCTCTCTCTCTCTCTCTCTCTCTCTCTCTCTCTCTCTCTCTCTCTCTCTCTCTCTCTCTCTCTCTAATTTGAATACTCTGCATTATTTCGAACGTTTCGCCTTTTCGACCTTCTGGAAGTCACTTCGAACTCTGGTAAATATTGGAAGTCAGAAACTGTTTTCGGTCTGATTTTGCTCATTTTTTAGAGTTACACCATCATGAGAATACATGATCAACCCCATGGTATAAGTACCTTTGCAAGCATTCAGAGAAGAAAAAAACATGGCCACACGATACACTACTTCGTACTGTGATTACTAATCGTTCGATTTTCCACCATAACATCACTTGTACTTCAACGATTTTCATGATCTTGGGCTCGCTGGAAAGCTCTTGGAGAGAGGCGAACAACGATCTCAAGCTCATCAAGAGGATCCATCACTCTCCGCCGCTACAACTCCAGGAACGCCACAACACGTCCAGGTCAAGTCGTGAAACACGGTCGTCCTGCCATTTCACTTTCCTTCAGTCAAAAATCCTCAATTTTTTCGAGTACATGCTAAACATCCGTGGCCATCTTCTTTGGGAGTGATGTAACACTCAGCCGTGGCACGTACAGGGAAACCCCTGTTCTGCGCCAAAAAATGTGAAATTTTGATCGCACGCGCAGTTCGCTCAAACTTCACCGTACAGAGCTGGGAGTTGTTCGAGCTGACAGCTGAGACTCTCCGCTACTTGCTAGGTGTTTCGATTTTGAAATTCGGTTGAGATTTGAGTTACAATCAATAGAGTACATGTGTAAGTGCCCACGTTTCTATAGTTCGATTTCGAACCATGCGCGCTAAAGGGTTCGGGGACCCACTTGATAGGTGCCAGATCAGCCTTGTACTATTTAGCACTAATATGGCTTGTAAGCCCATATGTGAGGCAAGCCTTGCGCCAGGCTTTCACTACCGAAAGGACATTCCTGTTAGCCAAGCAGCATGCATACCCTGCTGCATCAGCACTGCAATGGTGCAGCCAAGGAGGCCCCTGGGTGTGTTGGTACCGCCAGCCTGCCCGGTTGTCGTTGACAACTACGGCTTGCCCTACATGGCAAACCTACATAAACGAAAATGCTGTAGCGAAGACAAAAACTCCACGGCGAATTCAACAATGTCATTTCCGTTCACAAGTAATTCGTTCCATTCACTCTTTCCTGCTACCTTTACTTGTACTCTTTCCTGTGGTGTTTAATAGGTGGTGGCGGTGGAAGCTATGGTGAGCCAGTCATCATGAACGTCCCTGCCGGTGATGTAAGAAAGCTCATTGGTCGCGGCGGTAGCATGATTCGTGAGCTGCAAGATAACAGTGGTGCTCGAATCAACATCCAAAAGGACGCCGAGGGTGATACCGTTGAGGTTGAGCTGAAGGGATCGACTGACTCCACTGCCAAGGCAAAGGAGGCCATCCAGCAAGTTCTTGCTGGAAGTAAGTTCTCTCTGATGATCATACCTTGTATTCTGTAGAAGCATATCGCCTGGTCCTGTATCATGGAATGGCTAGGACCTGCCTACTATACTGACTCCCGAGGTCGGAAGATGTCGCCACTCAAAGCATCAGGAAGATTCATGTGTGTGTGTTTGAGGGGAAACCTATATTTATGACAAAATTTTCAGCCATTTCCATGGTAAACAAGCACTTTTTTCGGCTGAATGGCTGAATCGAGCTCGGTGTGACCGCGGCCTTAGGTGTGTGTGTGTGTGTGAGGGGAAACCTGTATTTATGACAAATCTATCCCATATGAGAAAAAAATGGATCTCTGTGGTATTGCTTGTCATGTTCTCTTCCGCAGCTTACAAGAGCACTGGTGGTGACAGTGGCGGCTTTGGTGGCACAAGTTCCTTTGGAGCAAGTACCGGCAGTTCCTTTGGAGCAAGTACCGGCAGTTCTTTTGGAGCAGGTACCGGTAGTGGATTTGGTGGCGGATCTGGTGACGGCGGATTTGGTGGTGGATCCGGTGGTGGCGGCGGTGCATCCGTGTCTCTGGATGTTCCATCTGACCGAGTTGCCAGGATTATCGGTAAGCGCTGCCACACTTGTGTTAACCCTTTCTTCCTCTCCAGCGGGATTGCGTTGAATACATTGTACATGTACCGGCTTCACTACAGTGGACCTTCTGGAAATCCAGAAATATTTGTGCTGAACAATATCGTACTTTGATCGTCCAGAGCCATTCTGATTCATATGCTCAATGTATTTGTAGAGGTGAAGCACTACACTCATACGTGGATTATCCGGGCAGTCCGGTGCCGGGCACTGCCCGTAGCTTGTCAGTAACTCCGAAACACACACACACATTGTGATGTGAAAGGAAATAGCGATGGCACATGGCATCACTATTTCCACAAAAAGTGACAACAGAGTAGAGATATTTGCACTGAGGCTCGCCCAAAGGGTGCCCGTAACTTTGGGGTCTGGATAACCGAAGTATGAGTATATCAGTATAAGTGCCACACACCATTGTGGGAGCCTAGCGAATGGTCTGTTGAGACGACATCGGTGCCTGTTCATTTGAAGTAAAATGAAATGCCATCACAGGTAATTTCGTATGTATTTTGATTTCACATGGTATTAAAGCGAGCGCATATTCTATGGATCATTACAATGGCAATCAAAAGAATTTGCGAATCGGACATTGTCCGTAGCAATAACAACATATAAGAATAAGAAATGGGTATACTGATTCGCCAATTCTTCTGATTGCTATAATAAAGATCTTCTTCGTCTCCGCCCCGCTTATCATTAGAAGGCACACAAAATAGTCTTCTTTTTTCTTAAATTGGGTTGCTCCTCTTTTTTTCCTTATATATGCACGCCTCAGGTAAGGGAGGCTCACGTATTCAGGAGATCCAAGAGGAGAGTGGTGCCCACATCAACATTGACAAGGACAGCGAAGGCGAAACTACCAAAGTCACGTTGGAAGGAGATGACGATGCGTGCCAGAAAGCCAAGGCCACTATTATGTCCATCATTGGTCAGTATATACTTAGGATTTGAATACACACGGTCAACGTGTTCGTGCTCACACCAGTATAAAAGTGCTCAGACCAAGATAAAGCCGAGGCGAACACTCGGTCCCTTGTTATAATCTATGCGTGTACGTGCGTATATACTTGTTCATGTTCCAGGGGTGTTTTCGCTTACCGGGGCCCTTTTTATGAATGGTAAATGTTGACCATGCGGTTAATAGTTACGGTATGGGCAGACCGTCGAAAATAGCGTGAACTGTAAAATCATTCGCTCTCAGCCAAAGTTATAATCCTCCTTTTCATCTGTCTAATCAAGTTCTGGCCATTTGGTTTACGGGATTGGGATTGCACGCCAGCTAAGTACAAGCACAATATCCTTGGACATATCTTCATTACAACTAGAAAGAGGACAGACACACTTCAGGCTCTTCACTGGCAACATTCTAAAAGGTTTCCATGAGTATACTTTCAAGCCTTCTCTTCAGGTGGCTTATTGGCAAGAGAAAAAGAAACCAGAACGTTTGTGTCATTCTTTCTATGTGTATGGGTCACATGTTTGTATGGTATTTTTTAGCTGTTATTCTTTGCGCTGTTCTTTCACCTCTCTGCTGTACTATTCTCGTTGAAATCTTTCAAAATGCTGCTGTTGAAGAAACTAAAATGTGTCCTCTTTCTAAGTGTGATATGTTTTGTCTCCCAGGAATCTACATGTATTTACTTTGTTTTTCATTTTCGGCTGTGCCTGTAACCCAATGGCCTTGTATTTTCCCTTCTTTTTTTAGGAGATTCGGACCGCCCCGCGGCGCCTGTGACTTATGTCCCCCCTCCTCCGCCTGACGGCGAAGAAGAGATCTTCAGGAAGATTGCAACCGGTATCAACTTTGATAAATACGATCACATTGCTGTCAAGTTCACTGGAGAGAATCCAAATGAACCAATTAACTTGTTCACTGAGTCCGGTCTGAACCAGATGCTGATGGACAACTTGAACAAGGCCAACTACGAACGCCCCACACCAGTGCAGAAGTATGCAATCCCTGCTGGCATCCAGGGTCGTGACTTGATGGCATGTGCCCAGACTGGTTCAGGAAAGACCGTAAGCACTCTTGCACCGTTGGAATTATTATTGTTTTTTGATTACTTTAATATATATGTTCTCGATAAGACTGCGGCTGTGGGTGTAGGCAATACTCTGTTGACCTTCCATGCCTTATCGTATTTCCAATTGGCTACTGTTAACTATTCATTTTCTGCTGCTGCTGTTGTTCGTTGCCTCTTGGTGATGCTCGTCTTCTTCCAGGCTGCTTACCTGCTGCCTGCTATGCAGAACATGCTAAGTGAAGGTTTGCGATCGCCACAACTCGGTGAACCTGTTCACACACTCATCATAGCGCCTGTGCGTGAATTGGCCGATCAGATCCAAAAGGAGTGCGTCAAGTTTTCATACCGGGCCGGCATCAAGTCCGTCGCCGTGTATGGTGGTGTGGCCACTGGCCATCAGATAGCCCAGCTTGAGCGTGGCTGTCACATGGTTGTCGGCACGCCTGGCCGTCTCATCGACATGATCGGCCGTGGCAAGGTGGGTGCATTAGGATGTATGTATACTTAGCTGAAGTAAGCAATAGTATGTTTTCAAACGGCGTACATGCATCTCTGTGTAGTGTCTTGTGCATACCGGTATCATAGTGGCCATTTCCTAGCATCCGTCTTTGGCTAACCCTTTCAGCGTCACAGTGCATTTACTGCGTCTGGGCACTGTGATTCAGTGCATCAGTACAATTGTGGAGATAGCAACAAACAAATTGTCACAGCAGTATTGTTTCTCAACGGATTTTCTTAATGGATGGCTTACTGGAAAGCTCCTTTCCTGCTCGTCATCTTCCACATGCTTTCAGAGCATACAGCACCCCAACGACGCCCCTAGCCTCGCCAACCATGTGTCTATCGTACTCCAGTTTGGCATCAAGACCATGCACAAAAATTTCCTTCGGTTCGGTGCTCATCCTCAGCGTAGCACTACGATTCAGACTGCACCGAACTTGTGAGATTCAAGCGATTCGAACGATGTACACCTATGGCCTGTTGCCTTTGACACGTCGTAGGGAAATCCCCTTGAATGCCTTGAAAGTCGCAAAAAAATCGCCGGGGCAAAAAGTAAGAAAAATGTTCAGATCGAAATTGCGCATTCAATTTATCGCCGCTCGGTTTTTTATTGAGCTATGATCACACCGAAAACACCTGGAAAGCCCTCTCCAAGACCGTTCCAATGAGCTATTGATCATGGCGATGCGATATTCCGTTCCAGAGTTATGGCTGCTTGTACAGTGATCTATCCGGCACGTACGGTATGTGCACTGTACAAAAGTATAGCGCGGGTATACTCGCATTGCCCAGACGCGATGGGGTCTGCATGACGCTTATACTCGTCATAAACCCGGAAAGAGTTAATACAGTTTGCCTTTGGGTTTTTCGAATACAGCTGTGCACGGCACCCCAAGTATTGGTATGGGTCATTTTCTAGACATGCATTCCTATGCTAAGGTCTACAGTGATGTGGTGCTGTACTGTATTTATGGCAGACTTGTTTCCATACGACTTGTGCATCTTCTCTGGACATGGTTGTATGTGTTGATGTAGATCAGCCTGTCAAAACTGAAGTTCCTGATCTTGGACGAAGCTGATCGTATGCTGGACATGGGTTTCATCGGCGCCATTCGCCAAATCGTCAACGACTGTGGCATGCCAAGGGCTGGCGATCGGCAGACACTCATGTTTTCCGCCACTTTCCCTGTGGAGGTACAACAGCTGGCTCGCGAGTTCTTGCACGACTACCTGTTCTTGACGGTGGGTGTACTGGGCAGTGCTGCATCCGATGTCAAACAGACCATGGTGCGCACCGCAGACAGTGAGAAGCGCGACAAGCTGGTTGAAATCATGAGTGCCAGCGGTACGTACTAGTGCTGTTCTGCTGAGTGCAAGTCTTGAAACTATCTCTCTTCTTTTTGGGCTACTTGTTGAATGATGTCACTGGCATGGCATTTGTTCACCTTACTTTTGTTGGACGTGCTTGTCATTTGTCTCAGTGCCGAGCGACGATCCAGGGTGTTTAGTAATGAACCGTTCCCGGTCTGTGGCTACTCGAGAGTTTCACACTTTCACTATCTGGCTTATACTCTCTCTCTCTCTCTCTCTCTCTCTCTCTCTCTCTCTCTCTCTCTCTCTCTCTCTCTCTCTCTCTCTCTCTCTCTCCTTTCCTTTCCTTTCCTTTCCTTTTCTTTCCTCTCCGTGTCAGCAGGCTTTGTCGCTGAGTGTTAAACGCTCCTCGGCCAAAAAACCACTGTGCTGTATCTGTGCCTGCTGTGGTAGTGGTGGTGTTTGTATTTGTATTCCAGTAGAGCCTCCGTGTGTATGTGTTTCCTTGTTCAGGTACTGACCGAACCATGATATTCGTTGAAACGAAGCGCAGCGCAGACTTTCTCGCATCTTTCCTTTCGCAGCAAGGCTTCCCTACAACCAGCATTCATGGGTAAGACTGATATTAGTGTCACACGTAGGTTTGTACAGTCAACACCACTTTTAACAGACTCGAATGCAGCAGATTTCATGGTAAAGCGAACCATTGTCCATGTCCCTGTTTTAGCCCTTTACGGAATTGACCCGTTGTAGCAAACTGTGTTGACTTATTACAGTCCATGTCTTGTTGGGGAGCTTGTAAGTTTGTAATCAAGTGCACTCATCCAGCATGGGCAGCATGCCAGGTTTGACATGTTGCTGGTATAGTGTGAGTCTATTTCTGTTTGACGTGCTAGCCCTAGTGACCTGCATGCTGGTGTGTCTGCATGTCTTGATGTCTTGCAGTGACCGTGAGCAGCGGGAACGTGAAGCAGCTCTGTCCTCGTTTAAGCGTGGTGAGCACCCTTTCCTCGTCGCCACCTCCGTGGCTTCCCGTGGGTTGGACATCAGCAATGTTTGCCATGTCATCAACTATGACCTGCCATCGGAGATCGACGATTATGTCCATCGTATTGGCCGTACTGGTCGTATTGGTCATACCGGAAAGGCTACTTCGTTCTTCTCAGACAAGGACTCCAGAATTGCGCGTGGTCTTGTGAAGGTTCTTTCAGATGTATGTACAAATCTGAGAATGCTTTGTGTCTTTGCTTTGCTCTGAAGCAAGTGATCTAGGAAGATGGCAGCTTGTCTGCCGTATTTTTGTACTGGTACTGGTACTAGCAAGAGTACATAAACCAGAGTGTCCAACTGTGCATAGCAGATCTGAAACAGCGCAGTTCGTGCACTACGTCACCCTGGTGAGGTCAGCCAAGCTGCGACTTGCGTACGAGGTGAATTGCTATTTCTGGACATTTCGAGTAAAATAATTTTTCGTCGCGTGTAGAGTCAAGTCAGTCAGGTTGATGAAGATTTTTCTTGTTGTAGTTGACAGCTGGGCTGTTGTAGTTTCTCCTCGTGTCAGTGCCTTGTTGATAGCCTTTTCTTGGGAGGCATTTCAACGAGTTTTGTGGTACTATGTCGCATGAGAATTTTGAATTTTGAGTAAAATAAGAAGTAATGGACGAATTGTTGGCTTCCCCATGTGCACCTCACTTCAGACGCTGTATAGTCTTGGACCTGTTAGCTGGAAGTGTGAAGAGGCCAACTGCAGTCCACCAATAGAAAAAATAACAAAAATGGTGCAGTATAGGATGCCTATTGACGCTATTTTATTTTCATGTCCAGAATTCGAAACACTGAAATTTAGGCCAAAAAATTGGCCTGTCGAAAACATCTTGCTATAAAGTCTCTGGGATCACAGCATGAGCAATTGTCACATATTTGGAAAGATGAAGGATTAGGCCATACAATAGATACAAAAAGATATGAAAAATGTAAAACACACAGCCAGTGGGCCTCTATTTTATTTTCATGTCCAGAAATTGCTATTCACCTCGTACAGCTCAAATTTTCGTGTTTCACAGTCCGGAAATCAGCCAAGGTTGCATGATTTAGACCTCCTGTTTTAGGATTTCGGTGTTTTTGTGTGACTGTGTACGATGTGTACATCCGCTGGCAAGTAAATTCACCATGCTATCCGTATCGAAAAAAACCGAAATCAGGACAAACTCAGTGACCTTGCACCACTGTGACTGGTTACGGAACTTTTCACTGTACCTGTGGCTTACCATGCCGTCAGAAATGACGTACTGCACGAATTACGCTCCCACAGGAACCATCCCGAGTTGCACACTCTGGTTTATGTACTCTTGGTACTAGTGGTGGTCCTTGTCCACTGCATTCAGCACCAGTGCTGGTGGTGATCCTTGCCACCATCTTGCATCACTCGTATTCGTATTGTGTGAAGGGCTTCGACCAGTATGTATATGTGTGTGTAAGTGGGTGCACACACATTCGTGAGTGCATGTCTGTATTATTTTCTCGGCTGACTGTGCATATCTAGCTGCTTGGTTTGGCAATCATTGCAATGATGATGGTCATAACTGGCTGTTCTTGTGTTCTTGGCTTTTCCAGGCCTCCCAGGAAGTCCCAGAGTGGCTGGAGGGTGCTGCTGATTCTGCCACTGGCTCTGCATATGGCCGTGGTGGTGGCGGCGGCTTTGGAGGCCAGGATGTCCGTGAGGTGAGTGTGTATCATAGTGGAGTGTTGCTGCTGCTGCCGATCAGTGATTTTGTGGTGAGGGTTCTTTCTACATGTATATTTCGGCAATACTGGCTGAGGCGCTTTAGTAGTAGTTTGCGAGCCCTAAAATTTCGCCCAATTTGAAAAATCCCCGCAAAAACCCTGAAATGGCGTGGGACTTATTTCAGACTGGCGGTAATAAAGACCCTCCCCCCCCCCCTTCCAGAAAATACGGTCTGTTCTTTCTTGATCACAGCAAGAAAACCCAGAACTTTAAACTCTCAACCAGAAACGAGAGGGTAGGGCTCAAAGACTTCACAAGCCAGACTTCTCTTTACACATAGTACAATACAGGTTTGTGCAATCGCCCCCTTTCGAACCGCAAGTGCGTTGCAGTTTGCCATGCTGCGCTTCATCGTACCTTTTGGCACCGTCCTTGCTTTCATTGATTCGTGGTTTGTGCGCTGGGCAGCTGAGATCCCACTAAAAATCCTAGTGTATGATATGGGTGGGTGGCGAGTATGAAGTACAATCGCGGTGAAAGTGCGCTTTTCATTTCCAGGTGCCAAGGAAAGCAGGCGAAGCTCCTCCTCGTCTAAGCGGTGACTATTTCTGGTCTTTTCTTAACAGGAGTGTTATGTGAGAATGAAGTATAATCCGTTTTTTCTGCAATTTAAAGATAATAGTAAACCGTGCCATTCCGTGTCGTGTGCCCTTGTTTTGCAGCGCGGTGGCGGCGGCGGCGGTGGCGGCTTTGGAGGAGGACAGGGAGACTTCGGTGGTGGAAGTGGTGGCGGCGGCGGCAGCGGTGATTTTGATTGGTGAGCTGCCCCCCAGCATTGCACGGCCAGCCCAACGATGATATTCAGTCCTACATTGGCGTGCTGTTAGTACATGTTGCTGGTCCACATCCTGATTGTTCTCGTCACAGCTTGGAAACACACCGTTTCAGCAGCTACTGCGTTGCCTCCTCATGCTCAACTGCTACATCTAGTAATGCACCCACTACTGGTTCTCCTGCGTAGCGCACGAGTTGGAAGGTTGCGTTCTTGCAACGTATCTTTCTATCCTCGACATGCTGCGATGTGAGATGTAAGGTTGACTTGGTGTGTCTGCGTTTAGTTAGAATGTAAGGGATTTGGTGTGTCCACTCGAGACCCGATGTTTTTGTATATTTCTGTGTGGACCGGATGGGGTCATTCTAGTGGACTTGATTTGTATGCGTATGTTTCAGTGTGTGCGTGTGTGTGTGAGAAAGCGTGTGTGTGTGTGTGTGAGCGGCTGAAAGAACTATGTCTCGTACAGCACAGCATGCATGCGCATACTGTTGATCAACTGTTGCAGAGGAAGAGGTTTGCGTTTACGTAATGATGCAACCACATTTAGTGAATGATCGAGTGCCTGTTTCGTACTGCTTTTGACATTTTTACACCTTTTTTATTCGGTATATTCTTGGCAGTACTACTCAGTCGGCTCAGCTTTGTGTGTAATCGTTCCAACTATGACTTAATTCTTCGTATACACCATGGTCTTCTAGTTCCATTTGTGTAGACCTGGACCGGCAGTTTTGCACTCCGTTATTAGTTCCCTCGGTGTTTCTAGCTTTCTGCTCGCTCAGGTCGTGTGTGTTGTTGTTTAGGCGTGGTGTTTCTTTCCACTACTTTGTTCTTACTTTCTGATCTTCCGCGCTGTATGTGCTTCTCAACTCTTTCTTGGCTTTTTGTTCTTGTTAGTGTTTTCTAACATCCTGGTCTTCCTTTCAGCCATATGCCGTGGCATGTGTCTAGTGTTTAGCTTGATACGCGCTGACTCCTGCGTGGACTGCAATTGAAAGAAAAAAAACTATTTGTGTTTTGTTCCCCTTTACCCTGGCTCTAATGCTCTGAGAATTGACTACCTATAAGTCTGCTCTATAACACAATGCTTTTCAAGCTTCTGGCGAGAATTGTCTTGTTCTGGTTTCTGGGACCGGGTGTGTACTTGCGGCAGCGAGTGGTAACATAATGTTCTCTGTACTTGCTCCGGTCAGGTCAGAATGCGCGATCAAGCTCTACTGCAATTGCAAGGCCAGCCCAGACTGCCACAGTGCATGGAACTGTCCCCCGTGAGTTCCGCGGCAGAATATCAGAAATTCTGCGCTGATTCTTCAAATCCTTCTACATGACTGTGCATTCTGCGGCGATTTTGTAAGGAAAATGAGCGTAAAAACAGATCGAATTTCCGCCACCCCACTGAAGTTTGTTCAGGTTGTCCCAAGCCCGTGTAAGCTATACCCCTCCATAGGCATATTGCCTTTGGGTCCTTTCATAATAATAATAAGTTCTGAACCAAAATTATGCAAAATCCTGGTCAAAAAAAATTGAAGGCTCCAAAATATACTGCAAGTTCATTTTGACAGTCATAAGCAGCTTGGTTTGGCTGTGAAAATCCATCGAAAGTCTCCAGAAAAAAGCAGTATTTCTCTTTTTTCTGTAATATTCCGCGTGGTTTTCTGAATTCTGCGGAAATTCTGCAATCCGCGGAATTCACGGGGGACAGCTGAATGGAATGTGTGTCTGTACTCTATAGTGCTTGTTGCAACTCTGTACATGTGCCATGTGCCCCTTTGTTTATTACTAGGGGTGAAACAATTATACCGAATACTCGAGTACTCGCTCGGTTTTTTCAGAAATAATCGTACTCGGAATAAATCAGAGTACTCGTTCATACATTGTACATGCATTTACCACAGAAATCTGCAGTTTCAGAGCAGCAGTCGGCAGATATTGGTGTGCAGACTGTGTGGTGAACATTTGTTCACGAGTAGAGAGAGCCCAAATGACCCACCAACCAATATACCAGAGAAAAATGACTGCCACTCAGTTCAATCAGGGTTGTATCATGTGATTTTAAGGCCCTCGATGTGCAATTTTTAGGAGATGAAGAATACTCGAATACTCGAATATTCGATCGGAGAAAATCAGAGTACTCGAACTCGGGATCTCAATGCCAACTTTCACCCCTATTTATTACCATGCAAGAGTGTCATCATCGTCATCATCATTAACCCATTCGGGTTACTGTGGCAACAGTGTCACTCCATTCCATCCTTGTCTCTGTCCAGCCGGCTTGACCCGTATTAGATTCTCTGCTCTATTTGCCTTCTTTACACTGTCCGTCGTCCTTTCGACATGCACGAGTGTACAACTCGATAATCCCCCCGCCTACGGCGGAATTAGCAGCCATTTGACTCTTAACCATCATGCATAGCCAGAGATCGAAGGACAAAGAACGTATACCAGTGGATTGCAGGAATATGGTAGTCGAAGCAGAGCAATGGAGGGTAAACATGCGTCCTGGACCTGATTAGCTAACACTCTACAAAGGCACCTTCAGGCAAAATTTCACATTCAAAATCTGACCGGATAGAACCCCTTCAAAATTGGTGGCCAGATATGGATTTAGTTTGGATACGTCACAAACAGCACATAAAATTGATGAATGCTTTTTTGGTCAATACAGTATCCGAAAAGTGATGAAAATGAATATGTCGCATTTTGCATTAATTTTTATAAACTCTTCACATACGCACCAGCAGCTAATCAGCCAGTTTGTTGAGATGCTGGCCAGTGACATTCTAATCTAAGTAAAGTAAGGCGGGCACTGCATACAGTGAATACAGCTCTACTGTCCAGCTGCACAGTACCACCGTGCTCACTGATCCACTCACACAAAGTTCATGTCTCCTGGCGCACGGCTGGAGCTGTGTCCATGGCTGCTGCCAGGCTTGGAGTAGAACATGTTAGAGAGTCCCGACAAATCGATCTTTTCTAGCAGCTCCGTCAAACCTGTGGTTGATGGCCCTTGCAGCAGTCTTTGAGACAGTTGACTTTTAGCACCGTCCAACATGGGACTGTACGCATCTGTGGCATTTGTTGGTGGAGAGGTGTACTGTGTCGACTGCTGGGGGCCTCCGAAGCTGTAGTTGTTGCCTGGCGTGATCTGTATGCTGGCGTGCTGGTCCCGGGCAGAACCCGCGGCCCCTGGTTCACTGATTGGAGCTGCTGTGCCACTGGTATCAGTGTATGCATAGTGAGCTCCACCAGCTTGAGTGTAACTCCCCTGCATAGACACAGCATTACTGGCCGCCACACCAAGGGACTGACTTGGCATGTTAAGCTCTGTGCTGACTGTGCGAGGATATGTTGGCGAGACTAACACCGGCGCAGATCCACTACCGGGTAACCAATGTGATGAAGATGTTGTGCTATGCGGCTTGGACTCGGGAGGGACAGTAACCAGGTCAAACTGAACTGCAGTACTGGGAGAGGGTGTATTCCCTGGCATAGACTGCAGTGGGTTGTGACTGTTGCCAGCCATTGATGCAAGCCGGCCGTGATCGGACATTGCAGCGTGGCTCGCCAGACTGGTGACTGGTGACACTGGCGACTGTGTTCCCGGTAGCATTGGAGCGGCTACGGCACTGGTGTTGCTGGCATGTGTCCGGTTGGAGTAGTGTGTGGCTGGATCAGACAGTGTCAGTGCGGACTTCACCTGTGCGTGGCGCTGCTGAGCGGAGGAGTCTGCCCGCGGCACAAATCCATTTCTCGGCGGAGCCAGTGCAATCTCCTGGCTCGGCGGTAGTTCCTGCAAAAAAAACAGTGATCGGAGAGGGTTTTTGTTTTAGTCCTGAAGCGAATTGCCAGAAAGTGCTGATGTTTCGGCATTTTACGACTACCTGCTCATGACCTAGCAAAGGCAACATTCAACATTGCACATTGCAAATTGGCAATTTAGCCAACTGTCACCATTATAATCCTTTGAAGTACGTCTGGATTTGCTAAAGTTTGAACTCACCTCGCTACCACTGGCATGCCTAGAGGGCGGTTTGAACTCCAACACAAGCGCCTGCACATTACAAACAGGAAGAGAACAGTTTCATTATAATTAATTATCAACTTTCATATCGGATGTCAGGAGCAAATACTCTGGAGACAACATACCTTGCACACACTGTATGCTGTAACCTAAAAGAACGCTATGTTCTCCTGATGAATGCAGCCGTTTAGTGCAAGGGGGCTGAAAGCATGTGCAATAACGTTAGGGGCCATCTGGCATTTTCGATACTTTTCACGGAACAAAAAAGTTAAGTTATGACACTCCTCCTGAACGAAATGTATAATTGCATTCACAGCTAGAATGAATTGATGTTTCAGTTATCAAAATTGAGACAAAAAACGAAACTCTCCTCGACCCACCCACAAACGAAACTTATTCGTTTCGTGTAGAAGATCTGTAATAATTACGGTAATACGGCCCCTTTAATAGTGGGCCGTACAAAGCCAAACTGGCAGCAGAATAACACGATACATTTTCAAAAGAAGAGAAACAAGCCCGAACGCGTAAGTACACTGCCAATGGCATTGTACTTACCTGACCACTCTGAATGAGATTCTTCACGTGCAGCCGACTTCCAATGTGAACTGCAAACTATGAAGCACAGGAAACCAAAAGTCAGACACATGTCTGACATGAATGTGTGGTGGCCCGGTGACGGTGTCAAACGAAGAAGCAGCACTTATAACAAGCACATTACATAGCCTCTTGAAAGCAATCGCCAAGCAGCACATTTTAAAATCGTTGTTGAGCTATGTCTGTGTAGGGCTCCCCGGGCAGAATGTCACAGTATCCATGGTAACCTCACACATGATCCTTATCCCGTGACCGCTGAGCAGTATGCGGTGCACTAGCAGCACTAGCAGCAGCAGCAGCAGTGGCAGTGGCAATGGCAGCAGCAGTGACAGTCCACTGACCTGATGCAGGTCCTCCTCGGAACGGTGCGACATGAGCGTGAAGCGGTTCTGTTGGAGAAGTGCAGCGACTATGTAGACCAGTAGGTTGACCGTGGTGTGCCGAGACCAAACCCGCTGCAGAAACAGGAATGTGCACACATACATGTATAAGATGGGCAGACAGTGGCATGCTCTGCTCTCAACATCATCCTTTACACTGGCAAGGGTCAAACAGATTTTTGCACAAGCAGAATCTCCCGGCCTCAGTGCGCTGGACGTACACTCTGTGTACATGTACAGGGGGAGGGGGGGTAGCAGCCGGTCAGGCCGGTCCCGCTTTGGCCGGACCACTTTTTCGCCCAGAAGTGCCCAGAATGCAGGATTTTGCACTCTAATTTCAAAAATTTCCCCGGGGGACACCCCCAGACCCCCTACAACCAGACCACCTCCAACGGCGGTGCTACGCGCCTGATGTAGGAACAAGCAATCTCTCTACACACTCATGATCCAACAAGGCCGCCAGGACCGCACCTGTGCCAGGGCCACACCTTCCCATGTGTAGCTAGCAGGGGATGACAACCAACATAGCAAAGGATTATTGCTGAAAGTTTTGTGACAAGAACACGCTCTGGAGCTCAACCTTCACTTCTTTGTCTATATAAGCGTGCACATTTCCTTATTCATTGCTGTAATTATTGCGTCCACATCTTCAGCTCAAATAATCGCTGAAGTTAGTGTTAATCTCATACCAGGCAGCCTGAGAACAAGCCCCGTGACTGTACTACGGTTTCGTGACTTGTTTAGTGCCACTGAGCGCATGCGGTTGAAGACTTAGTGTAGAGGCGATACTGTAAGTAGGTATTGATATAAAACTGATATCAGTGTGCCTGTTCCCAAGACTGTGACATCACCGGATCACCGTGACATTCAACGTGCGGTCAGCAACTGTGCTACACTTAAATTTCATACACGTGCTGGTAACTAATAGCTAGTTCCAGGCCCCGAACAAACGAGCAAGCCTTACCTCCCACAGATCTATGACATCATTCATGGGCAACTCTCGCTTGAAGCCCAGCAGCACCCACCTGCACACCAGAACGCAGACCACAGTGTCTTGAATTGATGAAAACAGCATTTACAAGACTTAACTATTGCAGGCGCAGTGCAACGAATGTTGAAGTACTAGCATACATGTATTTCAAACGCAGAGTGTATCCTTAAGTCTACAATGTTATGCTAGCTAGTGCACTTACCGCAGGCAGAACTTCCAGATATTGCCACCAGACAGCCAAGCTGTAGTGCAAAGAACCACATAGAAAGAAATCAAGTCTTTTATTGCTGATAGCTCCGGCAGTGCCACAGTGTTGGAGGCACGGCCCTGCCGGGAATAATGACTGGGAAGGTGGGCGAGTGACTGCGCTGAGTTGCGCTAGCACATAGGCACTGCATCGTTGCTCTTCCGTACGGCTAGACACAGCGGCACTGCACTGCTTACCATTGCCATGATGTTCAGTGTACTGCCTGGTGTCTGCATGGTTGCAATCAGATATAACCGGGTTTAGCAATGCACAGCGGATTGACTGCACTAAGCAAGCTGGCTGCATGCAAGCAGTGCTCCTCTTACTCAAATGCTGGTGTAGTTGAGGATCAACGTGCTCCATCAGCATGGCTAGTTCATTGAGTGTGCCGCAGGCCAGGTCCACAAAGGTACAGCCCTGGACATCGAAACAAGCACAACACAAATACACGCCGGCTTTTGATAACTATCAGTCACAAGCTACGTACATGTACATATTCGCTTATAACGACACTCGGCGGGGCATCAAAAAGGTGTCCATATTCGCGAAGTGTCGTTATACCCGAAGTCTCATTTTATGTATTACAGTGGGATGGGACTTCGCTCTGGGCATGGAAATTCTGTCGTTATTCGCGAATTGTCGTTATATCCGCAGTCGTTATTGGCGAAGGTGACTGTACATATTGTCACCACATGACAGCATTTGCTACAGGCATACAGACAATAATTACAACAGAACCAGTGCAAAATCCCAATCACCATCAGTCCCCCGAATGTCTGCGAGGTAGTGTTGGTAGCAAGTGCAGGCACACATCTCTTACCATTCTCTCCATCACTTTCACAAAGCACCAGAAGGTCAGCACTTCATCTCTCATCACTAGCTGCACGACCGCCGCTACATCATTCATACCTTGCACATAGCCTGCGCAGTAACGGACAGCACAGCACATTTACAGGTGGGATAATAATAATAATATAATAATAATACTGAATTACTGTGCAACTCACCTAGTACATACTTATACTACAAGTACTCTGATAAGACATACTCTTGCTTAGTACGGACACTATCTAGAGCACGTATGACTGTATTGCCGATCCATACTGATGTATGTTTGGATTATAAGACGGGTACATTGGATACCAAGTACACTGTCCTGCTGCCCATTGGGGGGGGGGGCGTCTATCTGGGGGGGGCGTCTATCTGGGGGGGGGCGTCTATCTGGGGGGGGGGGGGCGTCTATCTGGGGGGGGGCGTCTATCAGAGCTCTACTGCATCTCTCATATGGTGGTTATTATCGTAAGGCATGCGCCATTCTCCTGATGAGTGCCGGCACTGATGACCTACCTGCATTGGGTTTAGTAAATGCATTGACTGGATAGGTTGGGGGTGCAGTGGAATCCAGATCCCAAAGTCCAATAACCTAGTAAGCATACAGCGGTATACAAGTAAGAACGGGCAAATTCATGTCTCCTGTACATGAGGCTCTGCACTAAGGACCGGGGACTGGTGCTTTTAAAAATCTCTTGCAAGGCAATCACAAGAAATTTCTCTTACCTAGTCCTGGGTTGTATGCGGCATAGCTAGCAAGGATGCGTCGCAGCGCAGCCAACTCATCACCATCTTCCTTGGCATAGAATGCGACGTGGCGGTCGGTGCGAGGGACATCCTTCTCTGTCAAGTAGAACACAACACAACACACGTGTGCAATGACTTCACCTCTTGCAGAGCGATGCGTGATTCACAATGCTAAGTCAGACTAGACTGAGTAGAACCTATCTATAGGATACCGTGCTGGAGAGATAGGCCCTTTTCATATTGGACAGTGCAGCACTGCCCTTGAGGGCTTGGGATTTCCACTTTTTCTGCTTGCTCTGCTCGTCGTTTGGCTGTAGATACGACTACACACAGATTTCCTCATAGTCAACCATTCCACCTACCGGTACATCGCCATCTATCTTGACTACGGCTAAGAATATTCACTTCCTGATAGAAGACTCCACAGGAGAGAGAGAGAGAGAGAGAGAGAGCACACCGTTTTGTCACAGCTCAGCCCCATCCCAGTGCCAGTCTCAGTAGTGCTTACCAATGTCTTTGATGCGTGCTGCTAAGTCTTGTCCACTGGAAAACTGAGGCCGTTCCACTTGCTTGACCAGCTGGTTGTACTCGGTCCTATGGCACATGCCGAGAGGGAGAGGGAAGTATGGCACACCGAACAGAGCGGCAATGATGATGTAGCTACAGAAACCACATTCACAGTTTTAGGCCACATCCTGCAAGCATATTGGAATCATTATACATGTACACGCACATGTGGATTGTGTGCATGCCCCGGTGGCTATGATAAGCAATGACCACGGCAAGTGTTAGCAAGCATAGCTCTAGTAGCGGAGATGGTCCGATGATAAGTAGTGATTGCATGTGCCATCATGTTCATTGGTAATACCTTAGTGTGGCAAGGTGTTTCTGCCGCTGATCGATGGTCATCTCCGCTGTGTAAACTCCCAGCAAGCATGGCCAGACAACAGGACGGGCACTGCTCTCAATTCCCTGTGAACAACGCAGGTATCAAGACTCAAGTGAATGCACACGTAGATATTGTATGAGGGATGCTGCAGTTGCCGGGACATGCAGGTAGGTGTGTGTGTGTATGTGTGTGTGTGCCCGTGTGTGTGTGTGTGTATGTGTGTGTGTGTGTATGTGTGTGCCCGTGCCCGTGTGCGTATAGACGAATAGCAAGACTGACAATGTTCACATTGTGCTGCTTTTGCTGTGGCAGCTACCATTCTCACGTTAGGAAGGGGTTTGCTCATGAGCCACGTTGTCTGGTTAGTGCAAGGTAGTGCAAGGTAGCAAGAGGTGGGGGGCAAATGTGATCCAGTAAGTAATAGTTTTGAATCTGGATTACATGCATTGTTTGGATATAGGGCAATTGTGCTGAGCACGTGATGTACTTCAAAGTATACAGACATAATAATTATTACAGTGGTCCCTCTATAATCCGGCACCATTTGTGCCACGAATATCTGCTGGATTAGGGAGGGTGCTGGATTAACAAATCTGATTTACTGCTGCAATGTGCATGAAGAGGATATTTTGGCTACTGAAATTTGTGCTGGTTTATCGAGGGTGTTGGATTATAAAGTGCCGGATTAGAGAGGGACGACTGTATTACAGTAGTGGTCACACTGTCACACAGTATAATTATTTCCGCTCTGAGTCAGAGTGGCTGCGTACATGACTGTACTCACATGTATGTAGATTATCTTGTGTAGCTCATACTCGTTGACACATCGACCTTCCCGATCAAAACACGTCCCGAATGAACTCAGGCCAACGCTGCTACTGCCTGTGTGTCTAATGCCAGTAATGGGGAACCCATCACCACCGCCACTGACACTGGCGTTGCCGCTCATTGCCAACGACAGCGAGTGCTGGCTTCCGGCAGGAACGTCAGTAAGTCTTGTTGTCGTAGTTGCCAACCCACGCTGCTGATGCGGAGACCAACCATTCGCTACCGCTATCGGATGGGTCGTTGCCGGAGAACTCGAAGTGTGAACGCGTGGCGGCGAGGTAACTAATACTTGCTCCGGCGAGATCAATGAGAATCCAGGGTGCGTGGTCGGAGCACGAGCACTACCATCTCCTGGAGGAACGGGACGAATGGGCGCATTGCAATGGACTAGTGGTGTTACTGGCTGCAAGACGAGTTGGCGATGGTCCATTGTGAACTGGAGACGGTCACGTCAAGTGATCAAGAAAACTAACAAACGATGCAAAGCGGATTATTTTACCAGTTGCACAACGTCGTTACTCACTCTAAATTAGAATAGATCCGGCTAGCATTGCAGACCACGAAGAGTTAGTGTGCATGCTGCTTCTATACCAGCTGCATCGGTCACCCGTCGCTTTTTTGGTGGGAAGCAAACAATCATAACATCACTAAACTTTAGAGGATCTCGTGGACAATGAATTAAAAATGAGCCTCCGTAGATCTACGAGCAAAACACCGGAGAAGACGGGCGATGCGACGTTTTTGACAGCTCCTCCGTCAAGTGACAGGTTCGGCATGACCCCAACAAAGTCTCGCCATTGCCATTCACCAGACAGACACAGGCTAGGCAGGCCTGATCGCCAGATTAGCTGATAGCGATAAGTACCACAAAGACTTACTTCGAAGATGTCCTGATCCGGCCATGTAGCATTGTAGCCTGTAGCAAGTGTAGGCAGTGTGGTGTAGAGGACCGAAGCGGCGAAGTCAGTCTACCTGGTCTACCATGGTCTACCTGCGTATGTCGTCGCGCGGAGACCGACGCGACATGTAATTACTCTATGATCTAGCTACGTAGATATCATGGATATACGTATATACGTGGAGTAGATCTACCGAGTACGAGTAACAGTTGCACGTGCATGATGCTGCCGTGCACGTGTGACCATGGTGACAGTGAAATGCTATAGTATTAGTATAGCCAGTATAGGCACTACTAATAATATAGTTACTTGTGTGCCTCGGGTCCAGAGGGGAGCACATAACAGGTGAATATTTGCTTGGTGGCCGAACTAAGGACTGAAGGTCAATTACGGACTGTAAAATACCATAGAGAACAAACATCCATAGCGCCCGGCCCGCCCATGGACTGAACCTTCCCAGCGGCAAATAAAAGTGAACGGATCGTTCTGAACCTCTAACTCTAAGACAATAAACACAAGTGCACAATGACATATTTTACTACACTTCACCAATCAATCCGTCTTCAAAAAATACGAAATATAAAACACGAAAACTGTCAAAAAGCAAATAGCACAGCCCAACGTCATCACAATTGTTGTCATAACCGCGTCCCTCGCCATAGCCGCAATGGACACAAAGGCGCTGATTGGACGATGATCTTGCTCCTCTGATCAGTGAACAATGACTGAACATACATGTACACACATGTACTGCCGCTCGAAGCAGCGCAAAGGACAGGCGATACCTACCATTAGTAATAGTATTACGGCATTAGTGGCATTACTATTGGTAAGTCGTCAACAGGTCAAGTGAAGTCGAATTATGTTATGCGGAATGTTGGCGCAGCATGATGGTACATGTATTGGCAATACCATCAAGGCATCATGCTGCACCAACATTCCACGTTAGGCACATGACAATACAGACATCACTTGACCTGTTGATATCACTTGTCAGCCTTACTACTAAGTTAGTACTACTACTACTAGGTCAGGGAGTCGTGCCCAAACCACGTTAGGGTATGACTCCCCAGTGTAGTCGACAACTAAGCTTACTTTATAATTGTAGTGAGGTTTTGCAATAACAATCCGCTCATTGTACGAGTACTGCAGTTTCTTCTGCTTCTCATGCCAGCTGCTGCAACAAGTCAGGCTGTTTTGCATAAGAAGCCGCATCTGCCTCTGATTCTGGGCGATCGACGGGAACATCCAGGTGTTCTCAGTGTTTTGCCTTCTGCCAGTTCTGGCGAATCTGGGTAGAGTCCAGGCTGCCAAGTGAATGCCATGCATGCATGGCCTGAGCTGGGTAGATCTCCTCGATCGATCTCGAGTCGAGTCCTGCGCATGCATGCACGACTATCTGCACGTGCATGAGAAGAGGATAGCAACAGTCCATAGTTACCACAGCTGTATCCTGGTAACGCGACAGCGATCGAAAAAGCAAAAGATGAGTGTACTGACTCGGAGTCGTACTGAGTCTGTACTCTGCACTCGCAGTCAGAATAGCCACGACACTGGTCAATCTCTGCAGCAAAGTTTTGATAGCACGAGACTTTTTCATGGGACCATGACTAAAGTAAAGAGAAAAAGTAAATAATTTGAAATAGGCCGGGACTAACATTAGAGTATTGTTTGTCAAGCTTCAAGGTGAAAAGTGATCTGAGTCGGAGTAAACTCCAGTAAACAGCTAAGATGAAATAGGTAGAGACCAAGCAGAAGAGGCACATCCCGCTGTTCGTTTGCACCATCGCCCATTGAAGGCCAATACAGTTAGCAATTACTACCACTACCAGTGCTTGCATTAGTTGCTGGGCGAAGGAGGCGACGACACCCAGCGGTGCAGCAGCAGCGTCGCCATGTCGCTATCCGGCAAGTGCACCACTTCGCCAGCCACTTGCCTGCGCATCTGTACGGACGTAGCGGCGACATTCGAGCGCCAGACTCCCGTCGAGCGTGACATGGAGAAAGTTCTGTCGGACCAACTGGCGCTCAGCCAGGTAGGTGATCACACGCAACACATAACATTATTGCATTGGCTCGCCATCCTGTATTGGCTATATGTAGTTGCAAGCCGTTGAAAGTTCACTGGGTGGGATCATTGTGACTGTACACTGTGGTAGCACACTCACAAGACAAACTGCGTGGTGTACTGCATGCAGCCCAACAATATCGTGGTGTGCACGGTACTGTGGCTAAAGATGACTCCAAGCCAGGTATCATTGGTTACCACTATACGACCATGTACCAGTAGTATTAGTGATGCCCGCAGCCCTGGAAGATGTACACTCATGTCCCAGGGTTCTTCCTAGTTCCTATTACCGTAAAGTCGCAGATAAAAGCCGGGTTTGCATACGAGCACATCGCGGATAGAAGCCTGAAAATCAAACGGGTCAAATGCATATAAGCCTGTCGCGCGAAGAAGCCTGGCTTCTATGCAAGAGCGGATCGGGTGGGTCAAGAGTGCATGCGCTATGTACGGTGCATGGTAAAACTGCCGCCATACCGGTAGTCAGTGGTAGATCTACGCGTGTCGCGCGTAGAAGCCTGGCTTCTATGCAAGCGCGGATCAGGTGGGTCAAGAGTGCATGCGCTATGTACGGTGCATGGTAAAACTGCCGCCATACCGGTAGTCAGTGGTAGATCTACGCATGTCGCGCGTAGAAGCCTGGCATACAAGCCTGGCAAAAATATCAGTGGTGCATATAAGCATGGTTTGCATACAAGCCTGGTTTGCATTAAAGCCTGATGCAGAAAGCGGCTTATGTCCTTATAAGCCCGGCTTTTATCTGCGACTTTACGGTATGTTCTGTGCGTCCCTTGACACAAGTTTTGGGCGTATGGACGCACGCTTAAATCACCCCCGCTCCATAAGGATCTGATCATTCTTAGGTCGACATATTCCTGGAATCAAGTCAGAAGCCTGCCGGGCTGTAAGCTAGTCTAGAACTGCCCAGGAAACACCCTTGTACCGTACTTGCAAGTGCGACTTTTGTAGAGCGCTGGTGTTCAGCATTGCGTGCCCCCCCCCCCCCCCCCTCGCCTGAAACCTTTCCTTTGCAAGCTGGACTGCAAACTGGGTGTGATGCAGCAGCTGTGGCGGGGTCGGGGGGGGGGGGGTGAGGAGGAGGAGGAGAGGGGGGGGGGGAGTTTGCATAACATTGACCACACGGTGATGTACAGACTCAGTCTGATTATGCATGAGGCATGTGCACAATGCACCATGATACCTATACCGGTGAGGTGAGTATGGACAGCTCCCAAGACAGATTCTTACATACAAGTACCGTAATATGTTTTCACAGTGCCAGCGTGAACAAGGCGAAGACGCACTGTATGGGAAACGCCTTGTTCACGCTGTCACCGTGAAAACATGTTACCTATCAGCCTATCAGCCTATCAGCCTATCAGGCAAGGCTTTCGTTAACTACTGTAATGTGCGTCACCCGGTATCTAGCAGTGCTAGTGTGAACGTCTCCCACCCGGTATCTAGCAGTGCTAGTGTGAACGTCTCCCACCCGGTATCTAGCAGTGCTAGTGTGAACGTCTCCCACCCGGTATCTAGCAGTGCTAGTGTGAACGTCTCCCACCCGGTATCTAGCAGTGCTAGTGTGAACGTCTCCCACCCGGTATCTAGCAGTGCTAGTGTGAACGTCTCCCACCCGGTATCTAGCAGTGCTAGTGTGAACGTCTCCCACCCGGTATCTAGCAGTGCTAGTGTGAACGTCTCCCACCCGGTATCTAGCAGTGCTAGTGTGAACGTCTCCCACCGGTATCTAGCAGTGCTAGTGTGAACGTCTCCCACCCGGTATCTAGCAGTGCTAGTGTGAACGTCTCCCACCCGGTATCTAGCAGTGCTAGTGTGAACGTCTCCCACCTGGTATCTAGCAGTGCTAGTGTGAACGTCTCCCACCTGGATATCGTTAGACTGTAGGTCATTGTGCAGCAGGGTTGTGCTCAATCCAGTGTCAGTCCATCTGATGTCCAAAGTACCACATCCGTTGCTTTGTCGTGTTTTGTTGCGTGTCCGTTTCTTGAAGCTGAGCAGCGCGGAAAGGAGTATTGTGCATGGATGTGGCAAGTTCTACGAGCGCCATCGTCCGGCAATGAATGTAAGAGCAGTATGAAGTGTGAGCTGTGCCTCACTTTCGGGGAACCTAGCCTCACACTATAACGGTGTATGTCTCATTGCACTGCACTACACTACACTGCACTACACTACACTGCACTACACTACACTGCACTACACTACACTGCACTACACTACACTGCACTGCACTACACTGCACTACACTACACTGCACTGCACTGCACTGCACTTAGCAGCTCATGATCATATGCGGCTCCTAGGTTTGCCGTCCCACCTTTTTATAGGAATAACCTGTATGTGCGCCTCGGTTTTTTAACTTGATGTTATTGTTAACTTACTGCCTATAAAAATATAGCTAAGATTTCAGTACATGTATATTGCTAGAGTCAGACTATGATTGGCCGTTCTAGGAGTATGAATTCCACCGATCAAGACAGCACATATGCATGCTGCGGCGTTGCCCTATGACCAATCACTCCCACTGGTTTCTGTGGTGGGCAGGGAGTCGTAGCATCTACTTTGAAGTACGAACGTGACGGAAGCATGTGGAACGTCAAACGGTGTGGGTTCACTCTGGGGGCACCCGTTCCAATTGCGCTTGGGTCAGGGTTGATTTATGCAAGCTCTCGTGCATAGGGCATCGTTGGTGTGATCATGCTTGGAGTTTGGTCAAAGCCACGCTTTGCCTAGACCACGGATCATGTGAAGTAATCAAATCCGGGGTCGAAACAGACACATCATTCCGGCTGCTATGGTCTTAGGTCATTTCCCTGGCTGCTACAAATCCCTGTGTGCGTGAATAATGTCTTCATCAAATATTTAACAGTTAACTTGTACAGTGGTCCCTCTATAATCCGGCACCATTTGTGCCACGAAAATCTGCTGGATAAGGGAGGGTGCTGGATTAACGAATCTGATTTACTGCTGCAATGTACATGAAGAGGACATTTTGGCTACTGAAAATTGTGCTGGTTTATCGAGGGTGCTGGATTATAAAGTGCCGGATTAGAGAGGGACGACTGTACTTGCATATACCATTGGTCATAGTGCATCGCCATACACTCAAGTTTGTGTGTGTGTTTGCCATGTAGGCCGTTGTGGATACATTTTACACATTGGAAGCTGGTCGCCTAGCATCACGCGCCGACTACTTCATGTACATAGGTAAGAGCATGGCCACTGGTCTTTAAATACTCCATCTTCACCTTCGGCTCGTGACCATGCTGCCTCAAGTATACATTTTCATCGGTACAAAAGGTGACTGCTACTTGTAAAGATCACTTGGATACCGTGTTCTCAGGGGTCAAACCCACGCTGATATACATGTAATATACCGCCTTTATTTTTTACACTTTGAGGCAAAATTTAAACTCGGATACTGCGCCAGACGAAACACATGAGAACGAATCGCACTTTCTGACCGTTTATCATCTTGTTACAGTCGTGGATAGTTGCTGCATAACTCGTTCTCATGTGTTTCTTCTCTTTTTTACTTTGAAGCAAAGCATTACTTTGCAGTTTTTATTTGCTTGCACTCAGAAGTACAATGGCATCATTTGGCTTTCAAAATCCGATAAATGCTTGACATGGCTAAAGTTTGCCGGTGCTTCAGCACGCTATGTTGCCAAAGTTTCGACACAATCATAATGTATCCACATAATTGTTGGGCGTCAAGGATGACCTGTCACCAGAGGGATGCATACCCAACTGCATGTGCTAACCCCTTTCACTCACCTCTTTACGGCTATGCTACATTTTCTCCACTAGTAGAGTAGGTAGGTGGGAGGGGAACTGACGGACATGCAGTGAGGAAATAGACCTTTGGAGGCCTGTGGAGTGCTAGGGTTGGTACCACTCACACGGGCACTATTGTTTTAATGCTGTTGGTGCTGGCCAAATCTATAGCCTTCTCCATTCTGGTACATGTACAACCTTCAGCTCACCTCACCTCTCATCTGTCACATGAACTAAAACCTGCAGACGAGGTAGTGATATGCCCTGCAGTGTATGAGTGCATTGACACTTCGTTTGCCAGTCATCCTATTCGGTTTTCACTTCACCTGCATTGTAGCGCGTGTGTGTTGTGAGACATACTCACTTGCGCTCAATCACCCACACCTGCAGCAGCCCATATCAAGCACATCCATTGCACATTGTCCGTGAGGCTGTCTGACGATCGCTTCTGCATGCTCATAGTTATCACAATACTGCTTCATTAGCCTTCCCGGCTGTCTTTTCATAGGCACTAATGCATATGAGATATTGGATCTAGTAGACATCACTAATCCAAATTTGGAATGATCCCGACATGTTCCACAGCTCTGCTTGCTATCGTGTTGGACCACTGCGGAAAGACGTCTTTCGAATACTTCCAGAAGATCGTCGCCACAACGCGTCCGTACAAGACCATGAAAGTAAGGTCCAGGAGGTGTTGTCTGTGCTTGTAGGTCATGTGTATGTGACTGTGTGTATGCGTGTCCCTGTACGAGTACATGATATGCAGTCATCTACATTGTTTAGTCCACAGTGTGTCATACCAAAAGTGAAGAGCCATTTGAGGAAAATAGCCATTCATGATTGTAAATATGAAAAAAGGTTATTATACCATGCCAACTGGCTATTATTAAGTCATGTATTAGCCCACAAAGGTGCAGGCAAATATTGTATTACATACCCACAGCAGGAAGATATTGAAATTACCAATTTCCACTCACAACTGGAGCAAACAGCATTGATCCAGAAATGAAATTGCTACACGCTTTCGGCAGTATGAAGCTCTGCACCCACGAAAGCAAGTTATCAGCCAGCGGAGTAAAAATAAATAAGATCCTGCAGCGCAAATACGACATTGCTATTAGATAATTAAGCTATGGCTGCTTCTCGACAATGAGTTGAACATTTTTTAAAGCACGGGAACATTCTGAAATGCACATAAAATTGGTTGCGAAAACCAAAGGCGTGAAGGTGCCTCGCTCAACATCAATCACATGTTGTAGGGAGGCCCATTTCTTCTGTGCTTCATTACGAGACAACTGGGCAAGCACATCCGATCTCAACAGCAAGGATGCTGAGTAGTGGTGACCCTTCTAACATCAAAAAAATGCATCTTGCTGTCGAGACCAGATGCCCCTTGCAGAGATGTCCAAACGAGCCTCAGCAGAAAGATTGGCAGTGATGCCACCCAGTGACTCGTCAGTCAAAGGCAACGGCGTGGGCTCTATCTTAACATCTGGAATGACGGCCAAAAACACCTCCGCCAACAGGTCCCGAATCTAGTTACGGCACAGACTAGGGTTGCCCCTGTTGGACCAGCGGAGCCAGAGCAGGAAGGCGGGTGAGCCTGGATGCGACGAGCCTCCTCCAACAGTGACTTCAAGTCACCAGCAGCCCACATGTCTATGTGCTGCTGCAGATGTTCAGTGTTTTCCTTCCTTCTGCTGTGCGGCTCAAGCAGCTGAAGCAAGAGGTAACCAGCAACGGCCACACACTCCCAAGCGACACAGGCAGTTGGACCATCAGATGCAAACGCCTTCGTGAAATCCGTAATAATGTTCACGAACCGCTTGCCAGTAGAACCAGAGGGGGCCATAGAAAGATTTCGCTGCAAGCACCCAACCTGTCTATACGCAGTCTGCAACCTATTGGCCAATTTTGCATGCAGTGACCACAGAAAGGCAACTAGGGGAGCATCAGCAACCCCCACAACAACACGGCCTTCACCATCTCCAGTCCGCACAGGGCGACCATGGTCGGCAGCAGCCATCATAATGACATTATGATCTTCTCTGTCCCCACTGCCCACGGAGCAGTCCCTGCCAGCAGCCAAAGAAGACACCCGTGGAGATGAGAAACTGGGGCTTGGTTGAAATACTTGCACCCGAACACCGCAAATCCACTCGCAAGGACTTTCCACTTCGGTTGAAGATACTGCCGCGGATGCAGAGGCAGGAACAGACACCTGAGTAACTCCTGTGTTAGATGTGCCATCATTTGGAAGACGAAGGCCCGGAACTTGGTGGTGTATGCCCTACCACGCCACGGCGAGGCACCCAACCAGGGGGAGCATCAGGTCTTTGTACATATTCTGGCACGTGCCCCGGCGCTGGTCATTCCCCTAGTTCTGGCTCTGACCCTGGGCTATGAAACGGGTAGTGCCACGTCTATTTGCATGCGTCGATGTGTGGCTATGGCGTGCCTGAGCTAGAGAAGTAGCCAGTGTGCACTATCTGGAGTTGTCGGACCGAGCATTCCTACGCGATGGACTAATCCGCTGCTTTGCTGTTTTTCAATGCCATCTGAGGGTGGGTATGCATGCGCGCATATTTATATGTGTGTGTATTTGTGCGTGTGTGTGCGCACTGCGTGCGTGTGTGTGTGTATGCATGTCTGTATTTTTTCTTTCCAGTTTCTGGCAGAGATATTTCTGATGGGTGATGATGAGAATTGGCTGGAAAGCGTGGTATGTTTAACCATAGTAAGGCATGTGTGAAGTCTCCAGTCTAGTGTGCCTCATAGCTGCTGCACCTTCCCTTTGGCCATGACCTGCCTTGCAGTACGTAATTCAAAGCAATGATATTCACCTGGCAACAACTCTATCCTTGTTGCCATCGGGCTATTTAATGATAGCTTGCATGCCGTCCTACCGGTAGGACCCAAGAAATCGCGCTGCAAAAGTGCTTTTGGTTGAGAAATTTCTTGAAACAATTGTTGAGATGAGGTCTTTGTCAGGCAAAGTAATGGCGCAAAATGCAAGGCTATGCCCAGTGCATTGCATACGCGCAATTTTATCAATTGTCAAAATGGCCGCACATACTCCTGTCAGAGCGCTAACAACTCTGTCCAAAGTGAATTTTGACCATGACACATCGTGGTGAGGTACTAATGTTTTTATTAGTCTGCCAAGGCAGTGGAATGCATAATTCCATACACCGTTTCCATGGTTACCATGGGCTGTTACCATGGAATTTCGTAGTATGCCTTGTGCGATCACGTCTAAAATTTGTGGACTCCTTCATTAGCCCCTGAGCAACAGTTAAGAATCAAGTTTTTGGTCAATGTTAGAACAGAGGCCATGCAGCATGTCTGTGTATGATGGTCCTACCGGTAGGTCCTACCGGTAGGACCGAGGTCTATGCAAGCTATCATTAATGTGAACCCTGCACAAGGTTGGAATATCCATACTGTAGACGGTCACACCCTGGTACCGCAAGATACTGTCACAGTGTGCATCACCACTTTACAGTGCATGTACATGCTCCTGGTGAATACACAGGAGAGCCCCTCGATAGGCCTCTGTGGCCTTTGGACAATCCTTAAATAAAAATCTATCAATCAATCAATGTTAGTGGTACCTTTTGCTGTAAGATAAAGTGGACATGACTGTGTTATGCTCTGCAGCTGTGTCGGCACTTTGATGAGCAGTACGTGGCAGAGTCCTTGATGCCAGCACTCGAAGAGTAAGTCATCTCCATCAATTAGTGGGGCTGGTGCCACGGTGGGGGCGGGATTCCCGGTTGGAATTGCAATCAGTTACTGAGTAATGCAGCGGCGCATTAGTACAGTGCCAGGGGCGTAGCTGGTCCCCCTTTTAGGGGGTGCGTGCCGCATATGTGTAGGATGGCTGGTGCATGTCATTCATAGTCGTTATGTGCATGCTGAACCTGGGTCGAAATGTTTAGGGGGGGGGGGGGTGCAAGTGCCCCCCCCCCCAAATGAAAGACTGGCAAGTGTAACAATTACATGGTGCTCCGGTGCTGACCAACCACTGCATCCATGAATGTCTTTGATCTGTATCTGATAGATGGAAGACTAGTGGCCAAGGTGTTGCCAAGAAGATGCAAGAGGAGCAGGACAGGTCTCACAAGTCTGTTCATCATTCGACGAAGGCAACGGTACCCACCAGTAAGCTCTGTGATCATGCGCTGCCTCTTTCATACTGAGGGTATATTTCATACAGCATTGTGACATGCGAGGATATGCTTGGATGGAGCAAACAATAGGACTGTCCATTCATTCTGCAGTCGTGATCTCGAATTGGTACTGATGTATCTTGTTTTTTGCACGGTTTTTAAAGAAAAAGCTAACCTTTGTGGGCATGGCCAGGTTAGACTTTCGGCATGATGTCACATGCAGTTCACCTCTCTAATTTGTTCCATACTGTGTTGACCAGATAACAATCATGAGGAAATAGTGCTGCAGAGTAACGGGGGGGGGGGGGGGGGGGAGTGAGGATTCAGCATCGCGTACTATATGGTTAATAGCACAGATGATATCCGGCTTCCTCCACCCACCCATGCAATGAAAATGGCCTATCGCGATCTGTGAAAGTAGGTGGTCTCGAAAATGAGAGTGATCCTTGCACATTCCACACATGTGTCTGATTCCAAACAATAGCGCCGGTCTAGCAGACCAGGTGGTGTCTGTGACACCTGCTCTTGTTATTCACGTGTGCTGTCCCTGCAGAGCCTGAGCCGTTCAATCTAACCCAGCCACGGCCAAGGCCGACAATGGTGGCGGATCAATACGTGAGTATGCGTCATTGCACTGTGCAACTGATTTCAGAACTAAGATATGGCTCGAATTATTTACGGATTTGGTTAGAATTGTGTTGTAGTAGACGGACTTTCTACCGTATAGTACGTTATTTTGTGTACGTCGCGTGTACAATCATGCATGCGCGTGTTGCTGTAGTGTAAAAAGTAGTCTTCGTCTTGAGTTCGTCTTGTCTAGTTGTGTTTCGTCGTCGTGTCAATAAAGTCTTCTAAATGTAGTTATCGTCGTCCCTTGGAATAAGTGTGGAGATGGCACGGGACTGGGAGCAGGTGGAGAAAGGCCAGTTACTACATGTGTGTTCAAGTCCGGCGACTTTGTTCGAGATGATAGCAGATTACACAGAGGGCAGCGAGAGATGAAATGGGATCTGAATTTTGTGTGTTAACGTCAATGCATGCACCAAGGTTTGCTGTTGTGCATTCAGAGTTGAACATCCTTGCCTATTTGAACGGATGCTGATCTAAGTTTTTCATCTTGTGACATGTTGATCTCGTGCCGCATGTGGGAGTGCTTGATGCATGTGGGAGTGCTCGATGCGGTTTGTGTGTCGTGATACATGTACATACACGATCTCTCTCGTATTATGGAGGTTTAGTCCCGCGTAGTCCGTGTGTACTTGACGTGTGTGTACCACGTGATGATACTCAGTGACCCACATACAGCCGTTTTCTGATTCACGACATACCATGTATTGAGGCTCACCCACATTCCGCCAGAACGTGGGTGAAAATCAGAATGGAGCGCATTGTGTAAGCCGTGAGGGTGCTCAGCTGAAGAAGTTTTCGAAGCACGAAAAATATTCGGCGAGCTTCGAAGCTTTGTCTTTTGCCAAAGGCGGGCCTTTCGTTTCATGCTTTTGTTTGTTCCGTGTGACTAAACTTAACATTGCGAACGTGGGTCCATTGCATGAACTTTGCGTTTAACTAAACCTCCCTATTGATAATCCATGGGCTGTATTTTTGTGCTTGATCTGTGCAGGAGAAGCGCTCTTACTGCAATCCCGTAAGTTGACACATATTTGGAGCTTAGCAAGTGGCAAGGCCGTGTCCGTCCCTCACTACATGTAACCGTTGGTATCTCTCATCAACCGGGGTTACCATGGTTACCCTGTTTCTTCAACATGACTGTCACAGTACATGTACACAGATAGTACTTGGTCGGCACACAAACGATAATCATGTCAGTATGATTATCTATAGTATATGGTGTACTGTAAGCTGTTGTATCTCTCTTCACCATCAAGTCTGATTTGGTCCTTGCTGCAGGTTCCCGCCAGCACCCATGCAACCAAGTTTGTACTGGTGAACGCAAAATCAAAGGGAATCGCCGGGGCCCAGGTTCGTAGTTACTTCTAGAGCTGGCCGTCGTATTTGTTCGCCCACTGCCCGTCTCCGTGCTAATGGTCCGTGTTCTGCAGCAGTTTGTGCTCACAGCCATGCATTGCGTGCCTGCATGACGAAAGAAAGTTGTTTGTTTCAAACGTGATCCTTTATACATGTACTTCAGTAGCACTGCACACACGGAAGAATGCCGAGTACCGTAGCTTGCAGAGTATGGCTGTCATTGTAGCCTGGAGTAATGTGATCATGTAGCTTGTGTTTGTTCTCTTCTGTTGTGTGCCGACAGGAAGGGGCATTCAGAGTAAAAACATCTGTTGGTTCTGACCTACACAGGTACTTGTAGTTGTACGGATTGCACCCATTGCCTCTCTGTATCAGTGTGCTCAATATTGCTCAGTTTAAAACATGTCATCTGAAACTCACCTCAACAAAAAGAGCTTCTGCAGTAGTATTCAATGATGTGTTGGATGGTTGCGGTAGAGATTGATCAGGGATGCCTCCGGGGCATAGAAAGGGTGTGAGGCGCAGCTTTCTTTAGCTTCTATATGCAGACAACCTTCCTGTGCCTGGAGTAGCTGGTGTTCCTGTGCCTGGAGTAGCTGGTGTTCATATTGTTCCTTTGCCTGGAGTAGCTGGTGTTCATATTGGTGTCCTTTGTTTTTGTTTTTGTCTTGCAGACCTGCAAAGCAGAGTTCTACAACAAAGGATGTTGGAAAATCCAGTGCAAGAGATGTCAGGAAGAATGGCAAAGCTGGCGGTAACATTGGCAGGGTCGCAGAGGCCAGTAGCCAAAGCAAACCAAAAGAAGGCTGGACAAACGTCACGACACGAGACGTCCCAGCAAACTTCAAAGCGCAAAAGGTGAGTCGGTATTCTGTTACAAAACCGATCGCATGTTTCCTGTTCTTCATTGGCTCCGTATTCAACAAAAAAATCTGTCAGAAGTGGGATTCGAACCCACGCCCACATACGTGGACCAGAAGGCTCCAATCTGCATTGACTGCAGAAGGTACAAGACCTTGAGTCTGGCGCCTTAGACCGCTCGGCCATCCTGACAGTCACATTCTATCATGCCCAGGATCATCCAGACCAATGTACTGTGTAGCTGTGTGTCTGTGTGACAGTGATGATGACGGATCAAGTCTGGAACTGAGGATAACAGTAAACCGACTCCTGGACATTGCAAGCAACCCTGAAAGTGATTTTCAGTGCTGACTGCTCTTTGATGTGCAATTTCAGTCGGCTCACTGATCGTCAGCACCCGGCTTTGAGTGGATAAAGTGAGATCCTGCATGTGTTATAGACATCAGTGTACGAGGTCCTCCCCATAAAAGTGTGCATACGAATCCTGGATGGGGCGGCAGTTGCGCGGGGAAGTAGATGAATTACTGAGGTCCACAAAAACCGGCTCAGTCCTATGTTAGGGCGCGTTCTCATTTCCAGTGTTCTTTTCCGGCTTCTCTTGACCTAGATCCCCAACCTCAACCCAGAGCATCCGGTGAAGTCAACAGCAGCATCCATAATGCGAAGCGGTGCATTAGCAATGCGGCGAGAGAAGGAGCAAGCAAAGAAGTATGTGGCAAAAGCAAGGCAGTGTGCTCTAGCTGTTGCTGCCGAGGGAGCATACTAAGACTGATCAGTTGCATGGGCTGTACTCAGTTCATTTCACGTGTAGTTTGGCTGTAGTCCGGTCGCTGCTGAATAAGCCTGGCAGTGTGGCCCTTCATGCACGTGTGTGTGTGTGTGTGTGTGTGTGTGTGTGTGTGTGTGTGTGTGTGTGTGTGTGTGTGCATTGTGGTGGGATTGGAGGGAACAGGGAGGGGGTTATCCGTCTTGTATGTCCGCATGGTGTTATTTATCAGGAAGTGCATGTAGTGTATTTGATTCGTGTATGGCATGCAGAGTACATACATACATACATGGCATGCAGAGTACTTGATGTGTGTCACGGTATAGTGTGCTGTCATGCAAACTGTATGGAAAGCTGCATATTCAGTCTCTCTGATCTCTTTGATCTCGAAACTCCTTTTCTTTTGACAGGTTTGCTGATCTAGCTGCAGGTGGGGTTGATGATGAGGGCTTCCAACGGCTGATGATGGAGAAGGAAGCACAGGAGCTTCACCAGCGACTGACTGACATCGAGAAGAAGCACTTGGTAAGGTGTGCACGCTATATACACGATGCACCGGAGTGGCATGGTCAGTGGTCTCAAAGGACCGCTACGCTGCTGAGGATCTGCATGCTGTTGTGCTGGACATGAGTGAAGATGAGGACAGCATGGAAGTCATGTTGATGAAGGGCATCCGTGCTCTGAACAATGCTGGCTGAGACTAGCTGTCGTGTTCTAGGAACCCTGAAACCACATTACATGTGGTAGCCTGACGAGTGACACACTTGATCATTTGATGATTATCTGGACTGTTTCCGGAGGACGCATTGATTACTATGCCATATTGGGTTGTGAATGCTGTGCCCAGCAGCTGTACTTTGACTGCAGTCTTCATGGGGCGGCTGAATTTCATACACACATTTACACGCACACGCCTTTTTGCTCTGAGTAAATATGTTCTTATATCTGTGTGCTGCACTATAGGAAGGATTGCTCAGTTTCGAGCAGGCTGTTATCGCTCAGGAGACATTGAAGCTGGACCGCCATCACCTTGCGGACACGCTCAAAGCCGAGGTAATAACTAATAAGCCACGCAGGATGCATGCTGACTACAGCCATTGTGCAGCATAAACAAGGAGATCCTGAAGACATCCAGAGTCAGCAGCAATGATCCTTGTTGGTCAGTGGTGCTGCGATGCTGCTTAGCTGGAATGCCAGCCTATTTTACCCGTTATTAGTCAATCACTCATACTTCAGTGGGGCTTCCCCGTTCAATGGTGGTTAAACCCCGGCTGTAAGTCGACTACCCCCTTTCTAATTTGGTTTCAAGTCATAATATTATTATAAGGTCGACTTGCTACCGGTGAAATATGGTATTTCACGACATACTGGGCCAATGTATATCAGCGACACACTGTAGTTCCATGATATGTGAACTTGGTTGTGCTCTGAACACTGTTGCTGTTGCCGTCGATCTTGACACTGCCAACCTCTGCTTGTCCTCCTTTTCTTGTGTAGTCTGAAGAGCTCCTTCACCAGATGGCACTGAAGCGCATGGAAGAGGAAGAGGAAATGAGGTGTGTGGATCCAGTTTACGAGGAACGCATATTGTGTACTGTGTAGTAAACCTGAAGCGGAACACCCACCCTTGAACTGGAACTACGTTGTTGTTTAAAAAAAATATTGCAACACAACTGAAGCTGCTTGGGGTACTCTACAATACACTGAGTTTTCCCTATATTCATGTAGGATTGAGCAGCCAGTCCTCACTGACCTAAGATTTACGAATTAGGATTTGATACTGCGAAAACGCCGCAACTTCTCTTGGTATTGCTGTGATACGCAGGCGCATTGTGGACACCATACTGGAAGGGCATGAGCATGCGCGAGAGGCAAGGGTAAAGCTGGAGCAGGACAACAAGGAAGTCGGTGAGTACCGCCGCCACTCCAGTGATTGTACTTCAAGTGCGGTCATGTATGTACATTATATAAGATGATGACTGTGTGTAGCCCAATCACTACAGGGCTACAGTCCATTTCAAAACTATAGACGCGTACCTAGGCAAAAACCGTTATGCCAGCATCTATACCACATAAAATCTGTGATCACTTTGTGCATAATTTTTTCCAAATTGGGCGTCTGTTATCCAATCCTTTAGAAACTATATGAGAGTAATTGTGGAGCGATCCTGAGCAATATTCCGAAAACTATTCTCAAAAAGGTCCAGCCAAATTTGAAATATTTCAAAAACCCTACGCGTCTATAGTTTTGAAATGCACTGTACACAGATATGATTGTAATGTACCATGTTCTAGGTGCTGTGCTGAGTTCTCAACAAACTTGCAGTGCATGGGATGGTACCCTTGAGCCTACAACCTGGTCATGTTCAATCTTGGTACATTGCAATACACTACACGTCATGTAATTCGAAATGCTGCACTGACGTGCTCTGCTGAGTATACTGATGTCCTTTCTTTCCTTGTCTGTTGTGCTCCATAGTGAAGAAGTTCAGCCAGGAAAATGAAGAGCTGCTGCAGAAAGCAAAGGAAGAGGTGTGTAACATCTTCACTTGTGCTATAGTGTACATTGTATTGCTGGATCCGTTTTTGCATGCCTGTGCTCATTGCTCGCCACAATACTTCTATGATGCGTACTTTCAGGTTCATGTCAGTAGATTGCCGCACGTTGCTCCTCCTTGCATGTGGCAATAGGCTCTGTGCATTTCTGCATGATGCTCGCTTGATTCTGTACGGTACAAGAGCGCATATTGTATGAGCCTATTGTACTGGGCTACTGTGTTTGCCGCCAACATTTGTTCTGGTATGCCAGTACATGTATATACTTTAAATCTGTAGGTCATACTTGTATGAAGTTCATGAACAAGCACGTGGACCTGATATTCCCAGTCTACATACCCATACACTTTACCACCAGTGGCATGCAAGATAGCCGGATGTCACAAATGACTCATCATGCTGTTGCTGCTGTGATTGTTTCTATGTACCCACACGCGTGTGCTCAGGCCGAAGCAGAGCGGAAACGTCGCGTGGACCTGATCATGCAGATCAGGGCGATGGAGAGTGTCCCCGTCGAGCGCTTCAAGGAATTTGATCGGCTAACGTCCGGAGATCATGGCCTACTGATTGAGATGTCCGTGGCAGGGGTAAGCATGGTTTACACACCATTACCTGACTGTGCTAAGCATGGGTCCTACGCCACATTACGTGACCGTGCTAAGCATGGGTCCTACGCCACATTACCTGACTGTGCTAAGCATGGGTCCTACGCCACATTACGTGACCGTGCTAAGCTGATATTACATGTACTATTAATGCTGATAACGCTGAGTAATTACACGATGTACGAAAACCAGCATTTGCTTCTGGGATGAAGGGTTCACAATCAAACACCATTCATGGCATTGAATAACGAAGCATCGGCCACACACCATTCCCTGACTGTGCTAAGCCGATAGTCTTCTTCTCCTTGAGACTCTACCAGGCACAATGACAAGCCCTCAGTTTTCTGCCGGTGTGATTCGAGTCTTTTTGATAGTCCCTTGCTAACTTGAACTTTGCAAGTCTCGTCGCCATGAGGGGGTTATTATTATTATTATTTTGCTTGTTCGCGTTGGCATCAACCTGCATAAAGCAGGTATATAGCCTTCGCTTAAGCTGCCATAAAAAAGAAAGCTCATCCTAAGCGAGAGGGCTAGAGGAAAATATAACGATAACGAGATACAGAATACAAAGAAATCCAATGAGGGGGTGCTACTCCTAATTTCATCTCCAGAGTGACTTGAGAAGGAGGATGCTCTAAGTAATACTTCTTTGAAGTAGTTGATTGACGAACGAAAGTTCTAGCGAGAAAATGAACCCATTAATAAGCCTATCTGTATCCTCCTCCATGGTGTGTTCACAGCTGCAAGAGAGACTCGGTGAGCTGAAGTTGGTCGCTCAGCACGAAGAGGAACAGCGGCGGCATACAATCAAAGAGGACAAAGAGGTAAGCCGATTACGCACACTGCACAGGGAACAACATGGCACAGTGTTGCGTAGTCGACAAACTATTGATGAGCACACATGGACATATGCACGCATCGTGTCCAGTGTAAGGTCTCATGGTCTTTCCCGGCATATCTCTGTAAAATTGAATAGAAAGGGAATGTTCCTTCCTTGCTTAGCAGCATGATGTTGAGTGTATGTTTCGTTCCATACTCTAAGTACGTTGAAGTACAACGTCTACAAGTAGCTCGACTATTGTTCTGTGGTGTTGGATAGAAAAAGACGGCCATGCTGAAAGAAACGGAGCAAGCTGCAATCATGCATCTCGAGGAGTACAACAGAGCAGAGAACTACAGGTGAGTACTATCGGCTAGCTGTGTTGACCTCCACTCTCCCGGGGCTTGTAGATAGGCAACACTGGCTATTGGAGATGCTGTTGGCCAAAACTGTCCCTTTCTGCTGGGCTTGGAGTCTTGTTGCAATCATAGTTTGCATTTATATTGATATTGCACTGATCTTCAGGATCATGCCTCAGGTCCGTAGTATCCGGTCCGGCCATAGGCAGATCTTCTTTCAAATAGTTTGACCTACCGGGTTCGTGCAAAACAGTGTTCTGTTGTCAATAACAACGTTCAGTTCCAGTCAAGTACATCCCATTTTGCCGGAGCACCTGAACCCCAGTGCTATGGCCCTGTGCCTACATGTATGTGTGAACCATACACTGCGCTGTCACAAAACAATTTCTACTCTTTCTTTGGGCCACAGAAAGCAGCAAAGAAAGGCATTACGCAAGAAAGCAGCAGAGATCAATGATGACGGTGTATCTAGCCTCCAGCAGCAGCTTGAGCAAAGGAGACGCCGTGAGTACCCCCCCCCCCCCCCACCACCACACACACACACACATATTTCTACTGGAGATAAGACCTTCAAGTGGTTCATTTTCGGCCCAAGACGTGCACAGGTGTTCAAATTCCCGCACATTGCACATTGTATGCTGTGAGGTATTTTGGGGTGTTGCACTTGCCTACTGTACCCTGCTCCCAAGTACGTGCCTGAAGAAAACTCTCTTCTAGACCTTCTCTATATGTTTGTGTGCACTGCTCGTGTTTTATGCTCCGCAGAGAAAGAAAGACTGAGAGATGAGGTGAAGGCAGTCTCTGTGCAGTCAAGGAACCGGGGATCGAAGCTGGCAGACTTACCGGACACGGAACAAGCACCACAGCCGTTGGCACTGGTACGGGACAGGTTACCTAATCCTCACTTCAACAACTCAATTTAAGATAACTGTGCCCCGCGCTAGCCGCATGCAGACTGAGCTATAGGGGTTGGATCACTGACAGAGATGGCAAAGTTGCGTGCAGACCGGGCTAAGGATGGGATCAATGACGAACAATGACGATGTCGAGAAGGAAATACGATTGGTCACAGGCCAATAAGCATGAGGAAGATGACAAGCACCAAATGCTAGGTGCAGAAACGAAGGTGACAACTGATTCCCATGCCATCGTCAGTAACGCAAGCTGTTCTGCGAGCAGCCAGCTGCAAAAATAGTTAAAATACTTCAGTCGACCGAGAGGAGTGTACAAGCAAAGACAACACTTTCTTCCTTTGCGTCTATGTTTACTTTGCTACAGAATACGTCATCAGTTCGTCGGCCAACGAGCCTGGGAGCAAGCCAACAGAGAATAGGCAGCAACAGCAGCTGGGCACGGTCATCATCCGCAGTCGAGCTAACCCGAGAGGCCAGCACCGGCCACGTCGCCAATCACGCCTTGGCGACACACACCGACCTCTTTCCCACCTCGCAGAGCAAAGCAGGGCTCACCAGAGACAGGGGACAGCGGCGAGATCAGACTCAGGCGCTACAACCGCCAGCCCGGCCGCTTGCAACAAAGCGTCTATCTAGCTATAAAGTCCGCTAGGATACGGCCATGAATACTGCGCTTGTTTAGCTGTTACGATACCCAAGACATGGCTATACCATTCCTACGCATGATGCATCGTACTCGTAGCAACCCAGCCTTGATTTCCTCTCTTGATTCTCCCGTTGAGTTTCCTTAGTCATTTCATGTTATGGTTATACTTCAATTGAGACAAGCATAGTGTGTCTGATCAGTCCTTTTAAGTTTTATTGAAAATGTTCCATAATGTTTAAAAAAACCTCCCTCAAACTAATGAAAAACACGATTGATCACAATTCAACGGCAATAACCATCAAGAGTCAATAGTGTCACTGCTGTAAGGTCTGTCATCATCGACAGCGATGCATGTATAGCCGCTGACAAGTGTTGTGCTTCACTGATCTGCTAGTATGCGAGTGAATGTATGTGCATGAGTTGTAGACTCCGAACCAGTACCTAAATGTATAGCCAAGCTCTAGTGCAGTCAATCAGACTTACTGACGACAGAAGCTTGTTCAGGTTGGATCACTTGCCTGAGCAGCTTCCGACATTCTGGGCCGTGATCATAGAGCAGTCACATTTGCTCTCGCTCCATGCCGAATGCGCCTCCTGGCACAGGACTCATACCGCAGCAGAATGCCTCCAGCGCACACACACTAGCGGAGTATGAGATGTGATCAAGCAATGGGTTGACCTGAATGCATGACTGGATGAGAGGGTTCAGTCCAGTCTGGTGCAACATACGGCCGCCAGCCTTTTGTGGTGCCAGAACCAAGAGGGAAAGCTCGATTTCATCCTCATTGTCCCATCGCACGCACTGAATGGCATTCTCTGATACAAATTCAGACCTTGCAAAGTCCCCAGTAGCGCATGATGCGAGGACACAGATGAACTGATCATTAACACATGCTGGTAGTTAGGTCACTGAAAACAATCCCACTATCAATTGTTCCTCCAATCTCTGCCCGGCGGTCTGGTTACGACAATGTAATGAGGTACATGGTTCTTCCTAGGCTTTTCCGCTGTTTGGCGTCGCTTTCTCTTTGCTCTGCTCATCCATGCAAGCTTTGAATTGCTTTACTTCCTCTTGACAAGCTCGCCAATCTTTCTTTTCAAACATACAGTCCTGGAGCTTGAAGTGGAACTCTGAGCAGCCCGAACGCTGCAGCATCGTATCAAATGGATCTTCTTCCATATCCTCAAGCTCTTCTCTGAGCACGGTCTTCACTTTCCCAGCCATTTTCAGCAATACGTTTCTCGTCAGCAGTTCTCTTTTCTGTTTTCAAACAAAACATGTGCAGTGAGTTGAAAAGTATTGAAAAAATACTTTTGTACTTTGTCCCTTTTTTAAATAATAATTATTTTGCGACATGCCATGCCACACGTTTCCCACGGCACGTGGTTTGGAAAGTGAAAAATGTAGCTGGTAACAGAAATGAATCAAAAGCTCGACATCAGCTGAACCTGCGAGATGTAGGAAGGACTCAAGGAGTGATCGACTGACCTTCTCTTTGGCCTTTTCAACAACACATACGAAATCCAGAGGTGGAGTTGCAGCCACCAAATACCGGCCACCTCATTGCCTATCTGTTGCTGGGCTAGCTATAGTTGTAGTAGTAGAAGTGTTTACTGCCGTACTCGCCGGTAGAGGTCATGATTGACTTGCCCTTGATAAACACACGTGTGCATCAACAAAGACACAATGAGTTCTTCTTTTGAACCTATAGCCCATGTAGGACTTTCTCAGTAGTGTTCGTGATATCACTGAAGGCAGAATTGTGATGATGACTTCGGTTGGCAGTAGTAATGGTGGAGGTGCTCCTTCTGGGGGCTCATGGATATCTCTCCAGATGCTGTCGTGTTTAGATCGCCTCAGTCGACTCCCAGAGACAGCACGACTGGTGCTGTGTGTAGCTGGGATATTCGTGTGCTACCTGGTGTTTGGAATCTTCCAAGAGAAAGTGTAAGTTGTCTGGTGTCTGTTTTGCACCCTGGTATATCAGTCTAGGGTATTGATCGAGTTTGAGTTTGAGTGAAAAACTGAAGAAGAAAAAAGCAAAAACAAAAAACAATAATTGTTTTGGACATGTTCTGTAGCTGTGTATTCACATGGCACACTCTTCTGCCTGAACATGGTTCTTGATGTACTAGGCCTATAGGTTTGTTGGCATAGATACAGTACTGCTACAACAACAATTACATTATTTCTAAACGAAGATAGGTTCGCAAGCATTCACTATTATTTTACACATCCAGTCAACAAGGCACTTCTCATTATGGTATCGAACGTTTTCGTTTCCTTCTCTTCAAGGATAGTACAGGGAATGGCGCAAGTGGAAAAAAGACTACAACTTATATCAAGAGCATATAAGCTCCCAAGAGTGTGCAACTCCTGATGCCCTTTCTATGGGGTACACCAGGGAGTCGTACTCAAACTAGGGAGGTGACACGGCACAGAAATCCGTGTCACAGGGGTTGACTCGCACCCGTAACCCCTCGTTGTTATTTTTGGAATAGTTCAGTCCAGTCCAGTCCGAAAGGTCATACAGTGCTCGGATCGACTCGCCTTCTGTACTTCACTTCCAAGCGTGCAACGCAAGACCCGCAAAGTATAATTTTTCTGTGGGGAACGATTTTGCCATTGATCAAGTTTTTATTGGACTTTGGAGTGCTCAGGCATACTACGATTCCCGAGCACGCTTGTTCAGGTTCTCTATTTTTGACGAGCCGGTCCTACAGCCCCCTACATTGTATCTAACGACGTAGGAGCTGACAATGTAAGAGGATTTCCCTGGAAATAATGATGATGGTGGTGTGACTGCTGCAGGAAAAATGCTGGCTGTTTATGACAGTATGACTAGATGTACAATGTAGCTCTCTTGTATGGTACTTAACCCCTGCTATAAATGTGTTGTACCAGGCAGGCACAGTGGGTTGGTCAAAGACTATGATTGAGATACGAAAGGTACCTGGTTCAAGTCCTGCCTGGGAGCGTTTTTTCCAGCCGTGCTGCTACCCACAGTCAACTGGGAACTTGTGGCCAGGCACAAGGGGTACGTGGATGCAGCTAATGGGGTCGTTTTCGGCACTTGTGCCAGTGGTTGTGAGACTTATCCACTCACCCCCACCGTTAGGCGCTGCATCTGCCGCTAGGATTTATCGGGTGTTAGCGGCCGCCGTGAGTTCCCTTCGGGAACGGACACGATAATTTACTTTTACTTTTACTTAAATGTGTTGTTTAGGAAGACTGGTGTATTGTGCAAGTCATAAAGAAGAAATGGGGCAGATACACGACTTACAATTTTCAAAAACCAGCTTCGTGTTATGTGTAATTTGTTTCAAAATTGTAGTATTTCAACATGACAATATCACTGGCTGTACTTCTCTTGTATGGTACTTAACCCCTGCTATAAATGTGTTATTTAGGCAGATTGGTGTATTGTGCAAGCCATAAAGAAGAAATGGGGAAGATACGCGACTTACAATTTTCAAAAACCAGCTTCGTGTTATTTGCAATTTGGGTCAATTTTTAGTATTCGGATTAACCTAGGATCCGACTCTGAACAGTTCTGAACAGTAAATTATGTTACCGCAACACTACGCGCCGTCTCATAACTGCTGCTGTTGCCATCACTGCTATCAAGTAGTTCGGACATGGCAGGAGCTAAACAATTGCTGGTAGTCTTTCAAAGAATACTGGCGAGTGATGGGCTGTAAACGAAATGTGCTGCCTCAAAAATTTCAAAAACTAGACACCCATGCGGCACGCTTGGAGGTGAAGTACAGAAGGCGAGTCGATCCGAGTATGACCTTTCGGACTGGACTGGACTGAACTATTCCAAAAATAACAACAAGGGGTTACGGGTGCGAGTCAACCCCTGTGACACGGATTTCTGTGCCGTGTCACCTCCCTAGTTTGAGTACGACTCCCTGGGGTACACCGACGGCGAAAACTCGCACCACGTGGTGTAGTGTTCCAGTTGTACGTTCCCAGCCCGTTTTAGCGAGCAGCGGAGTAATAAAAAAGCACTCTCTCGCAGAAACTCACTGTGATCAGCATGATCATGGCAGATTTTTCGAATTTCACGCACCCTACCCCAGTTGGTTGGCAGCTCTGCATGTGTCGTGTGACTCATGTCACTCTACATGCTATGCCTGTTGGCCTGTCCCGTTTGAAACAACATTAACCAATGCCGTTCCTACCTGGCTTTTTCTTCCTTCCCGTCTCCAGAACCCGAGGTTCATTCGGCGAGCACCATGAGCGGTTTACATATGCCACCGGACTGGTTTTCTGCCAATGTTTGGTCGGATGCTTATTTGCTGGTGGTGGTAAGTGTTGCAACACACTGAACAGATTATTATACAGCTGTGCATTGCTAGTGCCAGAACTAGTAGACAGTTACTCGGCGGCATGATGTGCATTATCTGCTTGATACACCGTTTTGCTTTGTGATATTGTGTCACAACGTGTATCTCTGGATTAGACTGGCCTGGCATAGCATGATGCTTATGCTGTATGCCAGTAATGTCGAATGAGTTATGGGTATGGCGGTGCTCTCTGTTGCAGTGTTGCAGATCCAGCCCGATGTTCCCAATAACGCTCCAGCTCATCTCTTCGCGATCTGCTCCAGTACATATGTGTTGGCCATGATAACCAGCAATAAGGCGCTGGAGTACATTGCCTACCCTGTGCAGGTTAGTAGTGACCTGATCTACACAGTCATGTTGTAAGGGACCTGGTCTACGCGGTCATGTTGTAAGGGACCTGGTCTACGCATGTTGTAAGGGACCTGGTCTACACGGTCATGTTGTGAGTGACCTGGTCTACAGTCGTGTTGTAAGTGACCTGGTCTACAGTCGTGTTGTTAGTGTCCAGGTATACACATGTTGTTTGGATCATAATGCCGTATCCAATGTTCTCAGCCTGCTCACATGCATATACAGTCGAGCTCGGCGTACACGTTGGGCTCATGGATATGTCAGCGCCCTGCACTAGTGCACAGCGTAGTATTAGCAGGTCCGGGGGCTACGCAGCGTCTGGCACTAGCCGACTCACAGCAGCTTGACTTCATTGAACAGCACCGTAGGTTTGGAGATCTGAATGGGCGCTGCTTAGCCTCTTGGTCTTACACATTACTGCACGCTGATAGTACGCATGTGGCAGCTTAGACACCCACGCTGTATCTATGTCTCTGTGTCTCTCTGCACAGGTGCTACTGAAGGCATGTAAACCCATTTCAGGTAAATTCAAATTTGCCTGTTTTTCATTTCTGCAGTGTGATTGTTTGTAACCCATCACCTCTTCTGTGTCCATCAGCTCCCGTGCTTTCTCCCTCTCTCCTTCTTCTCACGCCTCCCCCCCCCCCTTCCCCTCCTTCTACATACTGTTTCATCCTCTACTTCTTGCACTGCTTCGGAAGGTATTGCCAGTATATGTTCTTTGTGTGGTAGAAGGGATGGGACTCCGTGTCCTTTGACGCAACCTTTCAGTTTTTGCGCCGTATTGTCAGAAATGTTGGCTGTAGGTTACTTTTTTTCCTTAACGAAAAGTCCCTGTCCTTGTTTCGTCGTTGTTTTCCTTCTGTTTACGGTACGGCGTCACTCCACTGAAGTTCTCCTGCTCGGTGTCCTACTAGCAGGCAAACGTTACTCGGCGCAGCGTTATGCCTGCGTCTTCCTCATCGTCATTGGCGTGGGAATATTTATGTATCCTAGTGTGAGTTTGTGTGTGTACATTGTATGTGATGTGTGTGTGTGTGTGTGTGAGTGTGAGTGTGAGTGTGTGTATGTGTATGTATGTGACAGTGTGTGTATATGTGTGTGTGTATGTGTGTGTGTGTGCGTGTGTGTGTGTGTGTGTGTGTGTGTTTGCACGTATGTTAAAATGTACTTACATAATTGCTTGTATCAAAAAGTATTCTTTCTAGACCAAAGAGTGGTATATTTGATAACATTTAATAACGATAGAAATTTTTACGATACTTCTCCAGACGTTTCGTTGTTCTGAACAACATCGTCAGTGGATAAAGAATGGAGGGCTTTGGGTGGTGGCACGGGTTAATAGGGAGTGATGGTGGTGAGATGAGGTGAGGTGAGAAGGTGAAGGTGGGAAATACATGTATCTAAGTTAATGGTGAAGGTTAGGTGCGGGTCGATACAGGTGGGAAGGGGTACACCCTTCGGGTAGAAGTGTAGGTTGGTAGAAGGTGTTGGTGTGCGTAGAAGGTGGAGTGGCGTAATGGAAGTGTCGGGTTGATAAATGTGGGAGAGAGTCTAGGTAGGGTGTGGATCAGCAATAGGTGTTGGTGTATGTGGTGGGTAGAATTGGCAAGAGGTGTGTGTGTGTGTGTGTGTGTGTGTGTGTGTGTGTGTGTGTGTGTGTGTGTGTGTGTGTGTGTGCGAAAAAGAGTAAGGTAGTGAGTATTGGTATCTATTGGTATCTGTCACATCTTCCTTCCACGCATACCAATACTCACTACCTTACTCTTTTTCGCACACACACACACACACACACACACACACACACACACACACACACACACACACACACACACACACACACACCTCTTGCCAATTCTACCCACCACATACACCAACACCTATTGCTGATCCACACCCTACCTAGACTCTCTCCCACATTTATCAACCCGACACTTCCATTACGCCACTCCACCTTCTACGCACACCAACACCTTCTACCAACCTACACTTCTACCCGAAGGGTGTACCCCTTCCCACCTGTATCGACCCGCACCTAACCTTCACCATTAACTTACTTCCTCCGTATACAAAAACTTCGTGACTTTTTTTAACAGTGTTTTTGAGCAAGAACCTGCTCAACGAACGGCGCCAAAGGCTGTCATCGACAACCCACGTCCATGTCGAGTTTAGTTCGGTTGATCCCGAACAGATTCTCCACGGACACCATGCGTGTGAGGACGTTGCCGACAGAAACTCAAAGAGTCAAATGAAAAAAAACTAACACTTACTTGCTCGAAACTGACACAGTGACGAAGTGTAGCTCGTGGCTGCACTGGTATGGAACACGGAATCACGCGGCACTCGCTGCCCTGAAACTGGCCAGGCTCGTACTTGCAGTGCGCGGCCCCATAGATCTACGCAGCATGAGAACATAGATTTGTTTCGCTCGCACGGCAAGATGAAACTTTTCAGTCGTCGTGCAACCAGCGCAGACTCAGGATCAGAATGTCGATGGCCTGGCTTTCTTCGCCTCTCTCCAGTCAGACGTCTCCTTTGTCGCCAAGGGGAATTGCAGGGACCTCCTCGAAGCCATTGTAGAATGCTTGGGAGGATTATCCTGGCGAGAAAATGCGAAGCGTGTGGATGTGCTTGTACGACTCGTTTCACGGCATAATGGAGGTCGCAGGTTGGAACAACTTAATATAGTCGACACCGATTCGTACACAGCTCTAGAGATGAAGAGGACGTAGCCAAAGTCGGATCATCACTGCAGGTGACAAGAATCTGAACGAAATGCGAGCGCAAGCAGCGACTGTTGGCGATGCGGAGTCAGGGTCGTCAGGTGACAATGACATGAGCGACGAAGACTTTGAAAAAACTCAATCTCATTCGTCTGAGTTGCTTTTTTCTTTGTATATAGCTTGTAAACAGGTTAGACAATGCCACAAGTGTTATTCCGAGTCAAACGGAACAATTCCAGAGCTGTGCGCAGCTTTCAAAAAAAGTCACGAAGTTTTTGTATACGGAGGAAGTAGATACATGTATTTCCCACCTTCACCTTCTCACCTCACCTCATCTCACCACCGTCACTCCCTATTAACCCGTGCCACCACCCAAAGCCCTCCATTCTTTATCCACTGACGATGTTGTTCAGAACAACGAAACGTCTGGAGAAGTATCGTAAAAATTTCTATCGTTATTAAATGTTATCAAATATACCACTCTTTGGTCTAGAAAGAATACTTTTTGATATTACAATGAGAGTGAATAATCAACGGCTTGTCCACCAACTCTTTGATAATTGCTTGTAGCGAATTCGGTGCATGGGCATTGTGGTGACGGACTGCCAAGGCAATAGACTCAATACAGTTGACTGTGGTACTAACGTGTCGGGTTGCTTTAAGTACTAAGGGCACTCGCTGCATTCACTTGTGTGGTGGGAAGCAATTGTGCAATGTGGTGGCCATGGTGTTGTGCAGGTAGTAAGGCGTATCTCATTCTATACCCAGGCCTACGAGGCGATGGTTCTGATCATGAAGTGAAGAAGTCCACTTCTTGTTTTGCAATGAAATTTGTGCTTTGTCTGTTTCTCTATGTCTGTGCAGAAAGATAGGCCGCCCAAAGAAGTTGGCAGTGAGACGTTTGGTGTGGCATTGTTGGTAAGGTGTTGATTCTTACTTCAGTGCTTCTCTGACTGCAGTTGTTTCTCCGGATCAGTCAACAGCCTCCTGTTCAGTTATTTACTGAGAGCCTGATTGGTGATTTATGGCATTTTACATGAACATGCAGGAGGTTTGTTTGCGCCTTTATCCTTGAGGGTGGTGTGTACAGAAAGTCTTTGTAATTCACTCTCATGCAAGGAATAATGTTTTGTTATATATTTCCTTTAAAGATAAATAAGCATGATTTAATAGGCATGATTACTGATACGTTTTTCCTGTGTGTCTGCCTTTTTACCACGTTATGGTTTAGGCATTGTCTCTGGTGTTCGACGGCCTGGTTGGCGCTGTACAAGAAAAGATCAATGTGTTCCGGGTGACTTCATTTCAGCTGATGTATGCAACGAATGCGTACGGCTTTGCTTACTTGTTTGCTGGTGAGTGTTTCCAATCATGCATGTTGTCAAGTTCACAAGAGTACACATGTGTATGTAGACAGCAGTTTCTGTACACAACACTGCGTTGCAGATCTTCCGGCTGCGTGATACGTGCTGAGTCTCTGCTGACACCCAATGCGACTGTCTTTGACTCGGCTACGGCGCAATTTTGAAACATTGGTTTGCGCAGGTATTTTGATTGTTTTTCTCACGATTGTCAGTGTCGAGTAAGATATGTTGCTGTTGTTGTTGTTGTTGTTGTTGTTGTTTGTACTGCCGTATTTTTTCCCGCTATAGGCATGTTTTCTTTGTTTTCAATCTCCCAGACCATTTTGGCACATTGGCTTGGCCTTTTTTAAAAGTTTTTACTTGTAAAATCTGCTACAATTTCCTAGCGGCAAGTATATTTGTAATAAGACATACTTACAATACAGGTATGCCTCTGAGCGACTGTGTGCAGAATAGAGAAAATACTTTAGTGCGGTGGTCCACAGGCCAATTTTGTAAAGAGCATACTGTGCGAGATAATTGCATATGCCGAACGAGCTGTTTGCATTTGAAAAACGAGCATCGCAGACACAGAAGCTTGGAAGGAGATGCGGTCATGTCACCAACTAAATTGGAGGGCTGAAGGAGCTATGCCTGCATTGCGGGCAAGGACCTCTGTGTCGTGCATAACGAGCCACAGCATTTCCCTGGATGTGGCTCTCCGTGTTATTGTTTCAGCGTTGCTGATTTCTGGAGAAGGCATCGCATTTGGAAGCTTCCTGGCTCGCTACCCGTATGTAATATGGGATATTGTTGGCTTCAGCTTTGTTAGTGCTCTTGGACAGGTGAGTTAAGTTGATATTGTTGAGCACTTATGGTGCTAATTTACTAGCATAATTATTAATTTCCAATGATTTTTGAAGGAGGCAAATAGGGAATAATTCTATTCAAAGTCAATATGGTCTGTTTTCACAGGGCGCCATTGCCATAGAGATCCACTTGTTTGTCGAGCCCTGTTTGAGTCTGTGAGTATGTTCTCATTGCAGTATGGTGCTTCCGTTGTATGTGCCCAGAGCTTTGTCTTCTTGACGATAACGAACTTCGGACCGCTGGTCTGTTCACTGGCGACGACTCTGCGCAAGTTCACGACAATCCTCCTGTCCATTGTTCTCTTCGGCAACCATCTGATCGGCCGGCAGTGGCTGGCGGTTTTCATTGTTTTCTTTGCCCTGCTGCTGGAGAGCCTTTCCAAACGGAAGAAGGCAACGGCCACGCATTTACCTGGGCACCAGCCCACCTCCTCGGTGTGACACATTACCGTGTTTCAATATGGAGAGAGTATTAGACAAAATGCAGGCCATCGCCGTATACCTGTCTTGTGCGTGTTGATGTCAGCACAGCGCAAGCACCATACTCATAGCTAGGATTGCCTATACGTTCAAATTTTGACCCAAAGGTGGGTCGAGCACTCTACCATTCAAATGTTGACGTATTATATTTCCGCCCCAGTCATCACCTGTTCTCTTCATGCATGTAGATGTGTATTTATTTTTACCGTAGTATTTTGGTAACATCAGGTTGTATTATTATATAACTTTTTTTATTCAACTTTATTCGAGGTTCTCATCCTTGCTTCGACTATGATGAGATTTAGTGTGTATAATGGCTTTCCCAGCTTTAGTAAGATTTACATTTTTAGGACATGTTATCATGTATAGCTTTGCGTATGAACACATGAACACTAGGTACTTGACAATCTTGATCTTCTCGGTTTGGATTAATTTTGTTGTGTGTGGATTCTCAACAGCTATGTGTGTGTGTGTGTGTGTGTGTGTGTGTGTGTGTGTGTGTGTGTGTGTGTGTGTATGTGTGTGTGTGTGTGTGTTCAGGGGGTGTCGGCCGCTGGGTGGTTCAATGGCCAATTGAGTCATCTTTCCAAGATTCCTTTTGAGTCTCTCTCCCCTCTCCCGGGGAGACCCACGTGACCAGTTTTGGCAGTGAGCAAGTACAAGTGTGTGTGTGTGTGTGTGTGTGTGTGTGTGTGTGTGTGTGTGTGTGTGTGTGTGTGTGTGTGTGTGTGTGTGTGTGTGTGTGTGACACACGTCTTTCTTCTCTTTCTCAGACTCTTCCTGACTTTTCTTTCATTCTCCTGGGTGGTTACCAACAGCCAGTGTATGCCGGAGTATGTGGTGTGGTGTGTGTGTGTGTGTAGAAAAAAATGGAAAAATGAAAAATAGGGATTCACTGGCCAGAAAAAGTCACTTCAAACAGCTGTGTGGTGGATACCAGGCTAAAAATAGTGGCGGTCAATTCATCAGCCTTGCAAGCTGTTGAATGGTGTAATCCCGGCACAAGTTGCAATGTCTAACATAGCTGTTCGCTATCATCGCTTCCGCGATGGGCATGTCTGAGATCTGTAGCAGTGGATGATCACCAATACCATCAGTAGCAAGAGTACATAAGCTCCGGAGCGTATTTACTCTTGGCAGTATCAGTAGACCACCAATGCCATCTGTATCAGTCTGTCCCCGGGGAAAATCGCGATTCCGTGGCCGCGTTTTTTAAAAGACCGCGTTTTCCGCGATTTTCCTGCGTTTTTTTTAACTTTTCTGTTGCACTACACGGGAGCGGGAGCGGTTTTTCAAGCCGTGCTGCTACCCACAGTCAACTGGGAACTTATGGCCAGGCACAAGGGGTACATGGATGCAGCTAATGTAATGGGGTCGTTTTCGGCACTTGTGACAGTGGTTGTGAGACTTATCCACTCACCCCCACCGTTAGGCGCTGCATCTGCCGCTAGGGTTTATCGGGTGTTATGCATGTAAGCGGCCGTCGTGAGTTCCCTTCGGGAACGGACACGATAATTAATTATTTACTTTACTTTTACTTTTTTTACACGTACACACAGTGCACTGTTCGGTCAGCAACGTCTCATCCGGTGGCGGCTTTGTACTCAAATATGCCGAGCGCTTACACCAGAGACTTGTAACTGATTGATTTCACTACATACTCACTGAAATTGCCTCATATCAACTGCAAACTTGCCGCCGCGAGATGATATCAATAATATTCACCGCATATTTACCGCAAATTATGCCATATTATGCCGCCTTTTTTGCGATTTTTCCGCGATTTTCCCCGGGGACAGATCAGTAGATCAGCAATACCATCGACACCTGCAACGGATCGCCAACAACGGGACGTCAGCACAATGTTCCTGTATGCCAAGAATCATGGCTAGCGGCCTATAGTAACGAGATGATGTTGGGAACCAGGACCATGATCAATCTTGCTTGCCTTCTGGAGTGTTAAACTAATTGCTTTATCCTAGCTTCCCTGTGTCACTGACCGACCAGCAGCCACCGCTATCGTGACGTGCAGTTGCATCTAGGCCCGGGACCGGGCCCCGGTTCCGGCTCAAGGTCAAAGTGAGGGAGTAATGGCCAGGGAACTAACTGACTGTTAGTGTTAGTTTGAAAGTAAGCGTTGCATGTAAATTTTAGATAAGTCCATGCTACCAAGAGTATAATTATAAGCTCCCAAGCTGTTTTACTCTGTTGTAGACGAGAGACCTTCTGCACTTCCGTAAGAGCCGAGCCCGAGCCGAATTCTCGTTCGCTATCCAAGTGACCTTCGAGGTTTCATAAGAGGTTTGTCGAAAAGGCCTAGTCTATTCGAGTACATACCTCTTCACCTGTCTTGCTCAGCTGTGTATGTACAACACCGCTGCCACCACCACCACTGCCAACAACAACCACAACCGCAACAACCACGACGACGAAATCCACAGACTCAGTGTCCAGGCACTTCCCTTCGCTGCAGAATGCGAAAGGTCGCTCGTACTGATTCTTTACTGCAGAAGGCGATTCGGTCTTTCACTGGTCGAGTTCTATCAGGGTATAGGGTGTAGATCATCTACCCACTGCCGCAAGTAAAGTATTAGTTAGTCGCTGCTCAATGCCGGCTTTTCGAGGCCTTGCAGCAGGGGCCCTGGATGAAAGCAAGGATAAGCTTGTGCAACCGCTGTACACAAGCGGTGTTCTCCTCATCCATTCAAGTGTTATGTCTTATGCTCCATCCGCTTGCTGTGTAGATCTACATCATGACTGTATGACTGTGCTTTTCGCTTGGCTGGCTAGCCGAGGCTGAGCAGCCGGTAGTGACGCATTGGTCAATGCACGTGCTTTCAGTCACCTCACCCTTTCACTCTAGTCTAGCTCTTTGACTTTGTTTGACTTTATTCTTGAGCTTCAGGCTTTGTCAAGTAGTTTATGCGCAAGAAAAGGTGCTGAATTCACGTCACTTCTCTTGTCGTAGATCTACTTTGTAGATACCGCTATGTGTGGCAATTCACTCTATACAATGTAATTATTATCCAGTTGAATTCACTATCCACTAATCCAGCTCATGATGACAGTACAATTATTACCGGTACGTGTGTCATGTAGTGGCCTCGGAGATCTACTACAACATTGTAGTAGCACTCCTTCATGGTTTCACGGTTTGTCAACAAACCCATTCTCAAGTAATCATGATTGTTGATCGTCTCGAATGCGGTTAAACTAACTTAGAAAGGGTTGGAAAGTTGCATTCGCGCTTCACCTACTACATGTAGTACTACCTGTAATACCATGAATACTGTGCACAAGCTTGCAGTGCAGTCTTCAGCTACTGCATCAGATACTACTGACAGTACTGTACCCTGTAAGTAATGATGCGCGTCTGATTTGTTCTAGCAGCTTGCTGCATGCACAAGTGGTGCAAGTGATTTGGTTCACCGACATCCAGTGTAAATCTAGTATATTAAAGTAAACTACTTCAGAGTATGAGTATAACGTTCATATGACATACATGTGATTGTATGCACGTGGTAGGCAAGTAGGAGACGAATCCGAATGTTCTTCCTCCTGTAGTGTACGAGCCTTACCCTAGGCCAAGCAGTTCTTACCGCGGCTGTTGTTACACTGCTGATCGGCAATGTAGCCCGTTGCCCATCATCCAGCCAAGAACATAGTCAATGCCTCAACCAACGTGCACTGCCAATGCTGCACAATGTAATGGAACAAAGCCAAGTAACTTAGCTCGGTGTTGCCTAAAGTGCACATACCTTGCACTGAGATCAGTGTCAGACTTTCCAGGACTCCATCGCAACACAAGACAAGTAAAAGATCGTTCGTTCACTTCAAGTAGTCTTTGTCGGCGAATGAAAGCTAGAGTACATAAGGGTTGGGACTCAATCTGCGGACAGAACTGTGTCGTCCTTTGTGGCGCAGCACAGAGAAAAAGGTTTGGGATTCTTGAGGAAAGTAAACGCACCGCACTGTACAAACGCTATAGCACTAAGCCATACATGGTGACATAGTCGTTGTACATGTAGCCTATAGTAGGTCAACAACCCTTCATGAAGACTTTGAAGAGAATGGGAGAAGTCACCGTCGGGGTGGTACACTGAGCACAATGATATGCGCCAGTTTTGTTTTCTCCAGGGCCGCAAGGAACACACAACTGCAGGAACAGACGCTACTCATCCCATTGTGCGCTTCAACCTGCTTTTTTTGCTTTTTTTGCTTTTTTTGTTGACAGAAGAGAAACATATCAGTCCATTGTTCATTTCTGTCCATCACTGAAATCAGGAACACTAAGAACTGGAAGTAAGATACACATACACTACAACAGAGTTTGCAGCATGCTAGCCGAGAGGTTTAGCCTCGGCTTGTAGCGTAGAGTGTTAGACTAGAGTGGAGGCGAGCACCTTCCATCTATCCATCTCTTCCCCCACTATGGAAATAGCTCTGCAGGTGTAGCATTACTAGCAATATTGTGCAATGCAGGGCAATTACAATCATGTGCATATATGTAGAGTGTACGTAGAGCCACAAGTAAAGACACCGTTCATGCGTGACCACGGGTTTTAAAACATGTGTCCTGTCATGTTGGCAGCTGAAGGCACTCCCACTGACAGGTGCGCGGTCGCCGCAGTGCAAGCAGTGACAGGAGGAGCGTCGCGCCTCACTGCAGCTGTGTGTGTGTGTGTGTGTGTGTGTGTGTGTGTGTGTGTGTGTGTGTGTGTGTGTGTGTGTGTTTCTGGGGGTCGGTGTACTACTGGCCGTGCATAACCTCTTGGGTTATTGACTCTAGCTTGTAAGTTGTAGTATTATGACTCGAGCATTGGCCGGGTATACATGGGGACATGACTGTGATGATAGCTTGGTCGGGTACACTCACTCGGCTAACTCAGGATCAGGCTGCTTCAGCTGGCTTCTCCTGTGATTTGTGCTTTGGCCAGGTCCGCGATCCGCAGCAACAGGAACATTACGGCTTCACTTCAGCATACCGTAGAGGAGTTATTGAGGTTTGCGTTGTACCACACAGCTGCGAAGCATGGTATAGCAGACAGTAAGATTCCACTCTGGTATTGGCACTCGTGCACGACGCTGCTATGGTTGGTATGTGAGGTACCCGAGACGAGTGATCATAACAATAGAGACGAGTGATCATAATACTAATTATTAGTATTATCAGCTCTTCAAAGGAATGCCGCCAGCAGTAACGAACAGTGCATGTAATACAAGGGCACCATTTTTACTGATATTACATGTACTCCGCTCGAAACTGAACAGAATTAAACACATCATGGTTCATTATTTAGACAGCAAGCATGACTGTCAGTTTTTGACTCCACGACCGCAAATGGTCATCATTATACATGATTGTGTACGCGTATGCTTGCTAAACCTACAATGTACATGTACATGGTTTGTGTTGCAACGTCGAAATCGGGCAGTAGCACAGTATTTTACTACGGCCATGGTCAAAATATGATTTTACGGAGTAACGTTATCTGTGCCTCGTCTGTAAGTAGTACTCGTTGTTGATGTTGGACAGCTAACCCAAGCACACACTGTCCAAATGATGTAGCCATGTTTTCTTCCGCTCGTCTCTCCCCAGTCTCTCCATACACCCGTTCAGGAAAAGCTTTTTCTAAAGCTCAGCTTCCGAGCCTAAAGTAACAGGAGGTGCAATGACTTCTCTCCATGTAGATGTACGTGAACTTGACGTCACTGTAGATCCTTCAGCTCAACTCTGCACCTGGATTGTCCCCATCCAAGACCGACATGGACAGTTACGGTGACATCCTGGCAGCATTGCGGTCGGTTTTTGGACTACTTATCACGTGCCGCGAAGGAGATAGTGCATATCACGTGCTACAGGCAAGTCGTCAGCCATTTCTTTCCCAACTCAGCAGCAGCATCTCCGTGGTTTGCATTCAGGCAAGCGGGAGTCAATGAAGATAGTATCCCCCATCTGATCGTGGTACGTCAATGTCCTACCAGTACCACCACCGCTTGCACCACGACATCAGCAGCCGACTGTGTAGTAGTGGTGTGTGGAGGGTACAGGAGATTGTCATGAATGCCATCATAAACATTAACTCCGAGCCCCTATACTGCGACTAGTACTTATGCTAGCTATACTGGAGGTTGGCGGGAGTATTGCGTGCATGAAGATGGTTGTATAGTCACACAGCGAATGGCGCGCGCACCCAGTAGGAATAGTCCGTGAGTGGAGCGAGCGCATGCACATACGCGCGTGGTGTACGTAGCTTGTCGCTGGCTGGTACATGGTTGCGTCAGCAAGTCAGCCAAGCATGGTAATCTACAATGCAATGGCTACAGTTATGTATGTCCGTGTACTTCGGAAGACCTGTAAGGCTGTATGCCTTGCTTAGCACCGCGGCACAGGCTAACTAGCTAGGTTGGGAATGGGAGAGAACAGCTCGGCGGCAAGGATCGAACCGGGTTCACCTCGCCGAGCACCAGCACGGAGCTATTCTGCACAAGTCGGTGAAGTGTCGGTGTAGCGACTGCGTTGGAGGGGACCGCGTGGCCTGTGCGTTCTGGCGGCGTTTGCACCTGCACAATTGGAGGCGTCCATTCTGGTCTACATCCCTGTCCGGAACACACGTCGCATCTGTGGTTGCGTGTGTATGTGTGTGTACGTGTGGCAAGTCTCTAAGACCCAGGCGTCGTTGATCGAATAACTTCATAGCACGGAAGGCTTCTCCAAGCCAAGGTGAGTGACTTGATGTCTCGACTTTGCAGCTCAGGCGACCTTCAATGTTTTCCTGTCCGATCTGGACCTGTATGTAGGATGTTGGTGCGGCCCCGCCCGCTCATTACCACCTGCAGCAATTTTGGATTTTGTATGAACTCGCAGCTACATGTGCATCGCATTTCGACTTGTGTCTCATTCAATCTCTTTTCGTTTGTTTCCACCTTTGTTCTGTAACCGGCACGATGGTGTTCTCTATGACAGACGGGCGCTCTAGATGGAAAGAAAACGTTCACCAAGAGGCAAGAAGACGTTTGAGAGGATCCCACGGGTGACGCGATCCCAGGCAGCAGCTGCAGCAGCCGATACCTGTGTAACACCGACTCTACTGGCAGAAGAGGACAAATCACTGACCACCCAAACAGCGGAAGCAGCAGCAGCAGCAGACACAGTGACCATAGAATCAGCAGCGCTGACTGTAGAGACGCCGATCGTGTCCGAAGAGGACACCCTACTCGGGGACCCAGTACCATCACCACCACCACTCGACACAGGTATTACACTGACTAACAACAGCAGCAGCAGCAGCAGCAGCAGTGCTACAGCAGATCAAGTGAGCTCAGCGGTCAACGAGGAGGAGAAGGCATGCAGTGTGAAGTCGTCTGTAGACAATGACATTGCGCTGCAACGCAATTCTCATACAGTAGATCAAAACTCAGTACCGACCGTGTCTCAAGAACAGGTTGAATGCGCCAGCAATCCCACCGCCAACAACACCACCACCAACAGCAGCAGCCCCTGTAACAGCAGTATTTGTTCTGACATAAAGTACGCAGTCAGTGAAACAACCACCACCAGCGAAACTGCACCTGGTGTGATTGCTTCAACAACACAAATATCTACACCTCTGTCCGCCACCTTTGTCCCAATACCTCTAGCTGCTGCACACACATCGGGCATTCAGGTTACCACCATGGATCTTCTCCATGTCCACGCAAACAACCCGGTCAATTCAACTAGTCTTGCCCAGCACGCAATAGCACCACTGAAAGTGGAGGGAGTGATCGACATGAGCCTACCAGCACCCATCACAGCTGCATGGAATTTGGAGGAACTCCTGGCAAGTCAGCAGTGTCTCAGCGAGCTGGAACGAGCCGGCGCGGTGGATGGGAGCGGCGGCGCAGGTCTGACGCAGCTCATGCGTGCAGCGGCGGCAGGTAGTGCGGTGCCCACTAAGAGCGTGACTGCAGGCACCAGCACTGGTAGTGGTGCGCCGGGCACCGGCGATATGGGTCTTACACTATTGGCGCAGGCGGCAGCGCAGGAAGAGAAGACCGGAGACGTACCCGTTGCTCTTCCCTCCATCGGCCACCTGACCAGTGGTGGGTTTACTTCCCTGCCGCCGAATGATAGCCAAGCTGTCATCTATCAACAGCCCGCCGTGCCGGTCTGTCTACCCGACGTGAGCGTGGAAAACTGTGCGACATTTGCAGCGAGTGCTGGTGTGGCCAGTTGGACGGACTCTGCGGCCGACCTCAGCCAGTACAACTGGTTCAATAACATGGCGGCCACGATGAACGCTACACATGCCATCGTGCCCCATGTCACCGACCACTTGCCCATGCCACCCTCGATCACCATGGAGACGTTCGCGCATCCGCACATGTTACTGTTCGACGGCCTGTCGGCAGCTCCACCACCACCGCCGCACGCACCGGACGTGCACGCGCAGTTCACGGCACTGAGCCGACCGGCCGCTATTTCCGAACATGTTGGCGTTGCTTATCGAGCTCAGCACGTCGGACAAATGCCGGCGGATGGCTCGTTGGTTTCGGTCGGACTGGGTGATGTCACCAATCCCTTGCAGCAGCAGCAACAGGAAGCGCAAAAGCCACAGCAAACTCATGAGCATGCCGCTGTGAGGAGCAGAGCCCAGTCGACGACGGGGACCAGCGGAGCAAGCACTTGTGGAAGCATATACCAGCAGCCGAAATGTGCTTATTGTGATCTGAGATTCAAGACGCGGACGATCCGAGATCAGCACGCTAGATGCTGCGCCAGCAATCCATACAAGTGTCCGAGCTGCGGGAAAGCGTGCTTGGGTACAGTCAAATTGCAACGCCACATCCGCTCCCATCTGCGATCGCGCGCATCGAGCGAGACGGGCAACGAAAGCGAGGAGCGGCGGGCCAATGGTGGCCCGGACCCGAAGTGTGCGTACTGCAACGCGCGTTTCCCATCCAGAGTAGTACGAGATCGACACTCTCGGATGTGCATCAAGAACCCATATCGCTGTCAGCTATGCAGCAAAGCGTTCCTGGGCACCGCTAAGCTGACACGACACATGCGCTGTCACACTATAGAAGGTAATGTGGCAGCCAACATGGCGGAAGCTGCTCTGGCAAATGGCACGGTCCCAAACGGCATCCTGGGAGGGGAATTCCGCGATGGTGGCTGCGGGACTGGTTCAGAGGAAACAGACAGCTCTAGCGTCGACGATGGCAGCGGCATCGGTGGCAGCAGCGAATGTAATGATGTGGCTATCGACGACAACACGGAGCGACCGCAGGCTGCTGATGGCCACATTCAGCAGGCGACCACAGCTTCCATTCTGTCTTTGGAGGCAGCTGCTGTCACAGCGCCAGCTGTAATGGCAAGTATCAGCGAAGCCAACACCAGCTCCTTGCCCGCTGCTAGTTTAGGAAGTACGCTTGTGGCACATCAGGTTGGTGCGATCAATACGGACATGGTACCTGCCCAGCCGCATCTGCAGAACAGTGCTGCCAATGGTCTGCAAAGCACGCCGTCCTCAATCACTCCGGCCATCACATCCACCGTGCCAATGATGGTGGCCATGCCATTGCTAAGCTGCTGGTAACCTGTCGTCTACTGTATCGTCCACCGTCTCATCTCAACCGAGAATAGCCTCAATCACACGCACCTGATCTATGTCAACTGACACACCGCAGCCGCTTCTGTTTCGATCCTGACCAACATAGCCACATGGATATTACAATTATTGCACGGTACGAGCACTTGTCCCATCTGTTTAACGCACGTGCCTCTATTACTTCTCCCATCTCAGATTCACCAACCCATCAGCCTTCACGCACCCGGTGCTGCTTGCCTATTGATGTCTCGCACGGCAGAAAAGACTGTCCATTGAGTTAGGAATGTAACATTAGATACCTGTGTAGCTCAGAGTTTGAGTCCAACAGATGCAACCGCATGTATTAGCGAATTGATATGATACGCTGTGCTGTTGTCATGCCGCAATTTCCCATAGATGTATCTGCAGACGGGGAACTATAGACCAAGATTTATAGTTGTAGGCCCATCCACGTCTCGTGAAGTAGACATAGCTTTACACGATAGATCATAGTGCACACCACATTTTGTTTTGAATTTACTTATAAATAGGAGCATCTAGAGCATTGGTGTGCTATTTTGAACATTCTTTTAGCTAATACATGTGCTATACAAGTTGGTTTTGCCAAGTGATGGTACATCATCTCTTCTGTTGTGCTGTACGGCAACAGTCATGGCTGACTCCTTGCTGCAGTGGTGGATCTGGCTGATCCATTGACGCAAATCTGTACGTGACCACATAGGGGACTACCCTGTAAAAAGGCCTTAGGCCTGTGGGGATTGCCCTATTCAAAATTTAAAATTAATAATAATGATAATAATAATGGAACCCTACACATACCGGCATGTGTAGGGCTCCTTGGGCTGATCCAACTGAGATGCGGGAACAGTGTTACATTATGTACATGAATAAGACTTAGTGGTAAAAAGGGGAGCACAAAACTGTGTGACAATGTTCATAATCATACCTATGATGTATTTCATTTCACGTGCAGTGCAGCCATGTAGTTGCTCGGTCATGGGATCCAGACGGACTAGTACAGAAGTCATTGTAAAGAAAACAGGGGGTCAAGCACTGCAACTAACTTGTTCGCCGCCTATTGGCAGTATTGCCTGACCGTAATTATGTAGTGCTTAGTGCATGTATGCGATATACATGTAAGTATACTGGATTGTAACAAGGGACCGAGTGTATATCGAGATATAACTGGTGTACATGTATATAATTATCTTGATATACACAAGGTCCCTTTGTTATAATATATTTATGCCTCTCCATCTTCTCCGTCTGTGGCCTCCAAATGGCTTGTTCCTCGCCGACAAAATTAATACTGCCAATTTCCCAATAGTGGTGTGTATGGAGTGAGGTATAATGTACTGTACTACATTCTTTTGACAGTAGTAAGTTGGGCTTGTGGATGCTAACCAAAACTTAAAAAAAGGCCAAGCTCCTCGTATTCTGGCTTTGAAAGAAAATAGAAAATATGATTTCCTGCAAGATAACAGGTGTGCACTTCTGGGGCACACCGTAAGATCTAAAATATAAGCACGGTCCTTTATTTTTTCAATGTACCTCCGCCCCGTGCTATTAATGGAGACGTTCCTTTATTGGAGACTGTTCCAGTATTATTTCAACCTCATTTCAGAGGCATGTTGCCATGCCAAATTCATGTATGACACACACATTTCAGGTTTTTTTCGCCGGTACAGATGATGAATTTACACAGTGTGCTTATAATGGAGACTGAGCACTTTATTTTTTGAATGTTGCCCCAAGGTGTTCTATTATTGGAGACTGTGCTTATATTAGAGATAATACGGTATAGTCATAATAAGATCGTTTTTTTCCCGGAGTACGTACTGTAGTGTGCGCCGCCCTGAAGTATATGCCACAACCATTTCGTTCTCTCACAAAATACAGACATGCACCCTGTATTATCCTGGTTCATAGTAGGGCTGAAACGAACGAAACATTCTCACGAACTGTACGCTTCATTTGACGAACTCACGAACTAATAAAGCCCCCACAAACACTCCATCACACTTGTAAAACAACCAAGAATTGGAAAATCTGCAATCACTCTCTTTTCTGAATGGCTGTTACCTGTAATGGGGACCTGGAGCCGAAGGTGGCTGGCTGAGCTCTGCGCGATATACATGTACATTGTTATTTGCAGTACAAGCATGGGACTGCATGTAGTACCTACGCATGCATCGGCGAACGCTCGACACTTTGAAGTAGCGAATCGAATTCTCCCATTTGGAACAAACCTCTTGTAGTTGAACGTTCTAAAATTCGTGTCACCCCTAGTTCATATGTACATATATATCATGACGATAATGGCGTGAGTGGCTTGAAGTGAACGTTATCAGCAATCAGCAATATGTCATGTAGTTTAAAAGAGAACTTGTTGCTCAGATATTCAACCCACACTCACAAAGACAGAAACTCGATTGTCTCAAAGCACAATATATGATCACCGAAGCACTCTTTTGAGGAGACACTTGACACGAAGGGATAACGTAAAGGCAGACTTGTAAACAATCCACAGTGAGCGTGAAGCAAACTCTGATAAAATACCATGGAGCAACACAATCTTCACAAAGAGAATGATGAGCCTGGTACGATTGGAACTCTTTTCCTTTTCTTCTTCGATTCTACGCAAGATAGGCACTGGCTGCCACTGTGTGAGATGAGTAGAAAAAATGGCGATAGGATCACGGAACATACAATCGTTTCATTTGTGCTCAGGTATAAACGCGAAGCGAGGCATGAATATGAAGTGATAGATCATCAGCATCATCAGCAGTAGCAGCAGCAGCAAGATGAAACGCGTCAAGCTAGTACAATTCTAGGTTAGGCACTCAGCCATCATCGATGGCGCGGCATGCTGCACAGGATGTAGCACATGCAAGAAGTGATCGTGGCACGCACGTAAGGCACCTTGGAGCACGGGCCAGTTAGTAGCGTCCCCTGCAGATGAAGTAGAAAGCAACAGCAGCAACAACGAAAACAGACACATCAGAATTATGTGTCCAAAGCCATACCTTTTGAGATGTGGAACTGCACACACACACACACACACACACACACACACACACACACACACACACACACACACACACACACACACACACACACAGAGGCATATGCCAGTACCAGCACATTGCAAACGCAACACAAGACGAAAGCAAAACAGGCAATGGTGGGAACATAGTCTAGGGTGGCGCACTGGGTTACCAGTACCTGTACCTTGAAGGTGACGGGGATCGATAGCCACTGTAAGCAAAGCAAAACAAGCGAGCACACACACACACAACACGAAGAAAAATCACCACAAAATAGCCGCATCCTACATGCATGATAATAATTGGGCACCCTGTAAGAAGACCTTATGGTCTGTTGGGAACGCTCAAGCAAATCAACAAAATACAATACAAATAATATCAAAACCACTCCACACTACGAAATAGAGGTTGCGACTTCGGCGATGATTTTGTTTAGGAATGGGTTTGCTCCCACACTGGAGCTCGCTCTATTCCGCCGACTTGACTTGACTGACTCACGACAGACCACTCCACACTCAACATAATAATATACAATAACAGTTCACTCACATGAAGTGGTTCCGGGCTGGAGGCAAAATATCAGTGTACGTGTGTACGATACGAGTACAAGTGCCAGGTCATATCGAGGCAAGAGCAGGCTGTGAAAATGTAACTGAGCCCACACAATAGAAACTTACCGAGGCGATCTCGAACGTCTTCTGCGAGGAGATGGCGATCTAAGAGAACATGAGAAAAGAAACAAAATAAGTTGGTCCAGAGCCACGCAAGCAGTACGAGCATGTAAGGGACAGTACACATCATGATGACACACTATACCCACACAAAATGACAAGCCTGCACTGAACAGGTGCCCGCATCTTCATGTTCTTTGCCCAGGCAGTTACAATAAATCACATGCACAGAGGAACAAAGACACACAAGCATGCATGTCTGCTGGATGCCAGACTGACCTGTGACAGAAGAGAACAGAGGGTCGAATGGAAATCATGAATGCACTGCTCATCTCACAGAATGCAGATAGCCAGATTCACGACTCCACCAAACGATGGATGCGGAATTTAAGTTGTGCAGAGCTAGTGATGCACCATCGCCTAATGAGAGAATGATGGCGCAGCGTTGCATGCAGCTGGGGTGATATTTACGACCCGCTGACTTGCAACATTGCCGGATAGAAATCCACACACAATTGAAACCCCAAGTTGTATGACCCAAATTCAGGAGTCGGTGCGAATGAAAATAGACGCGCGGTGCTGTGAAGACGGGGTGTTGTTTGGTGCTTTGCTGGATGCAGATGAATGCAGTGGCTGCTACGATGTACGGGTACATTTATCGATGTAATTAGCAGGCGGGCAGAAAAGCTGAGTGGCCACCGCTGCAGGGGACGCACTGTGCGCTGTGAGACCATCAACGCTGGTCTCAGGGACGACTGAGTCCCCCGAATCAGGGATGGGATAAGATGTGAAACTGGGGCGCACAAGCGCAGATTGATGTGAAGACAGAGATGCTAGATGTGTCTACTAAGTCGTAAGCACTTCAAGTCTATATGGTGTGAAGTGATGCAGATGAGGTGAACACCTACACCAACATCATACAATACAATGAAACAAACAAATTGGTTAGACCACAATGACTGAGCCAGCCTATCGCTAAAATGTCATTGGTATCTTCCCTGAATAAAAAAAAAGTAGATTATTCGCAGGAACAGTCCAACAAAAACCGCATGGAACAGCTTTAGGGGCACGTAACGCAGTTACAATTGCTTTGAAAAAAGAAAACTTACCTGCGGCGGTACTCGTCATCGTAGCCACGGCGTCCGCCATATCCACCCCGGTCACCCCGGTCACTATATGAACTGCCACCACCACCATAACCACCACCACCACCACCACGGCGGTCATCACGACGATAGCTACCACCGCCACGTCCACCTTGGCCTGGATCCCGAGCCTTAGCATGTTCAACCTTTATTCTCCTACCATTGCAACTCGAACCATCTAGGTCTCTTACGGCTTCCTCAGCATCTCTTGGGTCCTCATAAAAGACGAAGGCAAAGCCCGGTGGGTTACGAGCAATCCAGATCTCGCGAATTTTCCCAAACTTTTCGAAGAGGTCTTCCAAGTCACCTTTGTTGGCATGATCTCCTAACTCCCCAACGTAAACCTTGCCAGTGGCTCGCGACATTTTCTGTCACTCTCTTCACGACGGACCCAGGATTGATTGCAAACAGAGCTAATAATTATTGGTAAGACCACTATTCTTTTTCCCAGAAAGCAAATCGAGAGTTCTTTCCTTTGCAGATAATGTCGATCCAGTCCATCTAATCCAAATCTACAAAGGCAGAATAGAAGCTGCAAGTACTCCACTCTCCAGCGCATGTCTTTGCTGCGCGGCCATCATAGTGTCGATGTTGACATGGCAACACACCCGGCGGGCGCGGCCGCTACCCCAGAGCTAGCGATAGCTAGCTAGCTCGCACGCTAGCGCTAGCGCGCTGAGCTAGCTAGTGACGTATTAGTAGTGATGCATCATCATGCATGCTTTGTTTGCTGTCCTTGGTCACAAACGACACAACACAAGTCCGTTCGTATCTGTTGGTGTTTCCATTTTCGCAAACGAACTTCGGTTCAGCTTTGAATTTTGTGGCCAACCAGTGCCATGTAGCTTGTTGGCGAAAGGTCTTCTCTCTCTTGCCTCCGGCTCCCGAGACCTGAGTCTACCCTTTGTATGAGATCTACATCAGGAAGAAGCATCGTCGAATCGCACCTTGGAGAAGTTGGTACTTTGGGATTGTGAATCTCGTTCTTGTCACTCCACCAGACCTGTAGAGGTAGCTAAAAGCGAGTGTTATCATGGCGAGCAGAGGCTTTCATAGTACGTTCACTCCATTGCCCATGGAGAGAACAGACTTCTTGGAGATGCCGCAGCAACAGCAGGAACCAGGGCTTCAGCAACAAGTCTCGCCTGGCCAAGACATTGAGAAGAAAAACTCATCGACTTTTGATCGAGTATGGTAGTGAGCGTTGGAGCACTGATCTTGGTAATCGTGTGCCAAATGGAATATGAGTTTGACTAATGAGTGCCTCTCTGTTTTACAGGTCGTAGAGTTGCTAAATGAAGCTCAACTTGCTGAGAAGGAGGAAAAACTTCAATGTTTGCATCAGGTGAAAACTTGAAATCGAAATCAATCCATATTCATGAGAATTGAAGAACAGTAACTGTTTTTGGCAGAGACAAAAAGAACCGTGTGGCGCAGGATACGTTGATATCGAATCGAATTTCCAGCAAGTGATTGAGTAGGCCCTGAGATGGTACGATTATTCTTCTCTAAATTTATTTGAAGAAGGTTGCCTCATTCCTCCCCAGCCCCACTCATCGTTTTGTCACACAGATATGAGCAGTGGATCCAGCACAAATCGTGTGTTGGTGAGACCGTCGAGCGCGCGCAGTTCATTTTTTATCCTGTTTTATTTTCACGCATCATTTCTCCGATCCTGACGTCAGAATACTCAAACGCTCCAGCCTTTTCATCTTTCGAAATCGATGTTCTCTTCCTACAAAAATAACCTTCCCATCATCTATTCTTGGTTCGTTTCCTCATCACCTCGGGGGTTCTCGTTTTTGAATTGTCGCTGGTCAGTATTGACACAAGGTTTTCAGAGCTCCAGTTTGTTTGGTGTTGCGAGTTGGTCTTTCATCAGACAAGAAGGCTTCTTCGGCGTGTCATCGCTACTTAGATGTAGTTGTGTAGCTTTCGGGAGATTCACTCCAGCTTATTAGAAGTTTGTCACTTTCTTGGCATTCGTAGATTTACTAGAGCTTCAATTTTTAAATCTCTGCCAATGGTAGAGTTGAATGGGGTTTCTGTGTTTCGAAGGAGTTATAATTATTGGTCGTCGTCGTGGATGCGAGATTGTAGAAGTCCGTGCTCGTGTCCGAAATTCAGTTGAAAACTTCCAGATACCTTCACGCCATCCTAATAATGGTTGTTGGAGTAGTTTCATTTTCTTTTGCTTGGTCTTGATTCGAAGGACGCTCAGAGACAACACAGGAAGCACTCTGATGGTTGTAAAAGTTATTCCACTCACGCACATCCTCTTCAGTCTCTATGAGAATGGAACATTGCGATTCAAACATCGGATTCAGTCTCCACTTTGTTTGGCTTCGCTCTGGGTCAAAATGAACATTTTTGGTCATATTGATTTTCATTTCTGGTTTCCGCTTGAGTTGTTGGAAATTCCTTTTGCCGAGTCTGGTCTGCTTCCGTAGTGTCTTATGTTTTATTCAGCTCAAATGTCCCGACGTCCCGTTTTTTTCTTCGTCATGCGTTTGCGGATATGCAAGCAACACATCAACTTATTTAGGGGCTCATGAATACAGCACACGAAATACATGTACTGCACATGCATGATGACCAATGCATTCACCTAGTGCTGCCTAAGCTTGCAACAAGGTACTTGAACTGCACAGAAATTCGAGACCATATCCATGATGTCGATGGCAATCAAAGGCTTGGAGGAAACACGTTGAGTGCTACTTTACGCTCTCATTGATGATTCATTACCGTGATACTACGGAGCGCTCTCTCTCTTCTCTCTCTCTCTCTCTCTCTCTCTCTCTCTCTCTCTCTCTCTCTCTCTCTCTCTCTCTCTCTCTCTCTCTCTCTCTCTCTCTCTCTCTCTCTCTCTCTCTCTCTCTCTCTCTCTCTCTCTCTCTCTCTCTCTCTCTCTCTCTCTCTCTCTCTGTCTCTCTCTCTCTGTCTCTCTCTGTCTCTGTCTCTCTCTGTCTCTGTCTCTCTCTCTCTCCATCTCTCTCTCTCTCTCTCTCTCTCTCTCTCTCTCTCTCTCTCTCTCTCTCTCTCTCTCTCTCTCTCTCTCTCTCTCTCTCTCTCTCTCTCTCTCTCTCTCTCTCTCTCTCTCTCTCTCTCTCTCTCTCTCTCTCTCTCTCTCTCTCTCTCTCTCTCTCTCTCTCTCTCTCTCTCTCTCTCTCTCTCTCTCTCTCTCTCTCTCTCTCTCTCTCTCTCTCTCTCTCTTTCTCTCTCTCTCTCCGCCCCCCCCCTCTTTATCTCTGGCTCTAGCTAAAACTAACCCGCACATTTGCCCTGCTGACAGTTCTCCAACTTTGCAACTGCAAGTGCTTGCACGCATAACAGCCTATTGCTGAGTAGTTAGCGCGCATCTGACTATGTGCAGAGTGTAGTGCACTGCTATCTCTGTCGATCATCCTTGCCGTGGGGTTTCGAAACTTTCTGCTCACGCAAATGCCACACAACTCGTCCTGACAACATTGCTTTTTCCGCTTCGCAATCTGCATCTGGCGAGGAAAACCGGTTGTACAGCTGCTATTGGCAAATACTTGCACCACTGCGCCCAAAGTTCGGTGGTTCCTTTTGTCTCTGAAATAATGCTATTCGTATTCTATATAAAAAGTAAAAAGGACCAAGGAACTACAAGTTAGACTATAATGTCCACTAACACCACCAGTTACTAAACAATCAGCTCATGCGATAACATTGTCGTGCAATGTTATCGCATGAGCTGATTGTTTAGTAACTGGTGTTGTTAGTGGACATTATAGTGTAACTTGTAGTTCCTTGATCCTTTTTACAGATAATCCTAGGCTCTCCATCCGAGTTCATTAGCATTCTGCATACTTCTTTATGGACATTCACAGTAAAAGCTGTTCAAATACATGTATTGTGATGCAGGCCAGACACTATCGTTTCCAATGTGTCTACGAGCCTATGTGATGAATGGAGTGCGTATACACCTTTTTGTGGGTGCGCTTGCGAGTGTGTGTTTGCATACCCTTATATCTGTGTGTTCTTGGCCGTACGGAAAGTGTCCGCTTCATTGCGTTTTCTTCTTCTTCTTCTGTTTTTTTTTATTGGCCAGGTTCAAGAATTGATCGTTCACAAGGAGTCGAATCTTATGGACAATTTCTTTGATGTAAGGGGCCGGCCGTAAATACCGATATTTGATTAGGAAACGAATAAATTTTGTGTCAACCCCCACCCCCTCAGAACATAAAAAAAAGTTGATATACATGTACTGTAACTCTATCCGCTGTTTGTGTCTAACACTAACAAAATTTTGCAAGCAAGATATTGGTTTCTTCACCGGTATGTTGCTTGTATTTGTTAGTGTTGGACACACACAACGGATAACTTGTAAACCTCTGGTCCTTCTTTTCTCCTTGGCTCTCAATCCGAGTCTTATATACATGTACACGCAACAAAAGTCACACGTGCGTCTCTGCTTGTACTTCCATATACCGGTACGTATATCACTGATACTGTTTTCTGAAACGAAATTGGTCAGCCCCCTCCTGCCGGCATGTCCCCTAACGGAAATATTCCGTTGTGTGAAGAAAGTTTGATTTTTGCTTAAAATGAAGTTCAGCAAAAAGTATGATGTGCTTTTCATTATCCCTACTTCATCTTGAGTGGTATTAGGTCTCCTACCAGACATCAGCATCCACCTCTGAGCAAATCTCTCCCGTTTTTGAAGTATCCAACTGGCCTGCCCTCAGCACGTCAGTCCTGCTTTGGAGCAAAACTTGTTGAGTGCATTTTGTGCAATTTGCAATATGCAATTTTGTGCAATAATCTTATCCTCTTTTGTTCCAGTATGTATTGTACTGGTATGTTCATCACAGTTTCTTGCCTGTATTTTTTCTGAAGGCAAATGCCTGCTTTCTGGATGTGCGTGGCTGGCATGGACATGCTGCTCATATTTAACCGCCGCGTGTCCTTTTATGGCCGCTTTTTTTGGAACTCTGCAGGAGATGATAGTGCACTTCCAAGATCGCAGTCCCGACGTCAGGAAGTTTGTTCTGGGTTTCCTCGAGGAGGCGAGGTGAGTCGTGGCTACAATAGCAACAGCGCTGTGAAGAGGACTAAAGTGCCAGTACTGGTCATATTGTTGCCACTCCTCAGCCTGAATGGAATGAATTATGCCATTGTTGACAGGCTGCCAGAAAACAGATAACAGTTGACTCATTTCGCTGGCATTCTCTATATAGCTATGTACCTTTTTTCCGTTGCTGTCCAGTTTAAAAGACACGGAATTGATCCGGAAGGCTGTTCCGTTCTTGCTACTTGGTATCAAGGACTCCATGCCGCTAATCAAGAAGAAGACGATAACAGTCGTTACACGCCTCCTGCCGTGTGCGCTGCTGGTATGTTTTCTCACATGGTTCACATCTTCCCTCCGTTTGTCTCTCATTCATGTACAGGTGGAATCCTGATAATTTGAATATGGTATAATTCCGATGTACCCTCTACACTCCGTCCAGAGAATGGCGCGACTTTTGTTTCAACATGGGGTCCTAGAAATACCCTACAATGCTTGGAGAAATCAGAAACACCATCTGACGAATACTTGCGACCACATGTGTGCTGGGGTGTGCAACGGCATGTTTTGTTGTTGTGTTTTTTTTCTGTCCTTTTGTCCATGCAGATGGTATGCCGTGCGAGACCCAATGATCAGGAAGCCGCAGACATGTGGGATGTAAGACATGTTTACTAGTATCTCCTTTTCCGCCTAGAAAAGCTAGCCAGTTTGTGCCTGCGTGTGTGTGTGTGTACATGTGTACGTGTGTGTGTACGTGTGTACGTGTGTGTGTATATATGTGTGTGTGTGTGCGTGTGTGTGTGTGTACGTGTGTGTGTGTATGTGTGCGCGCGCATGTGCATGACTTTGCATACTTTGCCTTTGGGCCGTAACCTGATTGTTGAGGTAATGTTCATTTTCTGCAGCCACTCTGGAGATGCTTGTGGAGTACGAGTAGTGTATTGCAGTTTTGGTTTTTCTTTTCTTTCGAAGCATGTAGTCGTTGAAGGAGCCTGAAACAGTGAGTGCGTTCGATTATGCACGCGAATCGATTCACGAATCGATTCATGAATCGATTCGCGCTATTCACATCACCCCATGTGAATAGAGTGAATGGATTCCGAATCGATTCCAGGGCTCATGACATGAAATCGAACGACTTGAATGCATGCGAATGGATTCATGAATCGATTCAAGTGTGTAATCGAACGCACTCACTGAGCAAGTTATCGCTTCTTCTTTTCTGATATTATTGGTTTTAACAGTTTCCAGTTGAACACCACTGTAGTTTTCATAATTATGTTTGTGTTTTGGTTTTGGTTTTGTATTTGTCTTCTGTGTAGAGTATGGATGACATCAAGAGTTTGATAATTGAAGAAATCAATGGCATGAACGATGGGTATGTGCGGCGACTGCCTGTGCACTGGTGGTGTTGGTGGTGTTGGTGCTATCTTCCACTGTGTGCTTACGGGTGAAGAGAGATGGATGCGAATTCGATCGAGAGGACTCTTGATTTGGGCCCAGAGAAGCAGTCTTTGGCATTGTGTACACACCTGTATCTACAATAGTATCAGTAGGGCTAATGATGAGTTTCTTGCCTATTGATATCTTTGTTATATGCCTGTCTTCTTTGGGTTTGCAGTATTCGCACCATGGTAGTGAAGTTCATGGAAATGCTCGTTGTTGTTCTGTCCAAGAAGAGCAGCGTAAGTCTCTCTGAGTGTATGTGTGTGTGGTGGGTGCGTGTGTGTGTGTGTGTGTGTGTGTGTGTGTGCATGCATGCAAGCATGCATGGGTGTGTATATGTGTGTGTCGTGCGCGCGTGTGCGTGCATATGTTGTGTAGTGGTGGTGTTTCATGTAATACGTACCAAAATCCATTCAGACGTGAATCTCTCCGTGCATAAAATTCCTTGGATAACCACTTTCAAATGTTAGTTCCCTGTGTAGCGAAACCTTGCTAACGTGGTTGAACGTTTCAGTGTCTAAGTGGTAATTCCACCTTGTCTAGGCTTTACTTTCGAGTTTTTTGGACTAAAGTGATATCCATACATTTGTGTGTAGTGTGTTAATGTGGTGTTTTTTTGTTTGTTTGTATATTGCCACTTTTTGTAGGATTCTGAAGTGGTCAAGGATGACTACCCGGTTTCATTAGAAATGGTAAGCTTGTGTCTGGTGGCCACCCCATGTCGACACTTCAATGGCATTCTATCCTGTGTCCGATTAAAAGCAGTATATGCTCGTGTGTAACATGCACGTTCACCGTCAAATGCATTGTTTTTTGTCTTTGCCTATTTTTCGTGTGTGTATGTGTGTGTGTATGTGTGTGTATGTGTGTGTGTGTGTGTGTGTGTGTGTGTGCGCGTGTGTGTGTGTTCTCTAGGTACCCACCGATCACAAGGTGTTGCACCTTACTGATCTTGTGGAAGACTGTGGCATGTGCTTGGAATCCTTGCTGGGTCTAACGACTCTAGCCGATATTTCTAGGTAAGGACGACACGAGTCTTCTCACCTGCCCATAGCCTGATCGGATAGAAGGTGTGGCACAGGCAGGCGATGGCTGGATTATTAGGACCCGTGCGCCTTGATGTGAATCAATCTGTTTGTTCCTCCTTGTCTTTGATGGTGGTGCCGCGTTTGCAGTAGAGCATATTGTGTCTCTGTGTTTTCCATCTTGCACAGCACAAATCTGATGACTGTGATTTCGTCATTGGCCAGCGTTGCCCGTCAGCGGCCTATGTTTATGTCCACAGTGGTGCAGGCGTTTGAGGCGTTACACGGTAAGTAGCCAGAACTCCACTCTGACGTCGCGAACCAGATGAATTTTGACCGCTATTTCCAAGTTTGAAAGCCCTGCAACAAGAACCATGACCGTGATGTGTTTTGTTTTTGTTTTTCTTTGTTGGTAGCTTCCCTTCCTCCCTTTTCCAAGTCTCAAGTTAGCAGTATCCGAAAGAATATGAAAGTAAGTTTGTTGTGTACTGCTGCTGAGTACTTGACATGCATATACCGGTGTGTGTGTGTGTGTGTGTGTGTGTGTGTGAATATGAGATGCAGGAGTGATAAGGAATGAATTATTACTTTCCATTCCACCTGACGCTCAATATTCATGGCCTGCTTTGCCTCTTCACTGCCAATGTCCTTTCTCTCATAATTTTCAGCTTTCAATAATTGAAATATGTACATGTGTGTGTGGGTGTGCTCTGAACTTTATCTTTTCTAGTCTCAACTCCTGGCTATGCTCCGACATCCATTGTCAGGTATGGTAATCTTTCCTAGTTGGGCATCTGTTTGTATTTGCTGAGGCAACTTTGGAATGCGTGAAGATGAGCATGACACTTTTGAAGTTTGTCACAGTACGGTAGTCCCTACTGGCCAACTCTATGTTTGTGTGTGAACGAGCTCTTGTATGGGTGAATCTCTCTTGTTTCTCTTTTTTCCTCCCACTTCTCTATCTCTATCTAACCACCCATCTGTCTGTTTGTCTGTCTGTCTATCACATACACACATACACACACACACTATCTCTCTTCCTCTCTCTCTCTCTCTCTCTCTCTCTCTCTCTCTCTCTCTCTCTCTCTCTCTCTCTCTCTCTCTCTCTCTCCCTCTCCTTGTTTTCTTGTCACCTATTGTGGCTATTGTTCGCAGTGGACTACCAGACTCAGATTACCACACTCCTTGCAGATCTGGGCGCAACACCGGCTGAGGTAAGGCCATTCATTTCTAGTGCACTTATTAGTATACTATGGCTATACACGACATGTAAAGGTAAAGGTAGCCCATAAAGGCATTGTGAATTCTTACTGTAGGGATAGAAGACCTCTTGTAGTGAGGGTGGTGCTCATCTCCTCTCCCTCGTCGATTTATGGTCCGTAGTAGTGGATATTGCAATGGGTCAATGAACAGTCCCTAGCTGGCACTATCCAGTGCCAGTCAAGTTGGTGGCCCCTAGGACACAGTCCATACTGCAGACGGAGTTACACCCGCGTACTCACACACGTACCTAGACATACTCTCTATCAAAACACATACACACACACACACAGTCTTGCATACCCTCTCTAACTGCACACCCCACACCCCAATAGTTCGGTTCTCAAATCTTTAGGGTGACCGTGATTGTATCATGTTCTGATGACTATCATAGAGAGAGAAAGACAGACAGACAAGAGTCCACAAGGGTTTCAGGCGTGCGTTATTCAATTGCTTCCACCGCATAGTCCTCAGCTGTGCGGCTCACACACCCGCATGTAACAATGTGTACACAATCATGTCGTCATACTGAACAACAGCTGTAACAAATGGGAACAGAAGCACCCTGCTCCGATGGCGTGGCTACGACAATTCTATAGGAGTAGTCGTTAGTACTTGAGTTCCTGTGCTATCGACATCTGAAGACTGTATGGACTTTTGAAACACATTTATTTGTTCAGATAAAATAACATTGTTTGATTTGCCTTTGTTCTGTGGTACAGATTGCTAAGAACAAACCACAGCCAGCAGCTGAAAAGAGAAAGTAAGAAACTACACCTGTGCCCTAGTTTGGATTCTTTATTCTCTCGATGTGGTGGTGATTGTTTGTATTTTGTGCCTTTGCTACTTCAAAGGAAAAATAATAGTTTGTTTTTTCTTGGCGTTGACTGTTTTCTTGATACACCTTTTTAGGTGTAGGAATTGCTTGGAATGCTTCCATGCTATTCCTAACCGTCACCTTTTTCTGGTGTATACCTCAGACTGTCCCGACTCGCCCTGGTATTTTCGTTTCCTGTGTGCATGTTCTTTCTTTTACTGATGAAAATGGGCTGTCCAGAAAAGACTGACTTCATTGTGCTCCTACTGGCTTGCCGTGCTTGTGTTCTAGGAATGATGGTGAGGGTGGATCAGCGGCGAAGAAGCCAAGATCGTCAAAGGTAAGCATGCACTTGTTTGGATTGTGGTGCTGGCATTGTCCTGGGCCATAGCGAGTTTCCTTTGAGCTGTCTATGAACGCACGCTCTAGATGGCAAGTAGAACTTGTATTGGCGTTGCCAAAGTGAGAAACGAGGCCCTAAACATCCATTATGCCGGCTATTGTGTGTGCTGTGTGGTTGTAGGCGGCGGCGGCGGAGGAGGACAACGAGCCCGAGTATAATGCGTTTTTGAACCGCTTTGCCGTGACGGGACAAGCCATTGATGACTTTCACAAGGACATTGTCAAGCACTTGACACCGGTCAAGTGTGCCGAGTTGGTGTTTGTCAGCATGCGGGATCTGCCCGACGGTATGCCGGCCAACTTCCGCGAGACGTTCACGCCCATCGCTGCTGCCGGCACAGACCAGCAGATCAGTCACTTGGCACGACTGATGGCCATTCAGATTACTGCTGCTGGCTTTGGACCGGCCGCAGAGCGCATCGGACTGGAAGCGGTAAGTCGTTCTGTGTGCGTTGCCGTCTACTGACGTCTCCGTGTGCTCTCAACTTTCTCCAGCGTGTCAGCCAGTGGGGTCGTTAATACACTTCAATCGCGATCCCTAATGTTTTCTGATGTAATTGAGTGTTGGCTATTTTGAATATTTTCTCCTGCATTGCTGGTATGTTGTAATAATTATTGTTTAAACACACATGTTGTAGATTGTCCCATGTCTGCATGTCCGCCTTTCTTTCAATGTGCACAGCAAAAGTCGAAGGCCAACCGCAGGGACAAGCGAGAGAAGGAGCATCGTAGATCGGGTGGCGATCAGGAAAGTGATCAGAGTAAGTACATGTACATGTACTGTGTGCAGAAAAAGAGTTTTCCACTTGCAAATGCTAATGTTTGCATACACGTGCCATGTGTTTGTGTCTGTGTGCCGAATTGTTGAAGCGGTATACTTTTAGGTGTGTCCCGGTCATCTTTGGAGTCTCTGGAACTCAACTTGTGAGCATATATGAAATGTCAAGCTTCTTGCCCTGTCAGTACATCGAATTGGATATGCTTGTGCCTCCTACTCTAGCAGACCTGCTATTTGTACTAATGTGATGTTTTCATCTCGCTTTCTCCTGCTGCTCTTGCGTGTGTGTCGTGTGTTGTGTGCAGCGTCACATGCGACCGGTCTGCCATCTGACTTGCTTGCCGGTGTGGGTCTTGCCAATGCTAACATGGCCGACCTGATGCTGCTGGCGCCCGAGCTGATCAAGCTTGGCGTTGATCCGGAGATGGCTGCCAAGATCTTGCCGCGTGTCAACCCGGCCGCACAAGTGAGCACCGTGGGACAGACCAGTGCGTTTGGTGCCACACCGCTCGGGCCTGCTCGGAGCTCGCAGTCGACTGGATCGGTAAGTAGACTGGTGATGTTGCTTGGGCAGTCAACCTGTTACATGTTGCTGACTTGTGTTTCTTTTTTCTCCTGTATCATGTTGACAGGCTGTAGATGCGTTTGGGAAGCCAATGCCACCCAGTGATCTCATGAAAGCAGGACGTAAGTGTGACTATCTGTATGTTGTAGTTGTGTCTGCTATGATTCTGTAGTTCGTCGTATGTATGTCTGGTATGGTAGGGTAGTCTTGATTTGTACTTCAGCAAGCGAGCAACAATGATGTCTTCTCATCAGCCATGCGTGGGCTGGCTGCCACAGAACGATTGAAACCTGTAACTATGTGTGTGGTGGGGATAGCGGTAGTAGCTGCGTGTGTTTGGCCTGTGTGTAGTGTGCAGTCTTGTTCCCTAGGTACTGTTCTGTGCACACTATGTAGAAAATCATTTTTTGTGTGTTTTTCGGACGTGCAGATGATGCTCCAAGTGTGAAGGACACTAGGCGGGTATGTGTCAGTTTGTGTGTATGTCTTTGACTGGTTTTACCCTAGGACTGCAGCTGCTCTGTTGCTTCTTTTTTCTTTTTGCAGTTGTGCTAGGTGAAATCCGACCCAAAGTACAAAGCTGGCACCGTGGACCAGTTCCGATTTCATCACTGCATTTGTTTATGTGCACATCCAGCAGCATTTGTACCACTTTTAGGGCGTCCAGGGCCATGGCAGTCCAGGGTGACAAACAATTAACATTCACTTTGAGTCCGGTTTCACCGAGCGCAGCTGGACATGTAGAGTTATTCTCATCAACGTATCAACTGTCAATGCGAGTGAGTGTTTACTAGTATTTCAGGCGGCTGACTCGTACCCACTACTTCATCCTCTCTTCCTTGCAGAAAGCAAGACATATCAAGCCGTTCAAGCTCCTGGATGTTCCCATGGCAACGACGGCTAGTGACGCCGCCCGCCAGATGAAGGAAACGTTTGACAGGCTGACCAGTTTTGGTGGTGAGCTTGCAGTGCCCGTAGATTCTTACAGTACTACTGTCAAGTTGTGTAAACTGCCTAATGTTTGTGACGTACTAGTATTCATGTTTGCTTATGTCGCGGGAAGTGCATAACGCGAATATTCACCATCGTGAAATCAAACTTCAACAGTGAGTGTGTGGCCACAGTGCTCCACGAACATTTGCCATCGTAAATTTCCTGGTTCTGAGAGTTTGCGAATATATAGTGACGCGAATATTGGGTGGTTTACAGTAATCATAATCCTTTCTACCGATCAGCAGAATACTAGTAGCGTTTGGTTCTCGGTAAGTAATTTACGTGATGGGTCTTTCCTGCTGTTCTGTCCCTTTTCCTTTACCTCCTTTTTTTCTTCAGATGATACCGTTTTCTGTGACACAATATCGGTAAGCTGCAAATTTGGTTGGTTTTGTTCATTGTAGAACTTATGTCAGGTACTTTTTCTGGTGTGGAATGTTCTTGCTAGACTATTCTGCGAATTGTTGGATATCAGGGAGTGTTTTCCCGGGTAGTAGTAGTTTGGGTGCTTGCAATATCTCATGTTTCTGCCAAGTAGCTGTGTAGCTGTGAAATACCATGCTGATAGCCAATTTGAATCGCTTTCCAAGTCGGTACTTTTCCTTTCTTTGTCTTGTAGGATCGAATAAAGATTCTTGTAGGCCTGGCAGTGCATTTTCCCGAGACCTGTCGCCGAAGTAAGTTTATCCGTGTCTCACATCTTGCTCTCTTGTGCTGTTTCCTCTTCTTGTGAGGAAGTGAATCCTATAACTGGATCCACCTGGATGCACTTCCAGTATTTTAGTTACCTATGGCAGTTTGGTCTGTGGTGTTGTGGGTGTTGTTGGTGAGCTCTTGTTTACATTCGAAACATGTCATGGTAGCTGTGATGGTGGCGAAGCCTCTTGTTTTCTCTTTCATTCATGTTTTTTTGCATGCCCTTTACTGTATTCATTGTGATTTTCAGTTCTAATTGATCGTGTTATGCTGGATGTGCGTAGCAACATGGAGCTCTTACTAGCATGGCTTTTCGAAGAATACAGTGTATCTGAAGGTTACTTTGATCAAAAGGAAGCGCTGAGCGGCCTCGGCAAACGCTACGATCATTGCCTGACATTGCTACTGACCACGCTCCGAGAGAAGCTCTCACCCGAAGACAGGTACGTCTCCGTGCCTTGCTGTCTTATCTTTCATGCTCATGATCAGAAAGCAGACAGGTTCTCATTTCTGTGGATGCATGTGTGCGTGCTTGGGTCTATGCGCTCCTATCTTGTAGGTCATTCACCAAGTTATTATTGGAGGCGCCGTGCATCACTCAGGGTGCATTAGAAATTGTCCGCTCCTACTGCGAGGACAGGGAGGTATGAATGCTGACTGTGCTGCTGCTGTTGCTCCTGCTGTTCATGAAGCCTGTGCATAGGCATAAGTACTGTACCATTGTTGCATATGCATGAGCGATTAAAACCAGGACGGGTGTCAGCGTCCGCCTGGTTTATCTTGATTTGTTGACTATGGATTATAAGATGGTATTCTTTTTTGTAAAGGGTCCTTTTCTGCATCAGCTGCTGTTGCATAATATGCTCATTCACCTCCTTACTTCCTGTGAAGTGATCCTTTTGCGCAGTTCATGGCTGGCCTCCGCGTACGCGTGTATGTATATTCCAGTTCCATGTCTCTCTCTCTTCTCTCTCTCTCTCTCTCTCTCTCTCTCTCTCTCTCTCTCTCTCTCTCTCTCGTTGCATTGTTATCCAGTACATGGATCTTGGTATCGCCACACTGTCTGAACTGGTGATACGAAGACCAGCGGCAACCGAGGCGTACCTCTATACACTTCTAGACCTGACCACTCATCATGACCAGAAGGTAGGTAGTAAATTGTTGGTAGCCGGTGCACTTATGCAGCGTCATTGGTGTATGCTGTAGCTGTTTTTGGTTGTGTTTGTTTTGTCATGGTTGTCTTGTTACCTGCTTCAAATCCCTGTATATCGTGATTGGTCTCATACCCGTTGCATTCTGTGTTTTTTGCAGCTCCGGGACATGTCAATCGAAGTCACGAAGAAGCTGTTTAGCAATGAAAACCTGACCGGTGATATTGTGGTGAGTTGAGGTGACCTGACATGGTGCTGTGTTGACTATACCCGTTTTACTGTGTGTGTGTGTGTGTGTGTGTGTGTGTGTCGTTACTATAATAGCTTTCGTGGCTGAGGTTGTTGGTGTGTCTGTTGCCTCTGGGTTCCCAGTACTCAGTAGCCGAAGCTGGTTGGTAAAGTAACTCCAATTTCACTTCAAGGTACCAGTGCATCTAGTATCTGCTTCTATCAAAGCAGCGTGCTGTCTATACTGGTTACCCCAGCAAGTGTAGGGTGTGCATAGGTAACTGTCTTGGCCATTTTATGCCGATGTGGTGTAGACCAGGTGTGCATTGGTGGTCGATTCACATGGCTTCGCCAGCATTGTGGATTAGACAGTTATCTGGCGCAAGTCTTGATCTGTCTCGTTCAGATCTTGTTCGCTATCGTTGCTATAAGGGAGCATCTCATAAGTTCGCACTTTTTTTGTAAACGTAACGCATTTCGAATAGACTTTACCCCCCTGCCTCCCCCCACTATTTGAAAGTCTTATCGCACATTTTCAGTGTACGTGTAGATCTACTACGGTACATATCCATGCATGCCATGGTATGCGCATGTACATGAATGTTTTGCTAGTGTGGATGTGAGTGTCATCAAGACTCGGCAAGAGTACATAACCAGTTTGGTTATGTACTCTTGCCGAGTCTTGGTGGCATACAGTAGTACAGCATCTACTGAGTACAAATGACATGTACACGCACATAAACAGAGTTTCTCCACAACGACTGTACTGTGAAAGCTGGCCAGGTACACGGTTTGATGATGCTTGCTGGTGTGACATTTGACACCTCTGATTAGCCTGCATGATTGATTGCATGCAGTGCAGGGTTAGCTGATCTGCGAACATACTAGTAGGTAGCTAAACACCATGAACACACCCTGCTGAGCTCATGAGGCGGTCTAGCACATGCACCATATGTGCACCGTGAGCACAGTATTGTACACATCCAGAAAATGTGCGAACTGTCATTTTGCTATTCGAAAAGGGCGCTACCCCCCTACCCCCGTTTCGAAATGCGTTACGTTTAGAAAAAAAATGCGAACTTATGAGATGCTCCCTAAGAGAAAATCTGTGGGTGCACATCCAGTGTATTTGCAGATTTGCGTGCTTCTCTTGCGACGGGTGTATACATGGTACATGGTGTGTGCGTGTGTGTGTGTGTGTGTGTGTGTATACGCGCATGTGTGTATACATGTGCGTGTGTGCATATGTGTGTGCGTGTGTGTGCCGTTCAGTGCTTGTGGCTCGCCTCTACGGACACACTCTTATACGCAGTGAAGATTGGGTGTAACGACCCTGCATGCAACAACAGATTGAGGTTGACAAATCTGTTGTCCTAGTCACGTACATGTACTTGTAGCAGTTCCTTTGCTATGATGAATTTTTGTCAAGAGTACAACAGTGTTCAACTCCACTATCACTGCTGTCCCGATAGAATTGCAAGTTGATGTCATTTCATGATGCTGTCTGGTGTACGTGACTGCATTATCAGACGTATCCTGGGCCAGTGGTGGGACCAGTCCCTGTTCGAATCTGCACTGACTAGTGCAAGGAAAGACGTGCGATGACTTGAAATTCTGTCGGGACAGCATTATGTGCGGGCGTTGCACACGCTGAGGGGTTATGCACTCTTGGTTTAGTGACATACCGGTACTAGTATTCGAATGTTCAGTATTCATTTTTTCATCTGTCGTGTTGAAGTCAGTGTGTTGACTGTTGGGTGCTGTTTTTTCGTCTTGTGTCATTGGTGTGCAGAAATTTGCGTACAAGACACTGGCACAGCTGCAGAATGAACATCCCGTTGCGGTTCTCGATGGCGAAACAGGTAACATTGCCAGCACACTGGTGTGTTATTGGCATAGTAGGTGGTTATCATATTCTACTACAGCATGGGTGGCATGCGAGGGGCGCAGGAATACTTAGCAGCACTGTGACATACGCGGCTAATCCCACTCTGACCATAGGAAATGGTCAGAACTCGTTTTAGGACTTTTTGTAGCTGCACTCACCCAATCTGCGGACTGAACTGTTTCGTCCTTTGTGGACTCATCAGCGCAGCACAGAAAACGAATGTTACAGGCACCTCGGTGTACCGGGCACCCTGTGGGCGAGGTTTAGTGGAAATATTACTACTCTTTTGCCAATTTCTGTGGAAATAGTGATGGCATATGCCAGACCTCTTGCCGTTCCCCATCAAAACGTATGTGATTCAGAGTTACGGGTATTTCGATGTTATGGGCAGTGCTCGGTCCCTGCCCGCCCATGTAAGAGAGATATGAGTGGATCTAATTTGGTCACATGCCATGTGGTAATTTTACCCAAATCAGATTCTTGTGACTGTGAGCTGACATGTATCACTCCTGTGTCCACTCTCTGATCAGTGCTGCCGTCGCTGTGTTCGTGTGTGTGTGTGTGTATGTACTCATACTCGCATGTGTGCTTGTAGAAGTCGCTGGTGCCGCCTGGACGGAAGAGACAATTTCAATAGCTTTGCAGCTGTTCCTGTCACTGCTACCTCTGAAACACTCCCTTCTCCATGAGTAAGTCAACCATATACTCGACTGCCATTTCCTTGTTATTTAGTAGTGGCAGGTGTGGTTGTTGAGTGCTTTTCCAGTCACCTCCATGCATTGCATGCACTGGGCACTAAGTAGCCGCTTAGAATCAATCAGAGTACTTAAGGTACATGTACGGTCAGCTTGGAGTTGGTTTAGTGGAGTATTGCCGTTTGTATCAATGTTGCTGATCTGCGGGCTTGCTCCTGTATCTGTGTTCGTCCATGTCTTGGTGGTATTACAACTCCCTCACTGCCATTGTGTCCATGTATTGTTGCCCCTATGTTGGTCAGTCTTGCACAGGTTTACGTAGATGTGTCTACACTGATCAAGAAGACCATCCACAAGCGCGTTGAGAAGCCGGTAGGTGAAGCTGTTGCTGCTATTTGTACATTGTATGCGTTTGCAGCCTGTGTATGCTACTGCATTTGCTCTCTGTCAACAGCCCACTGCAGTAGATCAATAACCTGTGACTATATGGTATTGTCTGTTATTGCCCATGCTCGTCTTTTAGATCCGCGAGATAGGAATCGAAGCTGAAGAACTACTGAAATTGCTGGAGGAGTGTCCGCCGGGTGCGGAGTCGTTGATAACTCGCCTACTGCACACGCTCACTCTGGATGGTAAGCGACTACAGCTGCAGGTTGTAGTACTTCAAAGTACCATTGTTGATCAGCACCCAACAGGACCACCACACACTGCTGCCGGGCAAACAAGCATGCACATATGTGTGTTGTGCTCTGTAAACCATTGCGTGCTCCGGTGGAGAGCAACTGACAGTTGTCATTTGTAGCTGGCGGATCTGTCGTTATAATGTAATGTATTCAGTAGAACCTCAGAATTCTGAACGCCTTCTGGACTGGGCAAAATGGTCTGATTTGTGAAAGTGACAATCCTGTTTTCGCACTTCTGGAGGAAAGTTTGGGACCGAGCAAAAGTGGTCGGATTGGCAAGGTGATGAAAAAGCAAGCGTCCACTGTAGATGTACTATGATCACATTGATGTCTGACTTATGGGTTCAACGCATTCCAAATGCGTACATTTTTTTATGCTACTTCAATGGAAGTATGTAATGTGGACATTGGTATGCTTGAGACATTTCTTGCTGTTTTTTTTTTGTCTTGCATTGCAGCACGCCCGACTCCAGAGTTGGTGGAGAAGGCACGTTCGCTGTACAAACGTCGCTCAGCAGACATCCGTGTGCTTATTCCAATCATCATAGGTCTAGAAAAGGTGAGTGCTTGATGCTGGTGCTGATGGCTATGGCACTTTGCTGCAAGCACTCCCCAAGGCCCGGGGAAAGCCTGTTCTCCTCAAACACAAGAGTGATTGAAGAATCCGGTGTTGTGTTCTTAAAAAAAAACTACCAACCAGTGCGTGGACTAGTCCAGCACTTAAGGCCCGCTTACGGGTGTACTTAGTCTGCAAAACTTTAGGAATGAGGAGAGGACACAGTATGAAGCGGCATGTGATAGCGCTGCCGCAAAGACAATGGGTGTTCAGGGGCGTAGCCCGGGCTGCTTTCGCAGTGGTTGCCGGTTAACTACTGCAGTGGAATCTACACGCCTGGCATCAGCCCTGCACAATACTACAGTGTAGTAGTAACACACTGTTTTGAGCACAGGATTTTTGGAATAACCTGCTTTCCAGGCATACCATAAGCCAATCGGCCTATGCCACTGCTTGCTGAGAAAGATAGAGTATGTCCTCTAATTTTTGCATGAAGGAACGGGTCTGTGTTTTTGCGTATAGTTGCAGGTGGAAGAATTTCATACTTCAAAGTAATCATTGCCATCATTGTCAGTTTTGTCAGTTTTGTATGAAACCTTGTTGCGATATCGTATACCCTCGCTTTGTTCTTGTGCTGTTGTTTAGAGCGAAATTCTGGACTACTTGCCGCTTCTAATCAGGCAGCAACCAGCAGTCATGAGAGAGGTGGTGAATCGCTTACTTGGCTGCACCCACAGTATGTTGTTAGCTGTTGCTGTGACAGTCATGTTGTTAAGTGGGTGTGCGTGTTTGTGTGTGTGTGTGCCTGTGGGTGTATGTGGGTGGGTGGGTGGGTGGGTGTATGTGTATGTATGTGCTAACTTGCTGTCTTGTCTGAAGCGTGTTATTATTATTATTTGAGGGATTCCCCAAAGGCCGAAGCCTAAATCAAGGGAGTCTCCGTGTTCTGAACCAAAGCTTGGCTTTGTGTTGACATTAGTGACATGCATGTATTAAGTCTGACTTGAATACAAGTCTGACTACAGGAATAAGCCTGGACTGTAATGCATGACTTTACAATACCGGTATATGCCATTGGTTGTCTGGGTGTCTATCTCTTTGTATTTACGTGTGTGCGCTTGTGTCCTTGTGTGCGTGTGTGCATGTGTAGCGGGAAAAGCATCGCCGATCATGAAAAGTCCTCTGACACCGACCGAGGTTCTGGTGGCTCTTCACTCGATTGAAGAATCTGATGAGATGATGAAGAATGTCATGAAAGGTATGTGCTGCGGCTAGTGAATACGTGCATGTATGTTTGGATGACCTGGCTTTTGTACTTGGTATGTCTTGTGCATTGTGCACAAGACTGTGGCAGGCGTTTGTGATGTCACTACTGACTAGACCCGCGACAGCAGTCATCATCTCCTGGCGTATGACCACCTTTTTCTTCTTGGTGAACAAAGTCAAGGAAATAACAGAAGTTTTGCATTGTTGTACATGATTGTAATAGCTGTTACTTAAAAGTATTTTTCTATCTGTTATATTGGTGTGGTGTTGTTGTTGGGGTGTCTACGCGTATCTGCAGCCATCAGTTTCTGTTTTGAGAAGGACACTATCTTCACGCAGGAGGCAATCGCCCTTGTCCTTCAGCAGCTGGTCGAGAGACAGCCGCTTCCCACGCTATTTATGCGCACCGTAAGTATCAAGTTCTCATCCTCTCCTTTTGCTTTATTCGATCCTTTGTTCCAGACTTCATCAATCCGTATAAAGAAAAAAGCTACTAGAAGTTCAAAATGAAAAGTTGTGCGTGTGCGATGAAGCACCCCTCTTAGTATCAGAAAATGTGAAGAAACTACTACTATATGTACTAGCCACCTATGTTATGAACAGTTTAGGTTTCTAGTAACTTTCTACTGCTGTGCATTAACTTGTTTGTGTATGTGTGGTATCTGCATAATGTTCTCTACACTTGTAGTGGTAGTATCCTCTTCCACTGACATTATCAGTTCTCATGTACGGCACTTTGCACTATCACTGTTCTCGCTGCAGGTCATCCAGTCGCTGAACCTCTACCCCAGCATGATGACCTTCTCCATGGGTATCTTGGAACGGCTGGTGAAAAAGCAGGTAATACCCTCTTGAAAGGTTGATATTACGTTCCATACAGTGCGCCATCTACCTTGTGATGTACTGTCATTTCGGTCATGTTTGTTTTTTGTAGGGTAAATTGTCATCTCCGTGTTGATGACATCGTGAGGGGGTTGTGTGCGTGCATGCGTGATTGATCATCGGAAGACATTGACTGTTTCAGAAGACTACGTGTAGTGTAGCAACCCTACCACGATAGTAACTATAATGCTAGCAATTTGGCCAGCATGGCATGCTTGAAATTAGCACAACCTACACCTACGCCTATGACTGTGTATGTGTATTACATTTCACCCGGTTTTTTTCTTGGAGCACAAGTTGTTTTTTTGGTCTTGGTCTTGCTTGGCAGGCGTGGCTACAGCCGAAGGTCTGGCAAGGTTTCGTGAAGTGCTGCTCGGTACGGCTTGCCCTAACTCTTGTTGGGTTTTCTGATTTCCAAACACGAACATGCGCCGTTCTGGTGCTGACCAGTTTGCATTTCTGCCATTTTCTGGTGTTGGCGTGGTGCAGTTTTTGCAGAAATGAGATAATGTGCCGGTCAGATGCTTTTCGAAGGCATGGCGGCTGTTTTCTGGGAAGAATGCACTTTTTAAAGTTAGACTGTACAGACTCTAGTCCGTATACCCTACATCCACTTGCAGTGCAATTCGTTTCTGTGTATCAACTGTGCGCAAACTAGAGAATGGGACAGTGGCAACACTCTATTGTTTTGGCCTATCATGATTTAGGAAACGGATACAGTCACCTGTTACCATGACACAGGACTAATTGCTGGATGCAATTCAAACCATTTCCATTTTGCGAGTGTTAAAGTTCTTTTCTTCTTGTTGTTCTCTCGCTTGTGTTGATGGACTTTAGATGACGAAGCCGCAGTCACTTGTCGTCCTACTGCAGTTACCTCGCCAACAGCTTGACAGTGCTTTCCAGGTAAGTTTGCTGCTGGGAATGATTAGTTTTGTTGCATCATGAAGGATCATTGTACATGCATGAATTACTCGAGGCTTTGTTTCTGTGGAGTCCGTTTTCTTTTCTAAAGTGTGCTTCGCCGGACCCAACTGTCTTGAGAGAAATTCGGAAAAAAAGAGAAGTAAACAACATTCGACTGCAGGTGGAACATGTTATTTTAGAAATTCGTAATTAAAAATAGGGTCTATACAATCACATGAAGCTGCAGGAAGTATCCAGACTAGTTGAAAATGGAACTCTGAATAAACCACCCGACTTGGGCCAATAAACCTTCTACGAAGTATTTTCCTAGATCCTGCGGGCGCGTCAAGCGATTTGCTATTTTTGACGTTCAGTCCTCCACGAAAGGGGGACACACACCTCTCTGAAATGGATGTCCTATGGGTGCGCACCATACTTCTTGGCGCAGGACCTCTCCGATGTGACCATCATGTCTCAGTTCTATTTGACATTGTTAATGAGGTCATTCGGTCATTGTCGTGGGGATGATCAAGTGCCTCAGTAGAATACTGTACTCGACAGGAAGTTGGGAATGTGCTGTGCTGGTTTGTTCCTGTTGTTGGACTCCCGAATAACTGATTGTTGTCTTCTTGCTGTGCTTCTGTATGTGTGTGTGTGTGTGTGTGTGTGTGTGTGTGTGTGTGTGTGTGTGTGTGTGTGTGTGTGTGTGTATGTGTGTGTATGCTTCCGTGTGTGCTTCCGTGTGTATGTGCATGTGCGTGCGTGCATGTAGATTTGTGGTGACCTACAACCTGCCCTTGTAGAGTTCGTTAAGAGCCTTCCTACTAAACAGGTAAGCACACGGTGTTGTGCCATGCCTTATCCATGGTGCTGCATATAATTAGTCATGGGAATGCAGTGAATACTGCCAAGGGGCGCCAGAAAAAGTCCTGCCGGGTTCAACTTGGTTTCACATGTTCCCAACTAGAAGTGAAGTGCTAAGATGCCAAATTACTGCATCTGGTTTGGACCTTTGAGGGAAATTGCCCAATCCAGAGACTTTCTTTCAAGCTGATACAATCTATAGTAACTGCCGCTTCATGTGTCACCCGCAATCTTATGCAATTGTTTCATTCTGACACATGTTTGGATGCTCATTGCACCCTTCTTTGTTATGTGCACCTTGTAGAGGAACAGCATCTCCAAGCAAACACTGAAGTTCATTGAATCTGTCGACAAGAAGTCCGAGAAAGCTGCCTCCACCACTGCAGCAACTTCCACTTCACCAGAGAAAGCATCGACTTCGACAAGGACCAAGGGACGTGCTTCTTCTGGCGCTGAACACGGGAAGGAAAACATGTCTACTGTCCGGAACAAAGCTGAGTCTGCGTCTGCAACGCAAGCTGAGTCTGAGCAGTAGGTTCCTTGCACGCATATTCACGGCCCATTTATCCTCTCTTTCTTGATGCTTTTTTCAATTTTTTGTTCTTTCCAAATTCTTTTTGCTGGGTACATATCTGGAACTGGTTTCCAGAGCAACCTTTGATTTTCTGAATAATACTATGCTTCTGTATAAGGGCATCATGTTCCGCATTGGTTTGTGTGCAAAGGTTACACCATACTATAAATACATATATTATGTACATATACTTGTGAATCATAAAACAAATGTATGTAGGTTCTTATATTCGTGATGGCTTGTGTTATTTTAGTCTACTTTACCCTGTTTTCTTTTTTAGTAATAATATTATTATTATTTTAACTCATTCGGTTGAATACTGGAGTCTTCTTACTCTGCTCCTGTGCCGGTAGCCCATGGCCCAGGTGGGTCATGTCACAGTTGCCTTTTTCATTCTCCTTCCTATAGTCATACCCGTGCACTCCTTAGCTGCTTGTTGAATGTTGCTGGGACATGTACATGTACATGTATTGATCTAAGTGATCTTCCTTTCTTTTGCTCTATGTGCATATTGGTAGCTGTTGTACGGGACACTGCGGCTACTGCCCGGTACCGCACAACTATGTGGGGTTCGGAGTTCTAGCCTATACTATGGCCTGGAGTATAGGCCAAGCACTACAACATAGTCTATGTGTAGTCGGACCTGCACCGCGTGCACGCCAGAATAATAGTATTCTGTAGAGACCCATGTTACTACTCACGTAACTGTGGGTGAAATTCTAGCATTTCTTTTCCCGGCAGGCAGTACTCTACTGGCAGTGTACCATGGTGTACTCTTGTCTAGTCTTGATTATATTACAGTACTGTGCTGCAGGAGCTATTGTTTCAAGAGCCTGGCACATTATCTATTACAGTGGCAGTGTTATTTTTACAGTCTGGTGTCACTGACTCAATGACTGGGGGGGGGGGGGGGGGCTGTATGACACAATGCTTTGTATCAAGACTCAGCGTAGAATAATCTACTCTTGATTGTATTCATACAATCATTTACTATGATTTAGCACCAAGACTCAAGATCAACTCTGACAACAGTAACATCAAGAGAGAGACTCTTGGTAACATCGCATCAAGAGTGCATAAACTGTTTATGGACTCTTCGGATGTAGATCTATGACTATGGTGATGACGTGAGTAGATCATTCTACAACAAATATTTTTCCCGCCGAACGAAACTGGTCACGTCATTTCTTAGCTGATCTGACGCAATCGTCCAGGTGATTCCATGGTAGCAAGATTAGAGGGCAGAGGGTAGATCTACAATGTCATACAATAAAATCTGGTAATTGTTTGTCAGGCATTTGGTATCACAGTTTGCTCTGCTGACTAACTTCAGTCACTTTCTCCCCCTTTCTGAAGATCTCTTCCAACTTTGGCTTGTTGTAGTTGTGTAGCCTTGTATCCCTAGAACAGAAGCGGACGTTGACTTGGTAGTGAACAGTTTTTCAAACAATAGAATGGAAATCCCACAGGGCGAGAAAGTATTGCTAGTATGGGCTGGCTGTCCCGAGCAGTCTCTGCTGGCTGCCGTGGAGGAGCTGAAGCAGAAAGTAGGCGCGGGCGGAGATGTGTCTCTGGAGAATGCTGAGCGCTTGGAGTTCGGTATGTTTTGTAACTAATGCAAGCGGAGGCAAAAAAATGGCGAAACTATTATCCACACGTACTGTTACATAGAAGAATGCGAAGAATGTTACATGCACGTAGAGAATCAATGGTACATTGCATCAATTTCCTATTGCTTTACCCACGTTGCTTCTCCTGGACTACACGCACACGTACACGTACATGTGATACAATGCCTGTGGAGTAACTCCGCCGGCGAACCCACAACTCACAAACCGTGCACCAGGCATTGTGGGGAGTAAGATTGCTGCAAGTCTGAAGACAAGAGCCTAGGATTCAGACTAACTTGGCGTACATGACCGTACACGCTGGTGTGGCGCATAGATAAAAAAAAGCCAGCCTCATGCCAAAGCAAGGGCTCCCAGGGTACAAGCGGGCGTATGGTTCAAACAACACGAAGATGAATGTACTAACTGAAGGGCACTTTGTTATGCATGTAGGTACAGGCATCGATTGCACTACTTCGACATCGCATTTAAACACCACTTCGATCGGTAGTGGATTGTTTCTCACTCTAGCCTGTGTGTTCTTTGTGTGCGCACTCTACACTCTAGCCATGCATACAGGACGTAGAGAAGTGATGCGGTGTGCTCTAGCCAGCAAGGTTTTGCATTTGAACATGTCTTGTGTTTGCTTAGGTGCTCAGCGTGCATCGAGTTATGGTGTAGTGTTGGCGGGTGTAGTACCACCATGCGCTGTGATACACAGCGATGCCATGCTAGAAGAGCTATCACGGGTAGTGAGTACTGGTGGTCAGTTAGTGCTGCGTGAGCCCACTTGTCCCGTAGGTAAGTGTGCTACAATCATGTGTGCATGTGTGTGTGTGCGTGCGTGCGTGTGTGTGTGTGTGTGTGTGTGTGCACGTGTGTGTGTATGTGTGTGCGTGCGCGCACGTGTGCGTGTGTGTGTATGCGTGTGTGTGCATATGTGTCCTGAATACTGAATACTGTGAATAGTGAGAAGGTTTTGCTATAGGTCTGTGGGTTTTTTTGTAGTCCGTACATGTATCCTCCTGTACTAGCTCTAAAGCTGACGCAAAGCCGTATGAACTGATGACATGTAGGAAGACTTGCATTCCCAGTCATCTGAGCTCAGTAAAATTACTTCCTTAGATATCCATATGCACCGGTCCGGTTGGTCAGGTTATTACCGGACCAACGTTTCAGCCACCAGCACCATCATGTTTCCTACTGTGGTGGGCAGGTGTACCTGCCATACCATACACAAAGTATGAACGGCCATGGTACTACCGGACCAATCAAAAACTGCTTCCGGCGGTCCTGATATGCACGGTGTGTATTGATAGTACATGTGTTCACGTTTGTATATCGATTGTGTTTCTGTTGAAGGTCATGTGACGAACATGCGGTCTCCGGAAAAGCTACATTCTGCTCTGGTCCTGTCTGGCTTTACCAATGTCTCACAAGTAAGGTTTAATGTGCTTATGCGTGGTGTGTGTGTGTGTGCGTGTGCGCACGTGTGTGTGTGTGTGTGTGCGCGTGTGTGTGTGTGTGTGTGTGTGTGTGTGTGTGTGTGTGCGTGCGTGCATGTACGTGTGTGTGTGTGTACATGTGTGTGTGTACATGTGTGTGTGTACATGTGTGTGTGTACATGTGTGTGTGTACATGTGTGTGTGTACATGTGTGTGTGTGTACATGTGTGTGTGTGTACATGTGTGTGTGTGTACATGTGTGTGTGTACATGTGTGTGTGTGTGTGTGCGCGCGCGCATGCGTGCGTGCGTGCACCTTTTCTGTGCCGTGTCCTCACCTACTTACTGGCAAGTTATTGCGGCGTGGTGAACCCATAAATTGGGTCATTTCTATGGTCACCCAGAGTCTAGGCATTTCTTGGAGTGTCGACCATCAGGGTGGTTCAATAACCAATCGAGTCATGTAACCAAGTTTCCTTTTTAACCTCTCCCTTCCCCTCTCATGGGGGACCCATGTGGCCAGTTTTTGGCAGCGAGCAAGTACAAGTCTGTCTGTCTATCTAGCTGTCTGTCTGTCTGTCTGTCTGTCTGTCTGTCTGTCTGTCTGTCTGTCTGTCTGTCTGTCTGTCTGTCTGTCTGTCTCTGTCTATCTATCTATCTGTGTCTGTCGGTCTGGTGGCCTTGTACTCGTCACGTATGGTGCGCGTACAGCCTAATTTGTCACACTTTCCAACCGTACTGCTGCTGCTCCTGGTCTGTTCTGGTGTGTAGCCTGCAGCTGTTCAACAATCTGCTGAGGATCGTGCACAACTATGTGCGGCGTTAGCAGAGCAGCGTGGTGTGTCGGCTGAACTGGCACAGACAGTTACTTTGACAGAGGTAGGATTTACTTTACATGTTGTATTGGTGATAGTAACATTCCTCTTCTCTGCTTTCACTCGGAATAGGTTTGTCTTGCTGCTGCTGCTGGTGAATCTTGTGTCATGTGAGCTTTGGCAATAATCACTTCTTTGCAACTATTATCATATTGTTCTAAGTCTGCCGGCATTCAAGACAAATGGACGGGTGTAGTGGAGTTTTTTTCCTTTTTTTAATACTTTGGGACTAAAGACTCCTCTAGGCAAGTCCAGTGCACTTTGTAGTATGATGTGTTGCTTTCCTTGTCCTCTTAGCCTGGACAACCGTTGCAGCTGCTTTAGTACGGGATGAGCAAAGAATAGGACCATGCCATGTTATATGTCTCATGTGGCTCAGTTGTCTGGTGCTTGCTTGGCAAGAAGCACAGAGTAACAACAACTTCTGAGTGGGTCTGTTCTTCTTCCCTTTGTGTCGATTTCTGTAATGTGCTTGATCGGTTCTGACTGCTGCTGTGGTTGGCATTCCGCGCAGGTTCGTGCCCAACGTCCAGCCTATGAAGTTGGTGCTAGCTCTGCCCTGCCATTGTCTTTCGCTAAGAAAGGTATGGTTTGTATTGCATGCAGGCTGCGCTATCTCATGTACATAACTGTATTGCAATGTGGAATATTGAAACTTGATGCTTCCATCATGATAAACTGGACCAGCTGCGCTGAATCCTTTCACAAAGACTTTATTTGATTGAAACAAACAAATCAAAGATTAATTAGGGTATGATAATAAAACTATGATTGACAAAGAGGGAAATTTTTCTATGGTCTTTTGGAAAGTGAAAAGCAATGATGAAAATACATGTACTTTGGAACTAATTTCCGTATTATTCTCATCGGGAAGCTACATTGTACTGAAGAATGCTAGTGTAGATTATACAGAGTTGTCTGCACTTTTTTTTATTACTGCACTGTCGGTAGTCCGTACGCTGTATCATGCTTATAGTTGCATCTATTTCTGTGTGCTCACAGCTACGAACGGAACAAGCACTGAACCTCAAGGCAACGTAGCATCAGTATGGAAGCTGTCAGCTAACGATCTCGGAGACGATGACATCGTAAGAACTCTTCTAACCTGCTTTCCTAAAAATATGCAGGTCTTTTTTTGGATGTTATGGAAAGTGGTTGGACTGAAGAATTGCTGTGCGCCTGGCTCTGACATGGAGGTCCTCTCAAACCTCTCTTATCCGGATATCTCATATATGGACATGTTTCTCTACGGGGCACCTTCGGCTCGAGCTGCTTATCTAGGAATGCTTCGATTTCGGGTTTATTCCAATCGCGTGCACGCACATGCTCAGTTTACTAGTACACAACACTCTGCTAAAACTCTGAGAGTGTATTCATATGCATGCAGCCTTTCCCAGGCTGGTCTTTGTTGTGTTGCAGTGCTGCGTATCATGTCTGCTTTGGCCATATTGCTGTATGTAGGAACTCATGGACGAGGACGATTTACTTGACGAAAGTGATAAGGCCAAACCTGATCCATCAACCCTAAGAGGTAAGGGGATGCCGCCACTACACTGTACACTTACTTGTAGTAGTATGAATTTATAGGGAGACGCCTGTGAGCTAGACCAACGTTTCACTGCCTTCAGCACCTCAGGAGCAATCTTATGGAAGTGAGCAACCATCCTACATGTGTTGAGTCTACTACACAGCAAGTTCATCGTGCAGTTGCGCAGGAGAGCATGAATCAAAACAAATCCTCAGGGAGGAGAGAGAGAGAGACTCAAACACCATCCTAAACAGAAATGAGCAAATTTATAAAAAATAAAAAGGACCAAAGAACTACAAGTTACGCTATAGTTACTGAGTATTGTCCACTTCCTTGGTCCTTTTTATTTTTTATACATTTATCCTTGGCTCTCCATCAGAGTCCAGAAATGAGCAAGCACAGCCCGAATGGTAAACAAACCTGTTGACTGGGCCTCTTAAACAAACGCGTGTAGAATAACACACCCATTTGTTCTCCATGTTGAATTTGTTGTTGTAACTCTGCAGTCTGCGGTACAACTGGAAAGCGGAAAGCATGCAAGGATTGGTAGGTTCATACGAATAAACGGCCCTGAGCTTGATCGCGTGTGTGTGTGTGTGTGTGTGTGTGTGTGCGTGCGTGGGTGCACACATGTATCTGTGTGTGTGTGTGTGTGTGTGTGCGCGTGTGCGCACGCGTGCATGTGTGTGTGTATGTGTGTGTGTGTGTTGTATTTTCACCCACTGTTTTTTTTCTTCTCTTTTCTGGTTCCGCTTTACAATGTACCGTTCGCCTTGCTGATTTGACTGTCCTCATTCTATGCAGTTCATGTGGACTGGCGGAAGAACTAGCGGGAGAGAAGCAGAGCGCCTCAAAGCCAACGTCTGCCTGCGGAAGTGTATGTATTCATAGCCGTATGCTTCAGTTTAGTTTGCTTCCTACCAGCTGTCTCTCTGCAGCGCTTAGACTGCGCGTATTTCAAGGAAACAGAATTTGTTGTCGCACTATCTGACTGTATTGTGATCTCGTTACCTTGGTGGACTGTTAGTCACAACTCGTAACATTTAGTCCTTTCTCTTTGACGACTTGCATGTATACAAGGTTGTGTATTTTGTGAACATGATCACCGTGTGGGGAATATTCTTTAAATCCATGTTCCCTATTGTTATCTTTCATGTTGTTGTTCTCTTGATGTGTGCAAACTCTCGAAATTATGCTGATCTCAATGTTGTTTCTGTGTATGATGTGTCTGCACGTTCAGTGTTATCTAGGTGATGCATTCCGCTGCGCTAGCTGTCCGTACTTGGGCATGCCTGCGTTCAAACCGGGGGATCAAGTGCGTCTATCTGATCGCCAGCTGAAGGCCGACGCATAGTTTCACAACCGAAAAGACGATAATTATCTCCAACTTCTTGTCAACTGCTACCGACGTGTACCTGCAGTACATATGCCTTTGTGTTGTCTCAGCTCTTTGGGCATGTTTTCCTTAGTACTTTTTATCATCTCATAACTCCTATTTCTGAAACTAAATTACTTCCTCTTGGACAGCGCATGATCGTTGTTTTTCTCCACTAGATAAAGCTGTGAGATAAGCTGTGCGATAAAAGATAATGAACATGATTGCAGTGTGCAACACCTGGTGCATGTCTGTACTCTGTAGTACTACTGCACATGCACTGGGTGTGTGTGACTGTGGGTGTCCTGCTTTGGCGTTGTGCTGCAGTTGGTCAGCTTACTACAATACAACAGTATCTGCTGACTGTCTACTAGTCCTGAGTGCATGACTGTAGAACTAGCAGGCTGATATGTTGCAAGAATGATGAGTGGTATGATGTCTGGTAGATTTTCCAGCAGGAAAGAAAAAGGAAAGATACATGATTGACTGAGTCTATGTCCATGGCACGAGAAAGTGGGGTGAGTCCTACAACAGACTGGTCAGTACACATGTTGCATGTCGCCTCGGTGGAGGGATACGCTACTGAGCGCTGGACTGCTTATAGTAACAACTACGTCTACAGACAGTGTAGTTTTTTTTCGATCGAAAACAAACAATTTTTTACAGAGTTTTATCAATTTTTGTAGGCACATTTTGAACAATTTGAATTTGGATTGTGTGTGATAATATTAATGATTATCATTCTGAGGGCAAGTGGTGCTTTATTGTGATCTTGCATTCTTGGCTCGCTTGGCTTCTAGCTGCCCTGTGGAGCGATAGGTCAGCATTGAAAACCATTGTTGATAAGAATGAGGTTATTTCTTGCTTGCGACTGTCGAATATCTGGTCCACTGCTAGTCACTGGGGGACAGTAGGCTTTGACTTGGTCATCATCAATAGTGTTGTAGATCCGCCGAGTATCCCATATCGAATCCTCCAAAGGACATTCACCATTGGAAAGAAATAGTAGTGTTTGTTGCGTCAGCTGACTGAAGTACAGTAATGTGGAATGGATCCAGAGGAACACAAATGCACCAGCTCAGACGAGGTATGAATTTGGAGAAAATCAATTACAACTGTCAATTACTATCAATCAAATCAATTATCTCCGATCCTAATGATTGATTTGATACCTAAAACGTCCACCGAATTTTTATGGAGAATTAATTAAAAAGGCAAGTAGTAAAATGGCAATAAATAAGATCAATTGTGCACTCATAACAGCAGCAAAAAATGAAACTTTTTCATTTTTGCTGTTGTTATGAGTGCACAATTGATCTTATTTATTGCCATTTACGACTATTGTCTCCTCGTCGATTGCTGCAAGTAGTAAAGAGGTAAATTTTGCTAGAATTATTGGAAAACTTTGCCCCGGAACTGTGGAAAAGGAATGCATGAAATAAACTTTGTTCTTCTATTATATTTTCCTGTCCTTACTTTTCAGTAGCATGCTTGGCTCAGAAAATCTGTGGAGCGTGTGCAGGTTGTCTGTATCGCTGTCGACTAGTCCAAGAGTGCATTAATTTTGTAATTTTTTTTCGAAATAATTGCTAGTACATGTACCGTAAAGTACCGCCAGAGCGCCCCGTCTCACGAGAGCGCCCCACCTTGATTTTACAGCCAAGGGAAGAAAATCGTATGGCAGAATGCTACTAAGTTTGTACGGTGTGAGAACCTTCGTGTACTAAGGTCACACTTGGTTTGTTTTTTATGTGGAGCTTGGAGGTAAACTGGGTACGGATTGACTGCACAATGTGCAATGTGTGTACATGGTCCGTGTCGTATGACCTACAGACAGGAAACCACCTCCACAAGGAGGCGACGAAAGGACGAGATGGTGGGGCGCTCTGGCGATACTTTTACAGTACATGTACAAGACAATCAACAGCGCTAGCCACACACACACACACACACACACACACACACACACACACGCACACACACACGCACACACACACACGCACACATGCACACACACACGCACACACACACACACACACACACACACACACGCACACTTGTACTTGTTGCTCACTGCCAAAACTGGTCACGTGGGTCTCCCCGGGAGAGGGGAGAGAGACTCAAAAGGAATCTTGGAAAGATGACTCAATTGGCTATTGAACCGCCCAACGGCCGACACCCCCTGAAATCCCCAAAACTCTGGGTGGACTTATTTATTTTTATTTATTTATTTATTACAGCATCTCATAGCACAGTGAGAACACCGGCCAATACAAAGAGAGAGGGTGTTAGCCAACCACGGCAAGGCAGGGAGAAGGGGAGGAGAAGAAAAAGGAACCGGCATGGATAAGCAGTGATTGCAACCAAATCAGAAACACAAAATCAAAATCAAGGCGCGACAAGGCTCTTAAAAAGGCGGAGAGAAGAAAGGTCCTTAGCTTCTTGGGGAAGTGCCAGCCACGCAGAGTACGCAATAAAAAAGGGAGAGTGAAGTAGAAAGGAGGACTTAGGTTTCGGAAGGGAAAGGGAGTTTCTCGTGCTACGGGAAGAGAACCAGTTGAAACAGTGGAGGTGAGGTGGACACAGATTGAGTTTGAGAGAATGGATAAGGGTGACAAGATGTGAATTACGTCTCTTAGACAAAGGGGAAGTGTCAGCAAGGGCATAAAGGGTGGAAGATGGAAGCATGCGGGGTTTTCGGAGGAGGATTTTGAGGACTTTTTTGTGTTGAATCTCGAGCTTGGCAGCACGGGTTGTGGAAATTCCAGCCCAAGCAGTATCTGCATAATCAAAAATGGGGCGTAAGTAAGCTGAGTAAAAGAGGAGTTTACAAGAGATTGGGAGATGATAACAGTGAGAAGAGAGAATTCCTAACGATGAACTTGATCGTTTACATATGTAATCGATGTGGGGTTCCCATGAAAGATTAGAGTCAATGAAAATGCCAAGATGCTTATGGCTGGAGACTATGTCTATAGGCTGGGGGAAAGTGGGATGGAGGAGGGGCGGAACATCGGGCTGAGAAGGAAAGAGCATGATTTTAGTTTTAGACAGATTGGGCGATAACCGCCAAGACGACATCCAGGAAATAACTCTTTGAATCCCGTTAGCTAGGTTACTCATCAGGCCAGTGATGTTAGGAGATGCCCGTAGGAGCGTTGTGTCGTCTGCGAACAGTGATGTGCCCGGGGCAGCTGCGGGCAGATCATTGACGTATAAAATAAAAAGAAGGGGGCCGAGGATGGAACCCTGGGGAACTCCGGATAGTACTGTTGTGTCGGCCGAGGACGTCCCATGTACCGTGACGTACTGCGTTCGCCCAGTTAGGTAAGATGTCAGCCATAGCAGGGGATTGCCGTCTACAGTAAATGATCCACGAAGCTTGGCCAAAAGCCCCCGGTGCCAGACGGTATCGAAGGCCTTGGCAAGATCGAAAAAACAAATCCCGACTAGATCTCCAGCATCCCGATGTCGACACACTAATTGCACTAGGCGCGTCAGCTGGAGGGTGGTAGAATCGCCTCTGCGAAATCCGGACTGAGCTGAACTCAAACGTGACGAGACATGACAGTACAATTGGTCGTAGAAAACGCGCTCACAGAGTTTGGAAACACAGGACAGTAGAGATATCGGACGGTAGTTTGATGCTTCGTGGCGGGACCCTTTCTTGTAGATCGGTATAACATTAGCTGTTTTCCATGCAGAGGGAAAACGACCAGTGCGGAATGATAGGTTGAAAATCAGACATAATGGGTATGCTATTGAGGGCGCAAGGGACTTTAATACCAGATTAGTGATGCCGTCTGGGCCCGGAGCCTTGTCAGACGGGAGCTTTCGAATGTAACGTCGAATGGCAGCAGTCGTAGTAAAGACAGATGTGAGACGGTCAACCTCACCCGACTCCTCGGCAATGGGGGGAATGGGTAGAGAAGGGTCATCAGGCACGGCCACTGAGGCGAACTGAGAGTTCAATGCAGTGGCTTTAGCTGAAGAGGTAGTAGCCTGCTGCGTAGAACTAATGGTGAGTGTCGGGATGTCACGAGATACTTTATGATTTTTTAATTTGTTCACGAACTGAAACAGTGATGGGCGGTTTTTGTCCTGCAGCGTAGCTTGTACGGACCGAATGTATCCCCGGTATTTCAATCGAGTCAGACTCTTCACCAAGTTCCGTTGAGATCGATATACATGCATGTTAAGCTGGGTTGGGTATTTCTTACACACACTGTAGAAATCGTGCTTTGCCTTAATGGCGGCACGGAGGGGGGCATCAACCCAAGGTGGCTGACCTAAACGTCGGCATGAGGGGGAGAGTGGACGCCGGGAGAAGTACCCGAGGTGCTTCTCCATGGCCCTGCTAAGAATAGAGTGGAAAGACGAAAGAGCGTCATCCACGTGCGAGCTGCGGAGGTGACATTTCCAGTGGACATCAGCAAGTTCAGCATTCAGGTCTTCCCATACGCAACATGGCACCAACTTGAAATTGTAACCTGGGGTTGTAGGGGTAGATGTTGGGAGGAAGTGATGGTGTAGGGTTGGATTTTTGGACGTGGCAGGGAGACGGACTCGACAGATGAGCTGCACGTGGTCAGAGCTACCCAGTGGAGCGGCTGAATCAACGGAGAGGAACTGTTGGGGTGAATTTGTGACGATGAGGTCCAAGCAAGATGACCGGCCACTTGGGCTCCAGTGCGTAGGGAAGTTGACCAGTTGCTCTAATTCGAAGCACCTGAAGGCAGTTTCAAGGCACTGACCCACCGGGGTTGTCCGATCACCAGCCAACCAGCTCGAGTTATGGGCATTGAAGTCACCGGTGAGGAGTAGTGTGGATTCAGATAGATTAATTGACAGAAGGCAGTCTTCCAGACCATCAGAATAGGCCTGGATATCCGCCAGGGTACCACCAGGAGGTCGGTAGGTGGCGCAGACTATGAGTGGACGTTGGGGTGAGTTGGCTGTGCGAAGCTCAAGCCAGATGGCCTCCAAGCCCGGTTGCTGAAGATTCGCCAGAGGCTTCACCGATGTAAAGGAGCCATCTTTCACCAGTATGGCTACCCCACCATAACCTCTGGTAGGATTGGCTGATTGAATATTACAGGTGGGACGATCCCGTCGATGAACTGTGTAGCCTGCCAATGAGAAGAGGTTGGCAGGGGACAACCATGTTTCACACAAACATATTACCTCCGGAGAGTAGATGTTGCACATAACAGTGAGTTCCGCTACTTTGTTGACCACTGAGCGGCAGTTGAGGGAAAGGATGGTAAGGGCAGTATGGATGGGAGGATAAATGGGACGGGCCAGTGGATTCAGTGTTCCAGTAGTGTTGGGGAAGACAAGGTTACTTATAACATCATGCTGCATGGGTTCCACAGTGGGGCAAAAAGGTGGTGGCTGAGAGAGAGTGGGTGAAGTCATAGTTAGTTGTAGGAGGTAGCAATGCGGTCAGATGCGAATCGCCATTCTCGTACACGCAGGG